TATTAATAATATTTTTAATAAAAATAAAGCTTTAATAACTTTATTATAAGTTTAAATATTCTTTAATTAATTATTTTTTATACTTTTTTATTAATATTAATTATAATAATATTAATTCTTTTATTTTAAAAATAATTTTTAAATTTTATTATTATTATTAACTTTATTTTATAATATTATAATATTTTAAGTTTAACCTTTAAGATAATATTAACTTTAATTATAAAATTATTATAAATATTATATATTTACTTACTTTATTTATTTTATAAATTATTAATTTAATAACCTTTTTTTAAATTAAATATTTTTTAATTTTTCTTTTTATAAAAAATATATAAAAGATTATTTAATAATATTAAATAAATATATATTTAAAATCTTTAAATTATATTATTTATAATATTAAAATTAACTTTATTTTAATAAAATTTTAAAGTATTATATAAATTATAAATATTATTTATAAATAAGTATTAATAAAAGTATATTAATTTATTAATAAGGTTAAAAAGTATTATACTTTACTTTAATAAGCTTTTAATATTTTTTATATTAAACTTTTAAAAACTTATATTAAGAAAGTTATTTTATAAATAGCTATTAAAATAATAAATAATATAATTAACTTTAATAATATTATTTTAATATTTTTTATTTTTAATATATATTTAAAACTTATAAAAAACTTTATTTTTACTTCCTTAATTCTTAAGAAAATAGCAATTATTTAAAAAGCTATAAAAAAGCTATATAAGGTTTATATTAAATAATAAGTTAATATAACTTTAAATACTTATAATAGCTTAAATATTATAAAAGTATTAAGTTTTTTATTATAAAGTAATATATAAGTATAATAAAAAAAGTATAATTAATAAGAATTATATAAGTTACTTAGCAATAATAAATATAATTTTATATTAAACCTTTTAAATAATTTAATAATTTTTTAATTAATATTAATTTAATTATATTATTAAAATAAAAATAATAAAGATAATATTTAATTAGTTTTTAACTTAAATAATATTATTAATAAGCTTATTTAATTTAAATTAAATTTAATCTTAATAATATTAAAATCGCTATAATCTTAATAATATAAATAGCTTAAGGAATTAAAAGATAAATTAAAAGAAATGTATTTTATTTAGCAAAAGGTTAAAAATTATAATCTTTCTTTAAAGCTTTAATATAATAATATAATTAATATCTTAAGTAACTTATTTAAAAAGTTTAATTATAAGGAAATTATAAAATTAATTAATAATAATATTTTTTACTTTAAATATTTTAATTTTAAAATATATAAAAGTATTTAGTTTTTTAAGTTATATATTATTTATAAAATTAAAAATAAAATTAAAAAGCTATATAAGAAATTATAGCTTATTATTATTAAATATAATAATAAAAATAAGTATAATATTTTTATATAATTTTTAATTATTTAAAGAGTTAGCTAAAGGCTTTTAATTACTTTAACTTTATTTCTTTTAATATAAAGCTTTTAATTAAAGCTTTAAAATATTATTTAAGCATATTTTTAATTAAAATTTAAGCTTAAGCAATTTATTTTATATTATTTACTTTTAAAAATTTAAAATAAATATTTTTTTAAAACTATTATATAAATTATTAAATTACTTTATAATATTATTAAATTTAATATATATTAATAAATAACTTATAATAAGTTTTATTATAATAATTTAAGTATAATTATCTTAATATATAATTTATATCTTTTAATTATAAATTAAGAAAAATATATTTTTATTATTATTATTATATAAATTAATAATACTTTATTCCTTAATATTTTAATATTTTTAAAGTTAAAAAAATAAAAAATTAAGGAAATAAATATTTAATATAAGTTAAAAAAATACTTATTTTTAATAAGTTATTTATTTTTAATAATATAATTATAAGTATTTTTAATAAAAATACTTTATATCTTTATTAAAAGAGTTAAAATAAAAAGATTATACTTATTAATAATAATATTAATAATTATATTTAATAATATATAAAGTAATATATATAAAAAGTATACTTTATTTTTATTTATTAATTTAAAATAGCATTTAACTTATTAATAATAGCTTAAATTTAAAAGCCTTTTTATAAGAATTATAATAAGTTAAATTATTAATTATAATAATAAGCTAATAATTTAAAATATAAGCTTTAATATATATCTTTAAATTTATTTTAAATTAAATTAATAATCTTTATTAATAATTTATTTATTAATAATAAAAAAAACTTAGCTTATAAATTAACTTTATTATTATATTTATAAATAAAATATAAATCTTATAAGCTTTTAAATAAAATATTAAAAATAATATTATTTATTAATTCTTAATAAAGTATTAAAAAGTAACTTAAAGCGTTTTAACTTTAAAGATTTATAATATAATTAATAGCTTTAATATAGCTATAATATTAATAGCTACTTTATATTAAATTATTATATATTTAAATATTATAATAATTCTTTTTATAATATATATTAACTTATACTTTTTATATAAATACTTAATTAAGCTTAATATAATAAAAGAAAAGCATCTTATAATTAATATTATAGCTTTTTAATAATTATATAAAAAGTATAAGATTTTTAAAATTTATTAAATTATTAAAAATTATAATTTAATTAATATTTTTATAAAAAATACTCTCAATAATACTTTTTAATAATTTATAAATATAAATAATATTATAATTAAAATATAAAGCTATATAAATTATAATTAAGAAAATAAAGTAATTATTTAAATATAATAAAAAGTTAAGAAAATTATAATGCATTAAAGCTTAAACTTAAATTATTAAAGTATAATTTAATAATTTATTAATAAATTATATTAATATAACTTTAAATATTATTATTATATTATATATTATAAAGTTATTATATTAATATTAATATAATTAATTTAAGTATATATATTATATAATTATAAAAATAAAAAAATTATTAAAGGTTTTTAATAAGGGATAATAAAATAACTTCTTTAATTAAAAGTAATGCATAATAAAAGTATAAAAGTTTAATTTATATTTATTAATTATTTATAAATTACTTTATAATGCAATGCAATTAATTAATTTTAAATTATATTTCTTTTAAAGGTAAATCTTATATTTAAGATTTTTATAATAATGCTTATATATTAAGAATTTAAGTAATAAGGGTTATTATTATTTTATAAATACTTAAGTTATTAACTTATATTTAATAAGCGTTTTTAATTAAATTTTATAATTTAATACTTATATATTAAAATTAAAAGTATTATTATTTATTAACTTAATTAATAATCTTTATTTTATACTTTACTTTTCTCTTTATTTAAATACTTTATTTATTAATTTTTATAACTTATTAACTTTATTTATTTAATCTTTATTTTAATAACTTATTTTTTAATTATATTCTTTAATCTTTTTATTTAATAAGTAGCATTAAGCATAATAAAGCTTAAATTAAGTTAAATTAAGAAATTTTAATTATTTAAAAATTAAATAATTATATTAATAATTTAAAAATTTAATTTAATTCTTATTTAATTTAAGTATTATAAATAATAAAAGTATAAATTTATAAAATATATTATAAATAAAATATTTATATAATAATTATAACTCTTTAAGCTTTTTAATTTTATATAATTAAAATATTTTAATATATATATATATTTAATTAACTTTTATTTATTAATTATATATTTTAATAAATTAATTAACCTTTAATCCCTTAATAATAATTTAAGCCTTTTTATATACTTATCTTTTATAATAATATAACGTAATAAAATAATAATATACTTATAATTTAACTTATATATATAATTAATTAATTACCTTTTAATTTTAAGTTTAATTTAACTTAATATCTTTCTTTTTTTTATATTTTTTAAAAATAATATATATTTATAAAATAAAAATTATTAATATAGGAATAATAAATATTGTTTATATAAAGGATTGCTTAAGATTAAGTAGCTTTAGCTTATTAAGATGCTTAGTAAGCAGCAGCCTTAGCGCTGCATATAAAATAGCTAGCATAATTAAGCCTTTTACCTTCCTTCCTTTTATAATTAATAATAATTAACCATTATATTAATTAAATATTATATTGTAATATATAACCTAGCTAACATTTTAAGAATAATTAATAATATATAAATATTATATTATTATATTTCTTTATTAAGGCCTTTATAAAACTTTAAATAACCTTAATAATAAAAGCTAAGTTAGTTTATATATTAATAAAAAGCTTAAAAATTAAATAAAAGAATTATAATTTAAGTTAATTTAATAAATTTATATTTTATAAACAACCTTTTTTAATATTATAATTTATCCTTTTAATTAAGCTATTTTAAAGTATTTTTAAAAGCAAATCTTAAATTAATTTTTAATCTTAATAATTCTTTAAATAAAAAGGCTTAAACCCTTGCTTATATAATTAAAAATTAAGATAAATTTATTATTGCTAATAAATAAACCATTTAATAAAAAAACTAATAATTTTTAAGTATTTATTAAAAATACTTAATAATATAAAAGTATTATACCGTTATAATTATAATAAATTTATATTAATTATAAATAAATTCTTATTATTAAAAATAAATTAATAAGTTAATAAATAAATAAGTTAATTCTTTAAAAAAAAGTTAATTAATTCTTTTTATTTTATTATTTATTTTTAAGTAAAATAATATTAAAAAAGCTGCTTTATTTTTATTTAAGTATAAAGAAAACATTAAAACTTATTTTTTTAATTAAAGTTATAATTATTAATAATAATTATTAAAATTTATAATAACGTTATTATATATTTTAAAAGCGCTTAAAATAAGCCTTTATTATTATAAAGTATATTACTTTTAATTAAATTTACTTTAATAAGTAATTAAAAAGAATTATAAGGTAATATAAGTTGCCTTTAGCAGCAAGAAAGTTTATTATAGCTATAGAGGATCGCGGCATGCCTTATCTGTGCCTGGTTGGCGTCGTCTCGTGGCGGGAGCAGATTTGACGAGGAATCCAAGCAAGTCACGGTTCGCCCTTGAACATGCGTTCGCGAAGGGCATGATACCCGGGACTTGCAACAATTCCTCCGTTGTCCTCGGTAGTTTGTTGACCAGGTGGTCTATCGTGTTCGCTGGTAGTTGCACGGTAATCGTCACAAGCTTGTTGAAGGCAATGATTTTATTGCGGAGTATCTTGTCCTGGACTTGGCTGGGTTCCGACTGTTTGGCTACAGGTTGCAAGTCAAACTCGGGCTTTGTAGTTGAATGGAGTGGTGGTGGATGAATCTTGTTCTGTGTGGCTGGTGGGAGTGTGCTCGCCGAGGTCGGGGTTGCGGCTTTGTTGCTCTCTTGGGCTGCGGACATACACTCGTAGATGATGCGTGGAGTCTTCTTCAGTACAGCTTCGGGTTCCGTGTCATGTTGACCTGGTGTTGCCAGAATCCGAGGGGGCCGCATGGTCGGGACTGCCGGCGATGGTTGACGCGGCTGCTCTCTACTCTCTGGCGGTACCCAGTATGTCCTCTGCAGCCGTCCTTGCCGTTCTGGGTCTGGCTTCTGCTCCGCTTCCAACTCCTCTCGCTTGCGCTTGAGAACAGATGGGGACGGCTCCCTCAGGGGTCTTCCAAACGCTGAGCTTTCGTCTGATGCGTCCTGGTCATCAAGGTCGTTCTTACCGACCTCGCCGTCCTTTTCGCGCCCCAGACTCGCATTCTGCATACTGAAGGATACCCCCGTATGCAAGGTAGGTGTTGATCGGACGGTTTGGTCAAGTTGGACATTCGAAGCAGGCGGCGCTCTTGCTTGCGAGGCTGTGGGCACAGGCAAAGGAAGCTGCGGACGGTCCTCTTGTGCCTGCTTCGCGTCATCAGCACTTGACTTTTCGACCAAGTCTTTTACGATCGCTAGCCAAGCTGGGCCGCAATCGGCGAATTTCTTGTTGCCGATGCCATGGATGCGCAGTAGTTCAACGTCACTGCGGGGGCATTTCCGAGAGATGGCGTGAAGATGAGTATCGTGGGCGATAATGAAGGGCGCGCATTTGCGCTCTTTTGCCAAGTCCCTGCGATGTTTCCTGAGTTCTTGAAACAGCAATTCTGTCCTGGTCTCGTCAAGAAAGCAGGGTGCTTTGGTCGAAGCGGCTGTTTTGACCTTCGTAGACGTTGGCTTCGCTCCTGCCATCACCGAGGGTGACACATCACCCGGTGCGCCTTCCCGTAGCTGCTGCTCGGCGGCATGCTGATCTCGCAGTTGTTGGACCACATCCGCACCAACTTCTGAAGTTTCGGCAAAGAGGACGTGCTTCCCACGCCGGCCGATCCTGACGTATCCACTGGCGCCTTCTGGGGGCAACAATGCTTCCGAGTGGTCCTCAACGCCCTCTCCTGGCGCTTTGTATAAATCTAGAACGCTGGTAGGCCTCGCATTCCCATGTACCGGTGCCAGTTGAAGCGGCCGTTTGGGCGGCATGCCCTGCACGGCGTCACCATACGTCTCAGCGTAGACTGGCAGTGGAGGAGTGGGGACCATGTCCATTCTCTTTGCGTTCATACAGTGGAATAACATGAAGCCAGCGTAGGCATCTGCAGCAGCGTAACTGACTTGGTCGTTGTTGAGTGGCTGGCTCCAGTTGCCGGTCCTCACGTTGCCCTTGTGGAGGGGTAGGCCCAGATGCTGCTCGACCTGCGCGCTTAGATTTCTCAACTTCGTTGTGCACTCAGCGGGGTTGGAGGCACCGAACGAAACGAGGTTGTGCAGGTGGCTCAGCTCGAATGCACCGCGTGGGTTGAGGCCGAACCATTGCCGTAGTCGAGCAAAGTCGGCGTTGAGAACGGCGACTCCACACTTCGCGATGGTAGGGTCCTCGATAATGCTCCGCAGTGCGGGTGCCAACAGGTCCTTTGCAGTGCTGCCTGAGTGCATGCCGATGTGGAACAGGGCAATCTTGTCCTCACAGGCGATTTGGATGAGACCGATTCTCTGCTGCAAACGGGAGTCGGCAGTGGTGTTTGCCTCCCGGGGCCACTCCATATCAAACCCGATGACCTTCTCGCCGAGGAACTCATGGGCACACTCTTCAGATTCCAATTTGGTCCTGCTGTACAAGACCCTCACTGGTTGGTCCTGCAGGCCGCGGTACAGCGTGTGGCTCCAGAACCTGTGGCCGGTCGAGCTCATCTGGAACGAGAGCGGCCATGTTGCCCTGTCGCACTTGGAGTCACCCATCACGGCGGAGTCTCGCGCATCCCAGTCGGCAACCGGCTGAAGTCGGCGCGCTGCATACCTATTCCGGTGGCTGCTGGATTATCGAGGTTTCTGTACTGGTCGCTGTCGATGTTGTTGATGCTGGTGGGTGGTGTTGTGGCCGTAGTCGTCCGTCACCGTGGCCGAGGTGAGCATTGGGTCCTGGCAACTTGGAGTAAGTAGGGGGGGGGACCTGCAACGATGGCCCCACTCTCCAAACGAACAGAGGCCGTTTCATTTATAGGCCTAACCAGCAATCTGCCACATACTCACTCCCTCATAACTTTGACTGCTCAACCAACCCCATCGCGCTCCCCTCACTTTGTCCCTCGCCCAAGCCTTGGTTTAGGAGTAAAAGGGTGAGCTGGGACCCGTCTTTATCGGTGTTCGTTCCTCCAACCTGAACACAGTCCCACCAACAGGACCTGGGTAAATCGTGCGCTCAGCCAGTCATGATGTAACGCCTTGGTTGTCATCTTTGCTGACGGGCTCCGGGGTCCGACGGGAGAGCTGGCTGATTAACTACCCGTGAGTTCTTGGATGATCATCGCGCCTCCCAAGCTGAATTCCGCCATGTCAACTCAGTCAAGCCGCACCCCAAGTTATTCCACACTGTCAACCGGACCCGGCCTTTGAGCAACTATAGGACCCCCATCATGAGGCTGTACGCAATAGGTGATCTTCACCTCAGCTACCCGGCCAACCGTGACGCCTGGTCTGAGCTCGACCTCCATCTCGACGACGGGCTGATCCTGTGTGGCGACATTGGTGAGAAGGCAGACCAACTCGAGCTCGCCTTCTCCACCGCAACCAAGTGCTTCAGAGAGGTCTTCTGGTGTCCTGGAAACCACGAGCTCTATACTCTCGCCTCGTCGGCTGGATCCCTGCCACAGCCACGTGGGGAGGCAAAGTATAACCAGTGCGTTGCCATCGCTCGGAAGTACGGAGTGCATACTCCCGAGGACGAGTTTTTCGTCTGGGAAGGTGAAGGGGGGCCCGTCTTGATTGCTCCAATATTCACCCTGTACGACTACTCATTCCGGCCAGATCATATCAAGGATAAGGCGGAGGCCTTGAAATGGGCTGAGGAGATGGACACGGTGGCGACGGACGAGTTCATCTTGCATCCAGATCCTTATCCATCTCGCGAGCAATGGTGCGAGGCCCTTGTCGAGAACACGCAGGCCAAGCTTGAGACGGCCACGAATCGTGGCCTGCCCTTGATCCTCATCAACCACTGGCCGCTGCGCGAGGATCTCATATGGATACCCAGGGTCCCCAGATTTACGCTATGGTGCGGCACAAAGAAGACGGAGGACTGGCACAAGAGATACAACGCCAAGGTCGTGGTCTCTGGCCACCTGCACGTAAGAAGGACAGACTGGAAGGACGGTGTGAGATTCGAGGAGTGCAGCTGGGGCTACCCGAGGCAGTGGGATGACGTGAGGAAGTCTGGCAAAGATATCAACTCGTTGCTGAGGGAGATCTTGCCAGGCCCGCCGAAACCAGATGGGGATGTGATACCAACCCAGTGGAGGAGATGGGGCTAGTGAAGGCCGGCCACGACTCACAGCACCAAGGCCCAGCGACAAGTTCGAACCTTGACAAAAATGGGCCCGACCTGCGCGACAGTCTAATTACCTGCTTGCGTCCGAACCAATCCTGCCGCCCACAACAGCACACCTATGGAAACGACCATATCCAGTGCGACGGCGATGTGCCTGTCTATTCAGCCAGCAGTGCCTGAAACAGAGAAACAGATACTACAGCGGAACGAGTTGTACATTCTCGTGGCACAAACTGAAATGCAGCCACCCAGCCCACCCTCAGCAAAGCGCTAAATGTCTGTTGCAGCTGTGAGCTTTTCCAAATCGAGCCGAATATTGTGGACACCCAATAGGTAGTCTAGGTGGTTAGACGAGACGATGCGGATGCTCGACTCCTTTGGGGAAGGAGGGTCAGCACATGCATATAGATTGCTTATTATGGCTCACCCCTCAGCGCCACCTACGATATAGCCACACATAGTCTTCTTTACTCAACATCCGGATAACTACGCCTAACCGCTTTCATCGTTTCTCGGGAAAGGATGATACTCACACAAGTCTGGACAGTTCTTCAAGAATTGGTCTCGTCCCACGGTGCCACGATTTTCCTGTGTTCTGTGTTGACTTATCATGTGCTCCTTGCGGTTCATAGGCTCTCTCCCCTCCATCCCCTCCACAGGTTTCCCGGTCCGAGATTGGCAGCTTCTTCTTACCTCTACGAAGTCTGGTTCGACTTGATCAAGGGTGGCCAGTAAACATTTGAAATAAAGAGGCTTCATGACATCTACGGCAAGTCAACGCGGAACAGCACGAGTACAGCGATAGCACCTGGGTGTTAACCAGACCCTCACTTGATAATTAGGCCCAATCATCCGAATCAATCCAGGAGAACTTCACTGCAATGACCCAGACTTTTCCGAAGAGGTCTATGCACCTAGCAACAGGAAACGTGATAAGCCTTCGTTGTATGTGAGCCATCTGACCGGGGCCAACCAAGTGTCCAGCACTGCCACGACAGACCACGACCTGCACCGCATCCGACGCGAACCCCTCAGGAAGAAGTTCTCCGTGGCTCACGTGTCGAAGCTGCAAGCGGAGGTGCATGCCCTCGCACAGCACCTTGGGGATAAGATACTCGCCAGCAGGGCAGTCTTCGACGTCCAGGATGCAATGAGCTGCCTCACCTCGGACGTCGCGTCTCTGCAGGTGTTTGGCGAGCCATTCGGCTTCGTCGAACAGCAGCAGGGGTTCCAGCCAAACCTGGAGCGTGCAAGCTACGCCATCTTCACGACCTATTTTGTCTTTCGGTGGGTCCAGCCGCTGAAGTGGTTGTTTGGCTACGGGGGCAGCTGGTTAGCACGCTTTATGCCAGAGGAAGTGGCTCAGTTCCAGCACCTCAATGACGTAGAATTCCCCCGCAAGTTCCGGCAGGCCAAGGCCGAGCACGAGGCGGGTGTCATCAAGCAGGGCCAGTCGGTGTTAGATGTCCTTCTCGAGTCGGACTTGCCCGAGCAGGAGAAGACGGCCGAGAGGGTCACGGGCGAATATGTTGCTATCCTCCTTGCCGGTACGGAGACGACCAGCTGGGCCTTGACGGTCCTGACATTATACCTCCTTACGGACAGGGAAGTCCTCAAAAAGCTTACGACCGAGCTGAAGAGTGCGGTGGATTCACCGTCTCAGCTTCCCCGGTGGTCTACTTTGGAGCAGCTACCTTACCTCAACGCCGTTATTCACGAGGGTCTTCGTCTCTCGTCTGGCGTGACACAAAGGCTGCCACGCGTGCCGACCCAAGAAGACCTGCTTTATTACGGATCGTGGGCGCCGGTGAAATCTAATACTGCGCCCACTCCCATCAGCTATATGATACCGAGAGGGTACGCTGTCCGTATGTCCAACTGCATGATGCACCACAACGAATCCGTATTCCCAGATTCACATCGATTTCTACCAGAGCGCTGGCTCCACCAGGATGGGAGCCGGAGCAAGAGTCTCGACCGCTATCTTATGTCATTCAACAGAGGCAGTAGGATATGTTTAGGGATGCAGTGAGCCCCCTGACCCTCGCAAGTTTGTGATGATCAGGCCGAGACTGAAGCTGATTCTGTCATGCATGTAGCTTCGCCTACTGTGAAATTTACCTCGCATTGTCGGTCCTCGTCTTGCGAATCTTTCCTCATCTGCAGTTGTATGATACAACTGTCGACGATGTCAGGCCAGCGAGCGACGCCTTCATTCCTTTCCCGAAGAAAGGCAGTAAGGGCGTTCGAGCAGTGATAAGCTTATTTTGACTGATCGATCAAGCCAGAGTCCGACGATATGTTGGGTTTATGTTGAGTATTTCACTTTGCACCTCTTGGAGCTTTCCGGCGAAGCAGGTCTCCTAACAAGATGTGGTGCAAGTGACGCATTACGTGCTTGCGTGACGCCGTGTGCAGCAACTTTGACTACACACACTAGAAAACCAACTATCAATTCATCGTGCTATCATGACTGACCCTTGTTGAAAATCCTTCCGAGGCGAATCCTCGCAGGCTCCTCGGATTTTGCCCCTTGGTAGCAGCCGGCTATTTGGCGTTCCTGTAAAGTAAACTTTGAGTATGCCGCGTCTATTTCTCGCAACGATATTTTCTGTGCATGATGAACAGCTCTGACGAAATGTGCGAGTCATGAGAGAGCATGAAGGGTTCTTCAGAGATCTTTGGGAATCCTCACCAACTTGCCGGACCTAGCGTACTTGACGATAAATCTTGAGGTTTGCGTTCGGATTGGATGGGAACAGTTTCCATCACGGCAGGATCCAGCACTTTGAGCACGGAATCGGGTGAAGCACAATCGCGCACAAACGGAACGCGTCCATTTGGTCTTCGTCCGTCTGCCACAGTGGTCTGACTGCGACACCAACACGCATGATGCCATCACGAGACAACCTCATGCGTCCAATCTTGGCCTGATACTATCCTGTGAGAGCCGCAGGCGATGGCCTTCCTTTGTGGCTACACGACTATCATATCACACTCTCACCATCCTGGTGGAAAATGAATTCATCCCTCAGCCACTTTGTTCCGGCTGCGCAGCCACCACCCACTGCGGCGAGGGCTATCATGTCTGGAAGTTGAGTTAGGCGCAGTGCCAGGAGTTTCTCAAGTGGCTCTACATTTGCACGGTAGACTATGGGCCCGCTGCGTCTGCGACGAAGGTGACATGGGTGCTCCTTATAGCACGCCTGTTTGCTGTGAAGGAGCGCGTCTCCAAGGCACTGCGGTGGTTCATAACTGGCCTTGCGGTCGTATACTCAGGTATCCAGATCCTCAAGGTCATGGTCTTCACACCTATTTCAGTCTACTGGGAAATCACGGCCAATGTTGGAGTAAACGGGCGGGATGTTAATTGCCTTAACCAGTCGTGCATCTTTATTGCCGACATATCGGTGGCTGGACTGATTGACTTCATCATCCGCATCGTCCCTATTCCTTTGGCTTTGTCTATGCGTTCGCTTTCTTTGAAGCACAAAATGCAGATAATACTGCTGCTCAGTGCCAGGGGAGCTGCGTGAGTACCATCCCTCGTCCGAGATCATGATGCTCTTCCCTGGAGACCCGAGACAGTGTCCGAAGACAGACTTCCTTGAGATTCCACCATGCCAAACTCCCGCCCCTCCTCCCTGCCACACGTCCGGGGACTAATTTCCAAGCCGTGCATGAATCGACTATGAAAATGAAGACAGCCTGCTGACATCAGGGCCCCAGGACGGCAACGACAGTTTATCGGATGGTCAAGGTTGTCCAATTCTTGGGCTCGACCGATCCCACGGCTGATTTCACTGTATTATCCATTTTCACGTGAGAAAAGAAGCACTGAACTTGAAATTCTGCGGTGCATGCTAATACTTTGAAGTCTAGTCGAACTTACTATTGGCATCGTATGTGCTTGCCTCCCGTCCTTCAACGTACTGCTTGCATTGATATGCAAGCGGCAGCATAGAGCACCAATCAATGTGCCGCGGATGTTGAGATCCTCATATAGAAGGAACATCCAGAATCGTAACAATAGGCTTTGGGGATCAATCAGTATTACTTTGGGTTCAAAAAGCTCCAAACAGACGACGACTACAGCAGAGACACGCCAAGAAATAGTCGATCGTCCATGTGCAGAGGTCGAGGTACGTGCGTGGGAACGAGAAATTCCCACACGGGCCTTTGACGAAGAAATGGCGGCGTTCATGGAAGCAGAGGCACAGTCGGGTCTGGTACATACCGGCAAAGTTGGGCTTTCGGGAAACGTAGTGAATGTTGGACGAGGTCAGAGACTCGGCACGAATCAAGCCTCTCATGGTTCCAGCAAATAGCTTACACGCGAGAGTGTCCCAGGACTCTCAGTGATATTGCGGCAAGTAAGAACAAGGTAGGCCTTTTCATTCGAGAGCTTCGGACAGAAGGCCTCATGGACTGTTTCAATAATTTATGAAATCGGAGATTTGCACCTGTAAAATCGGAGGGTACACCAATGCATCGCCACCTCGAAACCACGTCAGAGTTCACACATCCAACACCCATACGCCTAATTTACATGCTTAATTTGAGTTGTTGAGGGTGCGGCTGTTGGGCGTGGGTGGGCGAATTAGGCCTGGGTGATGTGCTCTGATTAGTTTCAGCTGTGGTGTGAGTCAACGTACCGGCGTACCCTCTATTTTGCGGGTGCGAATCTCAGTATTCTAATCTATTACCGCCTCGAGCTTGCCCCACAAGTTGAATTAGAGCTTACGAGTTTGAGCATGTGCGAGACAATCCACCGAAAAAGGAACCAGCGCAGCGCTATTGTGAGCTCCAATGAGACCAAGTACTTTTCTTCAACCGACCTCTGAGCAAATGCCATTGCTTTTGTTAGAATGTGCTTACCTGGGTGATATACTGAGCCTTTACGGCTAATGACATATAAAGCATACTCACCTGGATCCTGTGCACCCGTGGCCAAAAGTCTTTACTCCAGACACCCTTGGTGGTTTTGACACGACCGTAGACTACTACGTGAGTCCAAAGATATGAGACTTTGCGCCTCAACACGGAGGGTACGAAAGCGCCGCCTTGAAACTCTCACGGCAAGGAGGCAGTATGCGCTATATTTCACGGAGAGTTAGTTTTCTTGCTCCTGTCCTGGGACCACACTGAGCGAGACTGACGTGAAGACTTCCAACCAACAGACCGGTAAGCATGACAGGCCAGACTCATATGCTTTGCATCATTCGGCCGCCACTCTTGCGAACTGAAGCGTGGAAAAGTCTAGCAGCGAATCCAGGGTCGGTGTTCACTCATTGAAGAATTGTTGAATTCCACCATACCGTCCGAGCTGCATTCTAGTAGCATCGGTGCTTTGTGTAGGGTGTCAAGCAGGCAGTAGCGTTTCTGAGCAATGCCACCTGAGGTCTGTACCCACCCACGAAGACAAATGCGAAGGTTGCATAGCGGTACACATTGATTCGACAGAATCTCACAGTCCGACTATTCTAATTCACACTTCATGTTCGGAGACATCATGAACGATATGTTGACCAGACTGCCGTGGCCCGCGGGCTGCCCGTTCACTTATGTGCCCAATGTCGGGTTTGTTGCCCTTAAGCAGACATAAAAGGACACGCAAGGAACACTCAACGCAAGAAGGCTGCTGTGCTCTGGTTCAGATAGGATTCATCGGGTGTATGTCTACCCAGGCCACCGGCGTGCGAGATCTAACATCTATTGTCCGTGTTTCGGCCCAACCAGGGGTTTTTCCTCACATAGCAGTCAGTACATAGTAGATAGACATACATGCCCCTCCATTTTTAGATATTATCTAGACTTCGATGCGTGACATATCGTCATCCCCAGTATTCAAACAGTGCGGCGTGCTCGACCATACAAGCTAACCCTTGACGGCGTAGATGGCCTCGGCCAGCCTGCCCACGTTGTCACTGGTGATGCCGGCGACAGAGATACGGCCGTCCTTGGTGGCGTACACGGAATGCTCCTTGGCCAGTGTGTCCCTGGGTAATTGTGTGTCAGTCTCTTGCTTGATTTCTTTCTTTCCTCAAACCTGATGACTCGGGGCTCCTTGCGCGTCTTACATCTGCTGCGGCGTCAGGCCGGTGTAGGCAAACATGCCAATCTGGCTGGTGATGTGCGACCAGTCATGCTTGGAGCCGAGCTGCTCTAGCTTCTCCTTCAGCAGGGCACGCATGGTGATGATGCGGTCGGCCATGCCCTTGACCTCGACTAGCCACTGGTCGTACAGCTCGGGGTTGTTGAGGATCTCGGCGGCGATGCGGGCGCCGTGGATGGGCGGGTTGGAGTACAGGGGCCGCACGATGATCTTGATCTGGGAATCGACGCGCTTCTTCTCTTCGGCGGACTCGCACACGACGGAGAAGGCGCCGGCGCGCTCGCCGTACAGGCCCATGTTCTTGGCGAAGGACTGCGCCAGGCAGGGGTTGTGGCCCTTCTCGACAAAGTAGCGCAGGGCAAAGGCGTCCTTGTTGGTGTCGCCGCTGGCGAAGCCCTGGTAGGCCATGTCGAAGAAGACGTAGTGCTGGCGCTGGCTGACGGCGGCCTCGATGGCCTTCCACTGGTCGGGGGTGGGGTCGACGCCGGTGGGGTTGTGGGCACAGGCGTGCAGCAGGAAGATGCTGCCCTTGGGGGCGGCGTTGATGTCTGCGAGCAGACCGTCAAAGTCCAGGCCGATGGTGTCTTTGTTGTAGTAGCGGTACTTCTCGACCTTGAGGCCCGAGTCCTTGAAGACGGCGGCGTGGTTGGCCCACGAGGGGGTGGGGATGTAGATTGTCTTGTCGCCGGGGTAGAAGCGGGCCAGGAACTCGCCGCCGATGCGCAGGGCGCCGGTGCCGGAGATGGACTGGGTGATGGCGGTGCGGTTGAGGGCGGAGCTGTCCTTGCCGTAGGCCAGCTTGGCGGCAGAGCCGGTGAACTCGGGCACACCGGTGATGCCGGCGTACTCCTTGTTTAGGCGCGACTCGATGACCTTGTCCTCGGCCTTGCGCACCGAGGGCAGGACGTACGGCTTGCCCTTGTCGTCCCGGTAGGCACCAACACCTGTGCGCGCTCGCGGGTCAGTGTCACTGCTTCTGGCGACGTCGGTGGTGGCGGGGCGCGGGCATCGTTACCGAGGTTGATCTTCTTGTCGAAGGAGTCGGCCTTGAACGCCTCGGTGATACCTGTCGGGGTGTGTGAAGTCAGTTTAGTCCACGAGAGAGGGGAGGAGTGTCAGAGTCAGTGGCAGTGGCAGTGGCAGTGGCAGACATACCCAGAATGGCCTGATGACGTCGGGCGGTGCACAATCAGCAATTGAAACCCCGAGACAGATTGTCCTGCGTTCATCGACTTACATCCTGCAAAGAGTCAGCATGAGCGGTTCGATTAAGGCGGAAAGAGAGGCCATCGTGGGCTGCTGCAGAGGCGTGTCAAGCACATACTGGAGGGCCCTGGGGCACGTTGGCCCAGGTCGAAGCTGCGCGCAGAGAAGCTATGTAGCGAGGAGCCGCTGCCCGCCGAGCGGCGAATCGGAGAGGTGTGGACAGCATCGTTCTTCCTTTGTGGTGGACAGCAGCAAGAATGTGAGACGAACAAGAAACGAGGTGGAAGGAAACGCGGGCAGGAACGAGAGAGTGTCGTCGGGAGCCGGTTTTGCCTTCTTGTGCTGTGTGTGGCTGCGCGTCGGCGCCGATGCTAGGCCACGTCCAAGCTCCTGCGGTTACGCTACCGCCTGCCGTCGCCTGCAGCGTGGACTACGCGTCCCAATGGCACCTCCGCAAAGTCCCGGCTCGGCAGGATTCAAGCCTGGGGTCCCCACAGGTGGTCTGACCTTGGCCTGCCGGCTTGCCAAACATCTGGACCCTTGGAGCAGCACCTCATGCGCCTGCTTTCTTGGTGCAATTACAGGAGAGTGACAGTGCCCGGTCACGTCACCAGCTGAACACACACAGTCTGGCGATGACTGCATACCTAGGTAGGTACCTTGCACTGTAATTGACACTGGGGACAGATTTGAAGGTGCAGTAGTGCGTGAGGTCTCTTTTGGTTGGATTTCTACACTGCCTTGTTGCCCACTGTGCCACTCGTCTCCCACCTCACAGTCTGCATGCCCCCCGCCGATTTCACCCGCTGGGGGGAGAAGAAGCAAGTGACATACTTGGTATACACCCAGGTGCTCATGTACACAACCTGGGTCACTAGGCCGCAGAGTGAGTACCCAACCATGCCGTCCCTCACACCTGCCACCATCTCTCACTCAAGCTCCTCGAACTCATCACGACGGTTGGGTGGCGGCGGTGGAGGGCGGCCCGCCCCGTTGCCCGCCCCGTTGCCGGCCCGGTTACCCCCTCGGGGCGGAGGACGCCCTTGAGGGTCCCGCGCTGCAATATCACCATCCTCTGCTGCCCGTGGGGGTGGAGCAGCACCGCCCTGCGCCGGGGCCGGCGGAGGGGGAGGGGGACGGGCGTTCGCCGGCCCACGAGCCTCGATAGCGGAGGCTCCACTCTAGATGAGACGAGCAATGTCAGCATATCTGGATGCACGGGACCAGTCGAGTTGTGCTGGTTGTGTCGGCCAATGACTTACACCGTCGACGGCGGCAGGAGCAGCATAGGCTCCCAAAGCCAGTAAGGGGAGGACATAGGCAGTGAGCTTCATGATGGCTGATTAACAAAAGTCGTATGGTCGCTTAAGCCCTGTCCTGCAGAGATCGTTGCTTCAAGAGTATCAAACTCGGAGACGAAGTAAGAGTGATGGGAAAGAAGACGAGGCGATGGCTGTGTGGAAAGAGGATGCCTTCAACATCAACTTCAGACCTCATCGTGTCACCCGAGCCTTCTTATACCTCGATGACCTGACCACACTTTCGCCTTCGCTTGCCTCCTTTGCCATGTTGTCCTGTCACGGTTCATTCTGCCGAAACAACGCGCTGGCCTGAGTGAATCAATCATGATACCCTCTCGCAACACCAGGCACGAGATCTAAGAAGCCGCCGGGATGGACTCTTTCTTTACATTCGTCAGCAAGGAGAAGCACCGGTCGTCAAAGCCCGCCAGTTGTGTCGTGACGAACCCTTGACCGAAGTTTCGACAACGTAAGCTCTGCTGTTGCAGGTGGTTCAGAGCGCTATGGCCTGACATGGTTAACTTGAGTATTGCCCAGGCCGAACTACAGATTCGAAGTCGCTATCAGCAACAACTTCGACCAATTTTTGCCTTGGAAGCCCAGAAACATTCCAGTCTCGAGGCGGGCACCGGAGTAACGCCGGCCAAACAGCTACCGAAGTGGGCGGCCCCTCGGGTGCTTCAAAGTCTGGCGGGCGCCGGGCATGGTTCAATGCCATAGGCATCGTGCAGAGCAAGATACGAATCATCGGTAGCGATACCGTGAGGGCGACCTCCTGCAAGGTGTAAGACATTCGACCGGGGCAAGAGAAGGCATGTGGGCGGGCTGACGCGGCCGCGAGACACAGGCCGAGCATCAAAGACGTCCGCGAGAATTCTAGAATCAGCACGTTGAGTTTAAGGCTGATGGTGGCTGGGCTAACGATTTATATGGGGTGAGAGGTCATGGTTTCATGTCCTGGATTTTCCAGTTTCAGACGACGGGTATTGTGGTGAAGTTGGGATGACGGCTAGAAGAAAACGCCGCCCACAACATCGCATCTAGAAGCGCCAAGCCGGATGATCCGACTGTAATGCCTACATGCGAATCTAGCGCTAGTATGGGTTTGTAACCCTAGGTTATTTTTCGATGGCTATGTTGACGAGCCAGCGGTGGTTCTGGATATTCGGAGCACCCCACATGTTATGTCGAAGTCCGAACGGCCTTGACATACCCGCTCATGCGCTGTGTTGCTCCCGCGCAAGCACACAGGTTTCATGCGACCTGCCATGGCGCTACTTGTCCGACTAGAAGAGCCAACACACCCTCGACCGCCAGGCCTTGCAAATGTTCCTGTCGTGTTGAGAGTGAAATCGTAGTTGCACCCATAGCCATAAACCATCGGTACAACGCGTGCCGCCCTCTCTGTGGTAGAGATGATTGTGACACCCCAGTCATAGCCTGTTCAGTTTGGAGCTTCTAGCAATTCGGGTTTCAATTCCTTTAAAGCTCCCCGGAGTGTGGCTAAAACTTGCCCGTGCAGATTGCTCGGGGCAGCCACAATGCCGTAATTCGCAACCATCTGTCTCCCTGCACTCCAATTGATGTCCTTTCCATCAACATCAGTGACCTTGCCCCCTACTTCTTCAAACAGGAGTATGGCACCAGCATGGTCCCAGATTTTTGCGAGCCTCGACCTTGATTTGTATGCCCAGAACGTTGTGTTCCCGACATCAAGCGCGAGGAGCACATAGCGCATCACCCAGGGTAGAAGGATGTTTCGTGGGTATTCGATTCCGAGCTGCCTGGCCGTAGACTGGTGGACCGCTGGCACACCGCTCGTGTTGAGACAAGCCACGGATCGCAGGTTTGTTGCTTGCTCTGCATGCCGGGGCAGGCGGCGTATGGCTGTGCTGTGATACAGCCCGGGAAGTTTCCGGACGAAGGCGCCATGGCCTCGCACGGCAAAGGCGATACTTCCCTCCCCTGAGGGGTCCAACGAGCTGTCCGAAGCAGGCGCCTTGATTTCCATGGACATATTGGGGCATCCTACCGCAGAGAGCACCTGCCTACCGTCTTCCAGGAGCCCGACGTTGATGGCGTAGACCAAATTCTTGACAAAGTTTTCCGTGCCGTCGATGGGGTCGAATACCCAGATCCTGCCCCCAACGTCGGGTGTTCCCGTGCCGCACCAGTCGATCACTGTGCACATCTCCTCAGGCGAACTGGGGAACCTCACCAGGGACTCAGCCTCATCCTGGACCTGGCTCTGGATGTGCTGCAGCGCAGCTTGAACACGGTCTAGCAAGACAGGGTTGGCCCTCAGTTGAGCCGCTGACTCTTCGCCGACGAAACTGTCACCTGGGAAATGGGCGTGCAACGTGCTGGTGAGCAAAGCTTGGATAGCGAAGTCTGCAATAGTAACAGGACTCAAGTCGTCCTTGGAGACAACACCCAAGTCGTGGCCTTCATCTTTCTCAGCCTCAGACAGGACAAACTGGCTGAGCTTTGCGGCTTGCTGGATGGTTTCGAATGCGATCTTCAACTCGTTCGAGTAGGGTGAATCCATAGTCTGTGGGCAGTTTCGGCTGGCTTGCCGTGACTTCCCGTCGATAGAAATTCTCAGAGTTGTTTTCTTACTCGCCGTGGTAATTGTGCTAAAGCGGGAAGGGGGAGGCTGAAAAGTGAGGCACAAGTTCACCGAGCGAAAAGAGGACCTTGGAAGGAGGTGACGTTTTCTGACCCGAACCCCGCCATGTGGGACCCAAGCTCCCCCCTCCGCCCGCCCCCACCCTCAAGCACAAAGAAAGCCACACCGTTCCGATTGAGCATCTAACTCCGATTGACAGGTGGCTACATCTTAGACATGCTGGGGTCAGAAGATACCATGCGAGCCAACATGAGATGCGTTTTCCTCCAGTCCGTATTTCCCGTACTCGCAGGCGACGCAGGTTAAGCGAGTGGTGTACTCAGGGGGTGTGCCGCCATCGAGTATTGGCCTTCCAGCTAGGTCTGGACTGGTCCCGAAGACGGTGTCGTGGGCAACTATTCAAACCCCGCCCCCAGATTTCATGTCTGGCGGCAGGTAGACTGAACAAGAGCTCTTCGGCTCCGAAGCATGTCCCATGGTCGATGTTACTTGCCGCCCCTCGGAAAGGTGGGGGGGGGGGAGCACAGATCGGGGTCGACTACTGTCCCCAGCTTATCTTCCAAAGAGAAAGACCTCGGAACAAGCACCGCCCCTCAATCATCGCCGCATCATCCGGCCCTCCACCGGGACAAGTGCCCCAGGTCGACTACAGTGGGTGTCAGCGTTCTTCGTTCGCCTTGGACCAACAGCACAACATCTGAGAACTCCAACGAGGACAGTTTTGACAGCCTACTACTCACTGGTCATGGCTTCGCACTCGATCGCAGTCGGTCTCGCCATCCTTGCCGGCTTGGGTTTTCTATATACCCTCTCAGTGGCCTTGTTCTCGCCACTACGCAAAGTGCCAGGCCCCGTGTCGGCCCGCTTTACTAACCTGTTCTACCTCAACCGTGTTCGCCATGGCCGCTTCCACCATGAGAACAAGGCCTTGCACCGCAAATACGGGCCCGTCCTGCGCCTAGGTGAAGACCTCGTGAGCATTGATGATCCAAGCGCTCTAAAGACCATCTATGGAAGTAAGTGGCTCGGTCGGGGGTTCTTCCCGTTTGTGAGACTCTCCCAAGAGCGATATTGCGATGTGGGTGGGCTTCGGAAACCACATCAAACTCTCCCCCCTACTATCTCTTGTGCTGTCGTGAGGTGGGATCAACTCGCTGACGAAGCTCTGAAGTCGGCTCTAAGTTTCCCAAGAGCGATTGGTATACTGCTTGGAGAGCCCCTGGGCCAGAGAACTTTACCCTCTTCTCCGACCAGAACATAGCCCGCCACGCCGATACCCGCAAACGCTTCCAAAACCTCTACAGCATGACCTCTTTGGTGTCTTACGAGACCTTCGTGGATGAGTGTGCGCACGTCTTTTCCCAGAGGCTGCAAGAGATGGCAGACACCGGCGAATCCATCAACATGGGCCATTGGTTCCAGTGCTATGCCTTTGACGTGATTGCTTGTATTACCTATGGCAGCCGCTTTGGCTTCCTCGACCGTGGCGACGACATCCGCGGCATGATGGGTGATCTCCATGCTGTGCTGCGGTACTCCACCCTGGTCGGCATCGTGTCATGGCTACATAGCTGGATCTTCTATCCAGCTAGCAAGCTGCAGCTGTTCGGTGCCAAGGCCCGCGTGACCACGATGGATTTTGTCAAGCGTCGAATGGCCATCAGAGACGGGGAGAGGCACTTGAAGGAGCCCGGTGACAAGACAAAGGTTCAGGCGGAAGGGGTGACTAGGGATTTCTTGGATCGGCTTCTCGACCAGCACGACGAGAACCCCGAGAAGACGACCATGTACCATGTCTTCCTCGTGGGCCTGGCAAACATCAATGCGGGCTCCGACACGACTGCAACAAGTCTGTCCGGGATACTCTACTACCTGTTGAAGAACCCGCGAGTGCTGGCCAAGCTGAAGGCAGAAATCGGGGATTTCACTGCCAGGGGGGAGCTGTCGGCACACCCGACATTCAAGGAGACGCAGCGGATGCCCTACCTTGATGCGGTGGTTAAGGAAGCCCTGCGACTACATTCAGCCGTGGGGCTTCCTCTTTGGCGTGTCGTCCCAGAAGGCGGAGTTGAAATTGCTGGGAAATATCTGCCCGCGGGCACCAACGTCGGCATTAATGCCTGGGTCGCTGTAAGTTGCTTCTCACAGCTCATACCCCAGGAGCAGTAGCTCCTGCGGCCTCCCTAGCACGGGTAGAGACTAACTTATGAACCCTTCAGCATTTCAACGAAGAAGTCTGGGGCAATGACGCCAAGCAATTCCGGCCAGAGCGCTGGCTCGAGGCTCAAGCCGACGCCCAAGCCGGAGACAAGTACCGATCGCAGCGAATGGAGGCGTACTATCGTGAGTGACCATCATCCTGCTTGATGTTGTTGCTTGGCTCACTAATCCTTCGCCAAAAGTTCCTTTTGGATTCGGCTCGAGATCTTGTGTTGGTAAACACATCAGCATTCTGGAGATATCGAAGCTGATGCCCAGGCTCCTGAGAGAGTTCGACTTTGAGCTGGAGAAGCCCGACCAAGATTGGGAGTGCGAGGACTTTTGGTTTGTCATACCGAAGGGCTTGTCTGTGCGTGTCAAGAGGGCAGCTGTCATCTTGTGAATGTGGGTGCTTAGGCGGGTGTTGTTTGTCATTTGTCTGGAGATCAACAATGTTTGATCTGAGGCAAGTAGATTTCTCCCGCGTAGGGTTTGGCAATGAAAAAGAGTTGGGCCAGTAGAGACCCTTTATGACCATGTGCTTCTCGTTACAGGTCCTGTTTCCTCCCTCTCAGACGGCTACCAACCGGCAGCTCCGGCTGAGGTAGGTACCTGATGAGTCCTTCCCCGCCTTTCCTCCCTTTCACCCTCATTTTTAAGTCAAAACTCTGACCCTGCATATTCTCTCTTCGTTTTCTTGATAATTATTGTAATTTAGTTTCCCTCTCTCTCTCTCTCTTTTTTTCTCTTTTTCTTTTTCTTTCTCTCTCTTTTACACAGGAAGGTATATGGTAGGAGTCAAGGTATGGATATGTAGAACCCTTATGACGTGGTTATAGAAACTTAATGCTGTATAAAGCTGTATAAGAGGGTAGGAGCTGAGGATTGATGTCTCAATAGGTCAGCTGACTCCATGATATCTGAAAGGATTAATTGTATGTTGGTCTTCCTGTACGGGTGGGTGTATATACAAGCAGCCCTGTGCAAATGTTGTGCTCCGCCACCTGGTCCTATGGTGTCTACCAAACGCCGTTTCGATGCATGTAATGCTGGTCTTCAATCGTGGCAGCGCCCAGATTGCACTCATCAAAGATTCCGGGGCAACTCTGCCTCCCAAACCCGTGGCACAGTCTCATCATCATCATTGATCTATACCATGAAAGATTCGCCGCAACCGCATTGCTCCTCTATAAAGGCGGGCACGTCAGCACTGGGACATTACGATACCAAGGAAGCCAGGGATCAACTCGGCCAGGGTCGGGGGAGGGGCACTACGTTACTCACTGATATTAGGGTTCCGGAACACGAATCTCTGGTTCAACTTATCCTCCACCCAGTCCATCTCGCTGCCGATGATGCTGAACAAGGCCTTGCTGTCAATGAGGACCTTGACGCCGTCCTGTTCCACGGTCTCGTCGAAGGTGCCCGGCTTGTCGATGTACTCCAAATGGTAGGCCAGGCCGCTACAGCCCCTGTTGCGCACGCCAACCTTGATCAGTTTGGGGTCGGGCTGGTCAAGCAGTGCGCGCAAATGGTCCACCGCGGCGGGCGTCAGCTTGAGCGCTGCCTTCCGTGGGGCGCGCAGCTTGGAGCGCGGCCTTGGCTTGGGCGCAGAGGGTTCGGCAGGCGGTGCTGATGCCGCGGTCGCAGACTTGGCTGGCTCGCTTTGGGAGGTCGGCTCCGGTTGAGGCGTGGCAGGCGCCGATGACTGCGGGCGTGCGAAGCCGGGCTGGGACGTCTGGGCTTCCTCCTCACGCACCGATGTCCAGCTGCTGGCGTCCAGCGACGGCGGCGGGCGTGTCTCGTGGACTCTGGGGAGGTGAGGGGTGATGGGGTGGGTGATGGAGGTGTCTGGGCCGGCTGCGCTGCGCGGTGGCGACGGCGGTTGAGGGTTGAGGCGGTAGGACTGGAACTCTGGGAAGGCCAGGCGCTGGGCTGAGGAGAACTGTCGCAGCATTGACCGTCTGCACGAGAGGCAGACGGACGAGGCCGTCCTCCGTGTGACTGTGGGCGCGTTCATCGTCTTGTGTGGCGGCGTCGAGGAGTATTGGTGGGAGTGCGGGGAATGCGGGTGAGTTGTTCGAGGAGGAAGGCAAGCGAGGAGACGAATGTAGGGCGAAATACACGTATGCAGGGTATTGTCGGTTGCTCAGTCTTTCGCAGGTCGCGGCAAAGGAGGGTTGCTGTGTTGGTTGGACCAACAGAAGGTTGTGGACTGATGTCAAATGAGCCGATTTCTAACAAAGCTGGGCCGATGACATCTTGCCCACCGCCCAGCACCGTTTCTTCCCGGGCCAATCATATGAGAGCTATAGTAATGCAGGGGGTGGGCGGCCACACTTCAGGCCTACACTGCCTGCAGGTCGCCTACAAATAGACTACCAGAGTATTACCAAGGCACGTCTATGCTTCGAGGCTGTGTGACCCGAATGTCACAATTTACTGATGATTTCGGGACTGTTTGGACCATGTGCAGGCTGGTTATCGACTTGCTTGACCCAACACACTACTGCATCCCAGTCGTGGTACATTCTGCAGTTTACCCCCAGGAGGCTCAGCCACTGTCGACGGGCAAGAAAAGACCGTCATCCTTTCGTCGTAACTGCAATGCTGCAGAGGAGTTTCGCAGATCTGCACGGACGAAGCAGACCAGGTAGACTTGGAGTGGCGGGCCTAAGCCAACCGGCGTGACTATTCACAATCCACGGGTCTTGGTCCTGTTTCTGCCGGCTGTAAGTTTCCACTACATTTTGCTTGCACGTTCACAAAATTCTCTCAGAACCCATTGCATCACGTCGATTGCTCATTCTAGCATACCTACCGCCGCTCACTCGGCCACCAGGGTCCTTACATCACCAACTGCGACCCTTGCCACTTTTTTCAAGAGAGTCCTTTCATCTGCCTCCCTGTACCGCTCCCACGAATCAAGCCCCTCCTTCGCCTGTATGCTGAGCGTCTCGTACCCCTGCTTGATCACTTCTGCCACTTGCAGACTCGTCAGCACGCCACCCGCACCCGCCTTGCTCCCTTTCCCGCCCTTTGCCCCGCCGTCGGCCAGCAGTGTCTTGTAGTGCGCCGAGACACTGACGAGTGTCTCGATGCTGTTTGTCGGTCGGTGAGCAAGCCCATAAGTGTCACGGAACTTGACCAGCACGTCGCCGGCCTCGACCACCTTGTAGAACAGGTCGTCGTACGCCGCCGGCGTGGGGAGGAATGCCTCGCCCGCCGACAGGCCCAGCGCGAGGAGGTTGACCACGTGGTCTAGCAGCACGTCGATGTGCGACAAGTCCCTCAGGTCAGCCGCGTACGTCGTCAGGAACTTGATCAATGATAGCAAGGAGCGAAAGAGCTCCGACCAGTGATACGATAGGCGCGTGCGGGACCGCGACATATAGCTGATAATCCGCAACAGGATCCCAACGCATAGTGTATACAGGTTAACGTCCAGGCGGCGCTTCAGGTTGTGGTTTATGCCGTCAATCATGGTGTCGATGACGGCCATTGCGACGGTCCGTTCGCCACGGACCAGCGGGAGGTAGGGCTGTCTCTGCCGGCAGAGCCTCACAGGCACCTTGTTCCCTTCGCTGCACATGCGCTTGCAGAGGACGGGGTCCTCGATCAGGAGGCGGAAGACCATCAGATTGAGATGGGAATATAGGGTTGCTCGTGTGGAAAGATGAGCGTGCGTTAGTAAGTATGACGTGAGTGAAATATAGCTCGCAAACGGCTGCTCTTCGCCCTTCTCAGGGGCCAGTGTGACGAGGTTGAAACAGAAGAGCTTGTTGGCGTGTGCGAAATCGTATGTCGCCAGCAGCACGGCAGCCTCGTTGCCCGGTCTGTTTGCCCCCCGTGTCAGCCGTGTCGCCCACGCTCACTCAGCCACCCCATGTCAAAAGCAACCTACAGCTCAGCAAACATTTGTTTGGCGGTCTCGGCGTCATATACCGGCTTCTTATCCGTCTTGGTACCGGGCGCTATGGCCCCCAACCCGATCATGGCCAACGTATTGGTCAACGTCCACGCCTCTGGGAGGTCCTCCTGGATATTCACGAACTGGTCCCTCAGGCCCTGGCAGGTGTAGCCAACGCTCTTGATAACCTTTTGTATGGTGTCCTCATTCACAAAGTCGTTCAGTCGTAGTTGGTATGGGTTCTGGAATTCAAACTTGTTGTAATTGGCCAGGAGGCCGATGAGTGTGAAAGGGTTGAATATCTGAGATGACGAGCTGGCGTCCTGGACCAACTATTGAGGGGTCAGCCTTAAGGCGCCGTCATAGTTATGTTTGCCACATAGAAATGGCCATACCTTCATGACGGAGGGGAACATGTCCCTTTGTATTAGATATGTTAGCAGGCTGGTCTGGTACGCTCCCGAGGTCACAGCGAGCGCCACCTCGACGGCCTTCTGCCGTAGTTCCACTGCTGGATTTGTGTCAATTTCCGGTTTCAACGCGCCCTGGCACGGTGTTTCCATAAGAGAAAACGTACTCGTCTTGCCATTTCGTACGATGTGATCCAGGGACCCTACGAAGTCGGTGAAGACGGCATCCACGTGATCGAGACCAGCGAGGACGGTTATGATGTCTGAGCTGGGGTTGGTGTACTTCTTGGATAGTACGGCGGATAGGAAGATGCTCAACGTCTGTTCGTTCCGAGGTCAGCAATTTGAGGTGACCAGGCAATGCCCATGCCCGCCAGGTAGGGGTCAGGCAGCCATACATCGAGCGCGTGCAGATCGGCGGTGCCCTGGGCATCGCCCCCCTTGAGCGCCCGGACAGATCTTGAGAACAGCTCTCTCGTCTGCTCCTCCAAGTGAAGCAGGTCGGCGGGGGAGAGCTGGTCGAATATGCGCCTCAGGGACGGGCGGTCGGGCCTGAGGAGGAAGAACTCGCGCCAGAAGCCCTCCGAGTGCGGTCCGTTACTGTCTGCAGCATCTTGGTGGTCCTTTCGCGAATCAGTCGGCTGGAAGTTTGGTGCGTGGGATGGGATGTCTGTCTTCAAACCTTTTCATCACATGCAAGAGACGTCAGCGGGCTTGGTCAACCGGCGGGACCGACGGGGAGGCCAGGAGAGAGTGCAAACCTTGAATAGCTCATCGTACAGCTGTACGATCTTTTGCTGGAAGGCCTCGGGACGAGGCTGCTGGGTGAGGGGGGACTTGTCCATGTACGGCAGGGTCCCTGTGAGGGCAGAGGGCAGGCAGGTTTGCTTCGTCTGGAGTCGCTCGTCTGGTCTGGTCCGGGACTGGATGGACTGCTCGGCTCAGCCTGTGGTGGGACTCGCTGGTCGAGCTCGGGTTCTGGGACATGAGAGAGCGGCTGCTATGAATTGTATCTGCGATTGGGTATGGGATAGGTCGAGTCGGAAGTCGCTGGGCCTTGCAAATACAGGTCTTTGTCCGTCGTCGAGGTGTTCACCCGTTTATTATTCAGATCCCCTTTGGCTGTGTACCTTAGCTATGTTGGCAGTCCCGGCCCCTAGTAGTCTACCCAGGCACCTAGCCAGGCGGATGGGAGAGATAGCGATCTTCGGCTTGGGAACTGGCTACGTGGGGTACCTACAAAAGATACAAGGCTTGGCTGTGCGCGTAGGTACCTACGTCCACGGGCACGGAGGTGCTTGGGCCAGATCTCTCAGGAGCTCAGGAGCCAAAGCAGGTACATCAGTGCCTACCAGTTCACCTAACAGGTGATCTGGATTCTGAGGTACCCAGTGGGGTGATTTGCTCACGGGGATACTCACTTGTGCATCCAGGTAACATAGACACCCAGGTACCGTGGTAAGTGGGAGTTTTCACGGCCCATCACAGTTGGCAGTTGAACCCTGAATTGCAACGGCCATTTGACTCCAACGTGGACTGGTGGCGCCCATAGGGCTGAGGAGTTCCCGCCTCTTGCATTATCTACCTACCTACCTACCTAGGTATGTACCTAGGAATCTACCATCCGCCCAATGGGCAGGTATCAACTAGAAGTACCGAAACAGTCAGACAACCCATGAGTCTGTCTATATGGCAAATAAGTGAGCATTCACAAAGCGGACGCGTACCGACACATTGGATCGAGAATAATACTCATTGTCCGCCCGGTGGGCGTCGCAATCTGGTAGGTAGGTATGCAACGGTCGGGTCGATCAAGTCTTCATTCAGACTGCATCTCTGAAAACCAAATTTCCCTCGCTATGCCTGTGCCAATGCCTGTGCCTCTGTCGTCTGCCATACTGAAGTAGGCTGATGCTGCGGTGGCCGCAACATATGTCAGGCCCGTCCGTCGTTCCATTGAAACCCACGCTTGCTGGTCTTCCATGCCTCTATCATATCCCAACCGTGACTCCCCCAACTCCAATCTATCTAATATATCAAGAGCTCTCGACGCAAAGCAACGGAACGCAACCCTCCTCGCATAGAGTGCGTGCCTTGGGCATTTCCTCCCGAGGACCCCAAGGGGGCCGCGGGTGCTCTCAGATCCCCCAGCTGCCCCTCCTCTGCGCCACGCCCCATGCCAAGGGCGTGATGCTGTCCAGGTCTGGATGCTGCCTGGCCCATTCGAATATGTACTTCTTGAGAGCCTTCCACCGCGGGCAGCGCCTGTCTTCCTTCATGTCCAGGTCCATGCTGATCTTCATGTGTCCCTTGGCCCTGCTGCCGATCCCGTCCATGACCGTATCATCCTCCTGCTCGAGCTCCTCCGTCGGGATCTGACTGATCTTGGACAGCTCCTCATCGTATGCCCGTGCCGTGGCCGGGTACCCAAGGCTCAGGTAGTTGTACACCTGAGTGACGAACTTGTCGTCAAACTCGGAGGCGATACGCTCCTCGAGATCCGCCACTGCCACCTCCTTCTGCAGCCGCTGCTCCAGGCCCATCAGCATGTGCAGGCCCTTTGGCTCGCCCGCCCGCGAGCGGTGCTCCGAGGTGGTCGGGAGCGCAGAAGCCTGCCCGGACGCCACGGGTGTCGGCTCGGCGGATACGGGAAAGGGAGCCAGCGTCCCGTTCGTGGCGGCATAAGGATCGCTGTGCTCGTATGGGGTCTGCGGTGTCATGGGCGTCATGATCATGGCGGGGCGGGGCGAGGGGGCCAAGGCCTCGCCGCCCTTGTTCTGCGTGAAGCAGTAGCCCCTCCAGAGCCCGTGCTGGCCCGTGGTGTCCCGGTTCGGCTCGACATGGCCACCTAGGGCGGTGTCCCACTTCTGCTCCGGGTCGAGCTTGGTCTGCTTGGGGGACGGGCACATCCGGAAGGTCAGATCCTTGCCGGCCATTGGGGGGCTTTGCCGCGTCCTCATGCGGAACAGTTCCTTCTCGGCGGCCTTGTCTTGTGCCTGGTTCTGGTAGCCGTAGAAGCGGCCAAAAGCACCTCGGGGGCGGGCGAAGCCGGTTTCTGGGGGGATCTGGGAGGCCGGGGCAGCAGCGGGCCGCGCCGGCGGTGCGTCAGGCATGTCGACGTCGGCTGTCTTGGGCGGTGGTGCGGATGGGACGTAGGGCATAGTTGACTCGCCAATCGTCCGCGCAGGGGCCTGAGCATCGTACGATGCGGCAGGGCCAGAGTAGGAGGGCTCAGCCGACTTGCTGGGGTGCGAGCCCAGGGGGTCTCCGAGCTCGCCTATGGGGCTCAGGGGCCCTATCGAGCTGCGCATGGTATGGCGAGCATTGTTGGTGAAGGCAAATGTGTTGTCGGGGGGTCCATCGCTTCTTGCAGAGGCGGAATCGAGGTCATCGAAATCGTTGGCTCCGCTCCCACCGGCGCCTCTCTCGGCAGCCAACTGACCCGCGTGTTTCTGCATCTCCTTGACCATCCAATTGACATTGTCCTCGGACGAGTCCCTCCGCGACTCGTTGTTGCCGGCGCCGCGCGCCTTGGCCCTACCGCGCGGTAGGTCGTCGTCATCCTCGGACCCTTCCCGCAGGAAGAAATGCTCGGCGCCGCCAAGCCTCACGGTGCTGTTGGGGAACGCAGACATGGCCTCCTCCAGGCGCATCTGCGCATCCAGCTTGTTGAGGTCGAAGACATGGTCGGCAATCTCGTCGTCGCAAGACTCCCTCCTAGCGTGGCCGGGCCGCCGGTTGTGCTTCTTCTTGGAGGTGAGGGAGTAGATGTGTTTGGCGTAGGGGGTGATGTCGGTCTTGTCGGCGGGCTTGGTGGCCGGGCCGACATCGCCGGCCCTGCGTGACCTTCGGCTGGACTCGAGGAGCTGCGGGGCAAAGCGGCGCTTCTCCCGGGTGACAGTCTGGGTCTCGTGGTGGGTGACCTGGACGGGCGCCGGAGGCGAAGACGGCGAGGCGGAGGTCGGGGAGGGCTCGGGGGTGGGCTCAGCGGCTGGGCCGCCCCTGCGGTGCTCCTTGAATGTGGTCTCGATCGGCACAGGAGCGAAACGCCTGCGGGACTGCGTCGGTTGCGTCATACTTGTGTTGTATACCACGGCGAAAGACCAAAAGTGTTGGGCAGTAGCAGCAGGCCGGGTATTGTGCGGGGCGGAGACGACAGAAGGGGAGGAGATTGGGGTTTGAGCAGGCTGGGACCGCGCAAGATGAGTCAGGGTGAGGTTGTTCGTGAAGCGATCGTTGATGGACTCGGCGATGGCCCCGTGTGCGTCCCAGCGAGTACTCGTGCTCGTGCTCGTGCCAGTGGCTGTGCCTGTAGTCGGCACTGCTGATGTGGGATGATGGCGCGGCTGCTCCCACCAGGCTTGTCCTATATCCAATTGTCGACGTGGTGAGACTCTGACATGTAGTGGGTGTCTAATTCCATGGGGAGGTGGCCCTGCAGGTATGGAAAGCACAGGACGCTGGCTGAGGCAGTCGTGGTTCGAGTTGATGGGCAGGGGAGCAGAAGAGCAGGGGAATTGAGGAGTCGACAGGTAGAGGAGAGCGCGGAAAGGGCGGTCACGAGGAGGGGGAAACGAAGCCTTGGGCCGATGGGAAAGGATGCGGTGCAGCGAAGCACACGATGAGGGCAACTCGTGGCCTGCCCTTCCTCCTTCCCGCTCCTCCTCACGAACCTGCCCGTACTGTTATTATGGCATGGGGCATGGGGCATGAGCATGGGGGCAGGCCTGGCCTGGCCCTGAGGGCCCCTGACCCTGGCCGATTCATTCACGCTCGCTCACTCAAAGGGAAAAGTGGGATGGGCTGCATTAGCCGGGTTGGCCAGGACAGTGCATCGTGACGGTGCGAGGCCGGCCCTGCTTTGCGCGCAGGCGGGTGAGTTCCCACCATTTTCGGCAGAGCGCAAGCCACCTGCTGCGTAGTCGCGCGTTGACTCCGTCCGGCCGGCCGGCCGTCCGTCCGTCAGTCAGTCTGTCCGTCCAATGTCTGTCAATGGACGAGAGGCAGGTCAATGAGACACATGTGTGCGCGCACATACACACACACACACACACACACAGCGGAACAAAGCACAACATATGCAGCTGCTGTTGAGAAGGCTACCCTCACAGGGTTCGTTCAATACGTCGGAGAGCACAATCAATCGTTCAATCCTATCGACCAACCAACCAACCAAACAGGCGCCAGGGGATGGTTGAACCCCCCACCAGCCGATCGTGCCGACGTGCTGTAACAGTACTACCGATGTGGTTGCAACCACGACTTGACTCTCCCAACGAATCTAGACAATCTTTGTCTTCTGCATTGACACGATTGAACGGCTCACCATTTTCTTGGGGGCCAGCGCAGTCTGTCCGATTTTGCCTCGGGGCCTGACATCATCAACGAGCACCTGCAAACTCTGTTTCCGCCGCTGGGCTGCCGTCAATGTCAATGTCAAGTCAGGTCAAGTCACCCCACAATCTTCGTGTGAGCCCTGCCGCCCGAGCCCCAAGCCCCAAGGGCCTTGTGTCTCTCCCTGTTTGCTCCTGGCACCATCGACACGAGCCCGTTGCCAATCTCGGCTGTCTTCCGAGGCAATTAGCAGGCTGTCAGGCGTGCCTACCTGACTGCCTGAACAACAAAGACGGCATCACGAGAGGCAAGATGCACGCTCTTTGGCCACAACCACCAGATGCATGCTCGTGATGCATTGCTCCCACTGCCGCGTCAAAGGTGCCCGCCCCTCTGCATGCGAGTATCTGCTCTCCTTGTAAGCTTGCCAGCCGGCCCAGAGGTAGGCAGAGAGTCGCGCGCCGGGCACTCAGCCTGTCCGCCTGTCCGGCCTGTCAGACTCTTCCCGTGGTGCAGGGACCACTGGATCGATCTGAGCGCTGGCGGCGCTCCCGCCCGGTCTTCCCTGAAGCTTCCAGAAGCCCAGGTCCTCGGGTCTGACTCCCAAGCTCCATCTGGACTTGGACGGCTTCTCATCTTGGGCAGCTCAGCGGGTTTCCCGAGGGCCAGAACCACCTGGGCAATGTTGGATCTCGGTCCCGCCCCCTCTCCTCTCCCCCTTCCCTTCGCTACTCCAGTTACTGCAACTGCTAGTTTCCTCCAACCGAACTCACGAGACCCGCCCTGCCCGCCTCGCCGGCGCCTCTTCTAAAATAAGGAATACGAGACAGCCCGGCGCTTTGCCATCCCCTTCCCCCCTTTTGCAAGCCGTCGATACCTGCCAGCCCTCCGGCTTATGTACAAGAGCGCCGAACAGAACTGAAAAGAAATGTCTGCCCGCTGCCCGGGTCTGATTCAACCCGCGGCTGTTTTCTCCGTGCAGAGATCAGAGTCAAGTCTGGGTGAAGTTGATGCGTCCATTCGTCGGCTGCGTCTTGTTTATCTGCACTGTACCGTACATATTTGTCTACCCTCTTGGGACCACAAGTCTGTCCGTCTGTTCATCCATCGCTTGACCCAGAGTCCAAACACTGTGTGTCTATGTGCCCTTGGAAGTGCTTGCCTCGCTGATCCATTTTGCTCTCGAATCAGAGGCGTGTGTAGTGCGCGGGGGACTTCCCGACCCTTGGCCGTTGGAACCTGGCATGGCCCTGGACCTGGACCAGGACCTGGAATCATCCAAAAGGCTCTGCCCCCACTTGCAGCGCTCGTGACGGCCACGCCACCTCCCGCTTTTTGACGTTGCCCCTGTCTTCCCGGCGACCGCCAGCTAGCCAGACTGCCCGCGTATGAATGTGCCTCCTGTACTCCTCCGTCTCCTGTACGCAACTGGTGTGCCGACTTGCCGACCTACACGCACGCACAGGGCAGCACAGGCTGTGGGGATATCCGTTACGACTCACACCTAAGCCTGACCGCCACATCACGGCCCGCTTTGCTCTGCTATGCTATCGCGTCGAATCGCAGGCAGGCCGGCTCAAACCTCTTGTGTTGCCCTGGCGTTCTGGCTGGGTCTCCTATTCTGCAATAAGCTTGCCGTGAGGAAGCACGCGACAGCCTGCAATGGACTTGCCTCTCTCCGGAACCGGTGCCCCATCTCCCCAACAAGCCCCAGACACTGGACTACTAAGTAGCTCGAGCGAAACATACGAAGCCTTGTTTGTGTGTGTGTGTGTGCACAATGGGCCTTGGGTCAACAACGGGGGATGAGCGTCCTGCGGGCATGGGATAAGAGACCTGGCTAGCACCCAACGTTTCAAGCCCACATGGCACGCCGCGGGCCGCGCATCTGTGGAGCGACTCAACTCGGTTTCAATCTGGCCAAACAACGTGTCAGCAAAGTTTATCTGTCGTCCGTGCGAGCGCCGAGTGCCCTGAACAGTTTGCCATGCCCGCCCAACACATTGTTCAACTGCCCAATGCCGAAGCCATCCCCAGCCAGATCCCGAGATCCGGGGCTGCGGGTCCGCGACGGCGTCCGGAGTTATCTGGGTAAGGTGAGCTACTACGATGCCTCAGAGAGCATGCGTACCACCACACCGCAGCGAAGACTCCGCGGTATTCGCGAGATGCTTTGGTCCGGATATGGACCCGAACATTCCCAGAGCTGCCTATCATGTCCGTTTTCTCTCGCGGTGCAGTTGCCGATGCCCACGTCACCTTTATGGTGCCTCCATCTCACCCCGGAGTGGCTCTATTCTTCCTTCTTCCTCTGTGATGGCCTGGTCGCGAGGTTGTCCCTGTCGACCGAAGCCATGACTGGCTATGCGCGGTTTATAGTAACGGGTGCTGGGTGTCGCCAGTATATGCCGCGAGTAAGTTTGACCTGGCCGTGGGGACTCTACTTCGAGAGAAGCCGTTGAGGGCTGAAAAGTGAGAAGCAAAAGTATGGTGAGGGCCAGCTGCGCTGCCGGCCAAAAAGGGTGACCACCCACAGAAACCTGATGGTGGACGGTGGTCTATAGGCAGAGGAGCACTACAGAATGGCCCTGAATGCTTTCGAAGCTCCCTGGGCCAAGTTAACTCCTTGGTATCAAGCATCAACGGCGCGACCTCGAGCCTATACGATAAGTCTCTCATCAGAACCGTGGAAGTATCCAGCCGATGTGTCTTCACAAGAGCAGACGCAGGTCGCCAAAAGGAGAGCTTATCGGCCGTGACTATGATAGGATGACGCGCAGTTGATTTCAGCCTTTTGACATGCTGCTACCCCGATAAGTTCGGGGGGATCACGCAGTTGCTGTTGTCAACAACATGCTCATGTCCCATTCATGACAGGCGCATTCTATCCCAAGTCTCACCAGTATCGCTCCCGGCTTTACAGGACATGATGTTGGAGTTTGCCATCGGATGGGAACTGCTTAGACCCCGAGGCACAACAGGGTGGTGGCACTGAGCCCCAACCACTGTATCTTATTTGATGGCATATTTTGCCGGCCCGCTAGAAGAGGGCCGCAGTCAGATCACCATGCGAAGACTGGCAAGGAATGCGAACAGAAGCGCCGGCCTGTGGAGACTAAGCTTGTGCGATCTCTGCCAGTGTCGACCAGGCCGTGCAGTCTGGACAGTCTGCAAAGTGGGCACTGCTTTTGCAGGTTCGCAAGATAGCCGGACATATCCATTGGAGCTTGGCGGGAAGCGGTTTCATTGACATCAGACGATGAGGACGAGAGAGCTGGAACCGTGATTTACACCCACGCTGGTTGGACAAGCTGGAAGCACGAAGGGACATGATTTACAGGGGCGCCGGGGCAAGCACTGGCCCAGGTCGTTGAGAAAATACCGTGTAGAGACGGGGTTGCGCGAAGCATGGCTTGTCGACGGCCGGCAGTACGGCGCGACTATCTGACTGCGCGACTGAGAGGCGGTGCCGTACTGCCGGTAGATGGGTGGTCGAGGACGCCACAAGCCATCATAGTGTATGTGGCCTGGACAGACGGCACGGTAGACACGCCAGGCCCAAAGCCGATCCAATGCCCAGGTCGTCTTTGGTATGGGGACATACGTCAAAATGACGGGCAGGCGTATTTATCCGGCCAGTCAAAGCCGCCCGGACTGACGTTGGAAATTCGCACAGCTGCACGATTCAATACTTCATTTCAGACGTGCAAGGTTCCTCGGGCGGTGGTGAGATTGCGCGGTAAGGGGAATAAATGAGAGCGCCACTCGAGGGCAGCATGTTGTTTCCTCAGCACACAGACCTCGCCTATCATCTGGGTTACGGGCCAAACGGTTCGATGAGCGATGTGCAATGGATGGTCCGTTGGGCCCCCAGCTGCCTGGGACCTGAAAGGCTCAAAAGTAGTACACGAGCATGATATTGCAGGCAGTGTACGCAGACAGCATGCGGGCTGGTGCGTGCTCGGAACAAGCCGAAGTTCGCACAGACACACAGCGTCGATCTCGGCCGAGAATGAGGCCAAGCGCAGAGCCACCAGTCGTGTTTTCTCGTCGAGTCGTGGCATCCAGCATCCTGCGCTGGTGTTGGGCGTCGGCTACGCGTGATGAGATAAGATGAGAAAGACAGATACCCCAGGAGATAGATGGCATGTCTACACATAGATAGACCTACATGCTGCACGGCAGGGTACCCGGGTAGTCAGATACATGGGAGCCCACTCAGACGGACAGGCGTTATCGGCAGCAAGGTGTGGCTGCAACCTCACGCACGAGGTTGCCAAAGCTGCACATGCGGGAGAAAATATGAAAGCTCACGGTTTGCCTGGCAGCCTGGCAGTCTACCTAGCACTACACAGGGTATAGCCTAATCAGTACCTTGCCGTGTGTACTGCAAAGTAGAGGGCCATGTCCCACGTTGCATGGGGAAAGGGCCCGGGGATAAGCCGCCGTGCTGTACGTGATGGTTGACGTGTGTGGCCGACGGGGGCACGCGACACAGTCAGCAGCAGATGCGATGCCGGCCAGCCTGCTTGTTGCTCGTCCCCTCCAAATGTAGACAGTCTGTGAATCTACCAGACTTCTGTGATAACTCGTCTGCTCTCCTCCGGGCCAGGCCCGTCTGGTGCCAAGGCGAAGGAGCAAAAACCTTGAATACGGGGCCTGCGAGGCCTTATCAAACCTTATCACCGTCACCGTCACCTTCACCGTCATCACCGGCTCGGGGTTACGCGACACGCTTGGATTGAATTAATGAGCCGAGGGGGAGACCGGGTCAACACAGAAAAGCTCCAGTGCTGCAGCCACCTGCCTCACTCAAGGCCAGGGCGTGGGGACGGCCTTAGCAAGATGGAAGGACGGTGCAAATCTGCCCAGATACAGTCCAGCACGGACAAAGAGGAAAAGAAAAAATCAGAGAGAGAAAAAAAACATTCAAAATAGAAGGGAACAAGAGAAAAAGCAAGATTGGAATCAGCCCGTGCGTCAGGTACCGTCCGTAGCGCCGGTACATAGTCGTCGGTCGGGTTTGGCAGGCTCGTCGCTGGTCGCTGGCCGGCTGACGGCGGGTGCGCCTCTCGCCTTTGTCTTTGTCGCTCGCCCCGTCCCCCCCCCCTGGCCGACCCCCCTGCTCTCCACTCGCCCATATTCATCCACCAAGTCCAAATCCATCCAGATCCCAAACCCAAACCCCAGATCCATGTTCACAGTTTACGTTTACCTTGAATGTGCACACCCATCCACACCCGTGTCCACCGGGCACACTCAGGAAACACGAGCAACAGACAAACACTACCCAGCCCTTTTCCCTTCCCGTCGCCCCCTTCCCAGCCTTTGACTGGACTGGACTGGACTTGGTCCTGGACTGGCACTTGCTCCATTCAGTCCTGGACACGCAACGCCATATCACATCGACGACACCGGGCACATTCCTCTCTACTGTGTTTCCAGCCACGGCGAGGCGAGCCGCAGGACCAGCAAGAAGACCAAGGCCACGAGCAAGAGGACCACAGCCCCGAGCCGCAACCACGACCAGGACGAGTCTGGGGACCGCGACGATACTACGCCCCAGACCATGTCCTTCCCAACCAGACACAGACAGTTGCTGCCTCATTCTCTCCACACTCTCGCTACCACGGCTCACTGAGAAGCCCACCCGTCCACCTGGACAGCTACACTACTTGCTGCATCCCGCATCCGTGACATCGCTCTCTACCTACCTCTAGGTAGTCTGCCATCGCGGTCGCGTCTGCAAACCACCGCGACGTGACCTGCGCACCGCTGCTTCAGGCCCGCCGCAGCAATGCATCACGACGTCGGCACGCACGGTGTCGACGCCCACCCACAACCCAGTCCCGTAGAGCCACATGCACAGGCGCAGGTGCAGGCGCAGGCGCAGGCGCAGGAGCCGTCGACACGAGCCACCAGCCCCATCGCTGCGGTCGGTAATGGAGCCTCTGACATTGGCACATCTGATGGCCCTGCACCCACACTGCCAGGCGATAACGATAGCCCCGAAAAGGGGCACACGATGCTTTCGCCGGCCTCGCCATCAACGCCCTCCAGCCTCGACTCCATTTCCAACCCCCGTCACTCGCTCGAACATGCCAATCCGCTCCACCAGGACCAAGACATTCTGTCCAGCCCCAGGCATGAGCTAGAACTCATCCCCGAGGACCGATCCCTCGACGGCCTTGCTTCTCCCTCAACCGCCAGTCTGGCCAACTCCTCCACCTCGCCGCTACACATCAACACCACCCTCCCTGTCTCCCACTCCAACCGAACATCTGGTGCATCCACCCCGGAGACGGGCATCATAAGGCCTGCAGTGCGACGCCCTAACCCCCACCACCCACTGCCACCGCGCCCGTCCTCGCCGTCCTCCTCCCCCGTCGAGCCACCACTGTCGCCCGTCATCCGCAGCGCCTCCACGCACTCCGTCCTGCGCCACCCTGCACCCGACAACGTGGTGAACGCTCGCTCCGGCTCCTACACCGGCAACATTGCTGCCCTCGAGGCGACAGCCGAGCGCTTTTCCATGACGAGCAGCATAGAGGACGCCATCAGGAACGCCCACGAAGAGCTGAAGCGCAGCGACAGCCGTCGCTCGTCCATCCTCGCCGCGAGCGTCAGGAGCGGCGGCGACTTCGGCGTCGACAGCCCCCCCGGCATCGCCCCAGCACCCCTGTTCGCCCGCCAGAGCTCCATTGTCGGCTTGAACACCGAGGCAAGGCTGGGGGGCTATTCTCCCCGGCGGGTACATCATGAGCCCTACCCAGTCGCTCACCGGCCGCCTCAGGAGCGCAAGCAAGAGCAGCGGCGCCTTGTCGAGGGCAAACAGCACCAGGAGCAAGCCTGAAACCATCGACGGCGAGGCCTTCCCCAACCTTTCGGCCTCGTCCATGACGAGGTCTGGCCCTGGCAAGGGCTCTGTGCGGAGTGTACATAGTATCCAGAGCGTTCACAGCGTCCAGAGCAATCGTTCCGGCCCCCTCTCCCTCGCCGAGATCGCCGAGATGGAGCCCCCATCCGCCTTGACCCTGGACGCAATGGATGAAGCTGATCGGACCGTCGCCAACCTACAAGACCTCGGAGACGATGATGATGCCATACTCGCGAGGGCCCACCAACACGTCGAACCAAACGCGACAGACATAGAAGTCGCCGAGGAGATGGCGAGTCGGGCTTCAATGGACCTGGACAGGACACCCATGCTGGATCACTCTGCGGATTCATATTGGGATAACCACGAGGATGCAAATTTCCAGCTACGGAACCCCCAGGATCCTCCTTCAGCCCGGGCCCGGGACGAGTACGAACCCCCGGCTGAGCAACGATCTGGCGGCAGCGGCTCGCCAGACACTGAAGACGAGGACAACGCCTTCGCCGATTTCGACGGTATGCATTGTGATCCTGACACCGTGGCCGAACAATTCCCTGTACAGCCAGAAGAGGCCCAGTACCCGCGGCCACGTCAACAGAGGCAGTCACAGATGCCAAGGGCGCGGCCGCAGTCGTACCTCGACCCTGAGACAGGCCAACAGATGCTTTATTATCCTGCGCGTGTCCCGGCCATGTTGAATCTTCCCCCGAAACTTGGAAAGGGGGTCAAATCCACGCAGCGCAACATGCGGCGCAGTCAGGTGCTCAGCCAGATGCCACAGGCAGCTCGGGAGAGCAGGGCCTGGCTGCCTGACCCCCTGGAAGGCGAAGGCCCAATAGATTTGATGGGGGATGACCGACCAGCGAGCTCCATCGACTCCAGCTCCCATGGCCTTGGCCCCCAGGACGCGCTCGTCGCTCCTGGAGAGCCCGGACCTTCTTCCCAAGGACACTCGGTAGATGCCTCCGAAATACAAAATCTACGGCGTCCTGGCAAGCTACGAGACCCTGACCAACGCAGATCTCGCATGGACCTCTCAGATCTCCCGCCACAGCTGCGCGCTAGCGTTTTCTTCGACCTGCCGGGTGAGAGCCCAAAGATAGAAGTCAAGGACGGTTCCGCCATGAAGACTCTTGACAGCATCCTCGATGCGGCAGCCTCGGCGCCGGTCAACGCTTTCACAGACCATGCATTTGCTGGTCGTCTGGGCCCCGAAGTCTACGGGCTCGGCAACAAGAACAACCGCAAGAGCAGGATGATGCTGACAGCTGAAGACGCAGGTGGTGATGGTGAAAGGAGCGGTCTCATGACATCAAAGAGCACGGTCTCTCTAGCCGTACCAGAGGCCGAGAAGCGGAAGTCTGTGTGGTCTCTGCTAGCAGGGCGTAACAAGTCCAAGAGCAGGGCCAATCTCCTCGCAGAGAGAGACGAGGACGCCCGCTCGAAGTTGTCTGGCTCGGGCCGTGGTGACAGGGACTCGTCCCCTGAGGCTGACGAGCGCTCAGCTCTGGCCCCCGACGAGGAGGCGGAAGGGTCTGAATCCGAGGAGGAACAAGTCTACACTGGCCCTCCCACGACTCTCCTGGCAGAGCTGCAACTGCGCAAACAGCAACACAAAAACCGCACCCGCAACCCAATAGTCAATGCCAGCGGCCTTCACAGCACACTTTTGGAGCTTGACGCTGTGGCGCAGGTCGAGGCACGGGCTCGCAAGAGCAAAAAGGTCAATCTTGCGTGGGCTGCCGATCCGGACGAGCCAGAGGAGTCAGACGACGAGGATGTACCGCTCGGCCTACTAGCAGCCAAGAAACAGATAGGGCCCAACGCCACTGAGCGTGACATGGCCGTTGCTGCTCAGGAGATCAGCAGGCCCTTGGGTCTCTGATGGAGAAGCGTGACCTGGAGGACAACGAGCCGCTGTCCCGTAGACGTGATAGGCTACAGGGCAGGGAGGTTGCCCCCAGCATGTATCTACAGCCAGGCGCGAGCGGAACCAGAATGACGCTGATGCCGGGGACCCACAGCCCTCGCCTCCTGCACCCTGTCAGCCCTGGTGCGTCTGGGCCGCACTCTCGGACTGCAAGTATGGGAAGCCAGGGACAAGCGGCAGAGGATATAGAGGGCGAGACCCTTGGCCAGCGCATGAAGAGACTCCGTGCCAAGGAAGAGGGCGACAACCCACTTCCGAGCGCCAGGCCGGTGAGCACTGCCTTCTCGACCGAGCTGCTTGGCGAGCTGGGGATAGGCGGCGAGGAGGACAGGAATAGCGCGCAGGCTGCAGACAAGGGGAAGGGCAAGGAGGCCCAAGCACCTCCAGCCGAGGAGGAAGAGACTCTGGGCCAGCGACGGCGGCGGCTGCAAGCCGAGCGCGAGGCCCGCGAGCAGGAGATGGGCATACGGGCTGTGTCTGGCGGCAGCCAAAGGGGCGCAGTGTCGAGCCGTCTCGACATGGCGGACGTGCTCCGCGCGAACCCGATGGAGGGCCCACAAGGCAGGATGGACCCCCGCGAAGCCGAACGTCTGCGGAAGGAGAGTGAGGCGTCGCGCGTGGCCCGCGAGCAGTCGGCGAAGATGGCCGCATTCCGGGCTCAGGTCCCGCAGAGCGCGACCCGAGTGGTGGCGTTGTAAAAGCAGGTGGCTACCAGGGCGGAAGGTTCAACGACAGCAGCGGTGGCCACGGCCTGGTTGGGGTCCTTGGACAGCCTCAGGGCCACAATCTTCGAGCGAGCATGAGCATGGGGCAGCTTGGACAGGGCGGGCAGGCCCCGGTGGCAGGCGGGATGCGCATGGGGACGCAGCGCAATGCGACGAATCTGATCGGCGCTGCTGGCAACTACGGCAACCTCAATGTCGGGCCGGATGGCATGAACCCGGTCTTCGCAAAAGGCAACACTTTTGGGCGAGGGTATAATGGTGGTCTGCTGCAGCAGCCGCAGTACCAGGAGCCCACGCCCTTTGTCAACGGCAGCCTGCTGGCGTCAGGAGGGTACGGTGCCTTTGGAGGAGGGATCGGATCCGCGGGAGGCTACGCGCACAACCAGACGGCGTACGGAGCGGGAGTGGGCTTTGCTGGGGGCATGCACGGTGGCTATGGGATGCAGGCCGGCACACCGATGAACATGGGCCTCAATTCGCAGGGCTATTCCGACCGCGTTGAGAACTGGAGGCAGGGCATCCGGTAAAGAGAGAGGGGGGGGGGGGGGGTGTGTGTGTGAGAGAGAGAGAGAGAGAGATTGGGTTGTCTGATTACCACGGGCCAGCTACAACCCTTGGGGGGGGGCCCGCGGGCAACAATAAAGGGGCGGACGGGACCATGAGCATCAACTGGCATCATACAGGGAGAGGGCAGGATGGGACAGGACAGCACAGCACGGGATACTACTTGGGACGGGAATGCATCTGTGTACACGAGCGTTGAGACTTTGCATTGCAGCGGCGTCTGGGCCTCTCTCTCGTGAGGGAAGGAAGGAGGGCGGCGGGGGGATTTCCCTCTGGTTGGGTCGAGCATGTGTATATACATGTACACACGCATACATGTACATAGGCTGTATATGTGCACACATATCTAATTCTTAAACCATCACCACATGCATCAACAGCATCATCGAGTGGGTGGATGTGGAGTATCTGCAACTGCCTGTAATACGTAAGTACCGGGTACCCAGGTAGGTAGCATTGAGCTTGGCTGCCCCTTGCCCAGGTTTGCCGCCAGGAAAACGTGGGGAAAGCTTCCCTCGAGGCGCGTCACAGTCGGCCAATCTACGCGTACCCCAATCTCAACTTCACCTCCCATTGTCAGTCACGACTTCAATTCCAAACCTCCGTCTCGGCCAGAAAACCAGCTTCCTGATACCCGGCCGCACACAAAGGGCCTCCTTCTTCCTCCTAGTTCCTACAGCTCGCCGAACCTCTCCTGCTACAATGGTGCTCTGTCCAATATGCAACCAAACTGTCAAATCCTCCGAGATCAACAGCCACATCGACTCTGGCTGCACGACCTTCCTCATCGACGCTGCCCCGACCGCTGCCAGCCCTAGCAGCAACGCCAGCTCCAAGTCCTCACCATCCCAGACAAACCCAAAGTCACAGCCCCAGTTGCAAGCGACACAGTCGGTCACGCAATCGCAGCCGCAGCCGCAGCCGCAGCCCCAGGGCCCTCCTCCCGCGTCCACGATGAAGAGGTCTGCCGCAGACTTCTTCGCCACGCCCGCTGCTAAACGACAGGCAACCGCCTCCAAGGTCCTGACTCCGTTCGTGAACGGATCAACCAGCTCCACAGCGAGGCCGTCCCCTGGCTACTCGACTGTCAAAACCATCGGCGCCAAGAGATCCTTCGACCAAGGGCCCGGCAGCTCGCCACCCGCCCAGGCCGCTCGCGGTGGCTCCCCGCAGGACACCCCCATGACAGAGGCTCAGCCTCTGTCGCTGCTTGCGCCGCCGGTCAAGAGACACAAGTCCAACCCAAACGCCCCTCTGGCGGAACGAGTGCGCCCGACTACCCTCGACGATATCGCCGGCCAGGATCTCGTCGGGCCCAACGGCGTTTTGCGGGCCCTGATCGAGTCTCAGTCCTTGCCATCCATCATACTGTGGGGTGGGTCGGGCACAGGCAAGACCACCATAGCCCGGGTTATCGCCAACATGGTCGGGAGTCGCTTCATCGAGATAAATGCCACGTCCAGCGGCGCCGCAGAGTGCAAGAAGCTGTTCCAAGACGCCGCCAACGAGCTGTCGCTCACCGGGAGGAGGACAATCATCTTCTGCGACGAGATACACCGCTTCACCAAGGCCCAGCAGGACGTTTTCCTCAAGCCTGTCGAGGCTGGCACCATCACCCTGATCGGAGCCACCACCGAGAACCCATCCTTCAAGATCCAGGCCGCCCTCTTGTCCCGCTGTCGAACCTTTACCTTGCAGAAGCTGTCAAACGAGCACGTTCGGGACATCTTGACGAGGGCCTTGAAACATGCGTTCAAAAACGACCCGTCAAAGCTGCCTCCCCTCGTCGACGAGGAGCTGCTCACCTATCTCTCTGCCTTCGCAGACGGTGACGCCCGGACCGCCCTGAATCTCCTGGAACTCGCCATATCACTCACCACCAAACCGCCGGCTGACCCGTCGTCACCGCTCACAAAAGAAGACATCAAAGCAGCGCTCACCAAGACCCTGGTGTACGACAGGGCCGGGGACCAGCACTATGACACGATATCGGCCTTCCACAAGGCGGTGCGAGGCTCTGATAGTGACGCGACACTCTACTACCTCGCGCGCATGCTGCAGTCAGGCGAAGACCCGTTGTTTGTCGCCCGCCGCATGGTTGTCATCGCATCCGAAGATGTGGGACTCGCTGATAACTCACTCCTATCTCTCGCCACGGCGACTTACACCGCTGTGGAGAAGATCGGCATGCCAGAAGCCCGCATCCCCCTGGGCCACTGTGCAGTTGCTCTGTGCCTTGCCCCGAAGAGCACGCGTGCGTATCGCGGGCTCAACAATGCTTACGCTGCGCTGCGCGAGCCGGGCGTGGCTGGGCTGCCGATCCCCATACATCTGAGGAACGCGCCGACGAGGCTGATGAAGGAGATGGGTTACGGGAAGGAGTACAAATATAATCCGAATTACAAGGACGGCAGGGTCAGGCAGGAATACTTACCTGACCAACTGCTGGAGGAGGTTTCTGGAGGACAGAGACCTCGGGACGGAGGTTGACCCTGACTTGAATATGGAGGACTGAGGCCTCGAGACGTCTGTCTCTCGGTCAGTCATGTGACGGCTTTTGTGAATAATCCACACGCACGGCGTCTTGGATGCTGTCTTGGGTCTTTGGACATGCACATCGTCATTGTCACTCAGGATAGAGATGGATTGGAATGCTGGAAGATGACGCATGGGACGCATCTCTCCCCACAGAATTAGATGCATCAATGTAAAATGAACGTCTAGGAAAACAAAGCCAAGAACAGAATTCTGCCAACAGATGAGAAAGACAAGGCCAGGGCGGAGTCCTCATTTATGTCATGGACACAACTCGTTCAGAAAGTGTCCACTTGGCTTTGTCACTTTGCAGACAAATCGCTGCTAAGGATGTAAGTGGCCATGTGGCTCGGTGTGGCCCTTACAAGGCTCATCCGTCATGTTGATACCAGTACTGTGACATGCAGCACACACGTGCATCTGTATGAACACAACGGCCAAACTGATGCCGCAATATCAAAATAAGAAATGAATATCGAGATTACAGCATAAACCCCGTCGATATGTCCTCCAACACTGAGCTCACGTCATAAGACACTTCCATGCATAAGTTGACCAATACAGACCTTCCTACAGGATTGTCTCCCTAGCATAAACCTCCACGGGATGCCCTGCTGTCGCATCACCTCCCGTGGGAGATTAGTGGGATAATCTCCCGTGGGACAGCCTTTGATGGTTAACCTGCCATGGGACACCTACTACAACTTTCCGATTTCCTTCCCTCTCCTTGCTATCCCCGGCATAGCCTACACTGAAACTCACATATTCGCCAGAACAACGATGAGTGTGGGCAGTCACATAAACTCATGAAGAGTGATCCATTTCTTGCTGTCTTTGTTCGCCCTGAGGATCAAACCGGCATGGCTTCCCGATCAAAGGCCACCGGGCACTCTTTCTATTTTCAAGTACTCTTTCTTTTCCTGATGAGGTCCATGTGGCAGGTCTTATGCGCCTCTTGTGTAATCGCCGGTGGGATTTGGCCAGGCCAACCCCCCCCCCCCTCTTCTGTACCTGGTACTTGCACCCACTCGACACTGGACCTCTGCTGTCTGTGATTCACACGTATCTGGATGCCACTCGAAGCGATGATTTGATGTTACAGTCACTCTCTTCTCTTTCTTTATATTGCTGCAAAGATTTCCTACCAACGACCATTGTGTTTGGTTTCTACTTTTCGACTCCTCCATCTTGTACACACCATTTCCACACTGTCGAGTCCCTCTTACGCCTCTCGCATCAAGCGTCTTCAGACCTTTACCATCTTTGGATAATTCACCTCATTGTTCACTCACCATCGTCAACATCTCCCCTGGATTTCTTGTTCACATCTTGTTGCTGATTTCAGCACGCCCTTTTCAAGACAGCTAGTCTCCGTCTCTTAGCTGCAGTAAAACCTTCACGGATCTTCCTTGACGAAATGTACTCACTCACCAAACGGCTCTTTCCCCGAAGAACAGTACCTGAGCACCCCTCACCGCACGCGACATGGCCAGCTGTACCCCCTTCGCTCCATCATGAGTCCTTCGGGATGGACGAGGGAAAGCTTGCCGCTGCTCAGCCGTCGGACCAGCCTCATTACAACCCAGGGGCAGCCACCCCTTGGCTCGGCCTCCGATCCCGACTTTCCCAGGTGCCCATGAATCGATGGACAATCCTGCTTCTTCTTGTTCTAGCCAGGCTCCTGATTTCCCTCGATGGCCTGAACACAAACCTCATCTCCGCCAAGACACGGGCCGTGACTGCTTGCACCAAGGTCGAGGATGTCGGGAGTTCGATGGCTTCCATGCCTCACTATCTCTCGGCCGGCGTCAACCGGCTGGCTGCTGATGGGATCACCAAGGCCGTTCATGGCTTGGTTGACATTCTCTTGATGATTCTTACCGGGGTTCAGCAGCTCATCATGTTCTTTATCGAGGTCAAGGTTGGTCTCGTCCTGTGTTTCTCGGCTGCCGTCGCCCGGGCAGTCCTCGAGGTTGGCGAGTCCGCCATAAAGGGCGCCACCGATGGCTTGAATGCCGGCGTCAAAAATATTATGGGTCCCCTGACTTCTGGTATAAACAAACTTATCGACGCTGCGGGCAAGGTGGAAGGCGTCTGGGACGATGTTACTGGCAAGCATAACGCCGCTGACGACGTCCACGACAGCCTGGATAAGCTAAATAATCTACCACCAATCGATCCCGACTCACTCCTTGGGGGCTTGAAAGACGTCGAAAACAAGATCAACTATGACAACGTCAAAAATGTAGCGAAAGAAGCCATCGCGGTTCCATTCGATATGGTCAAGCGACTTCTCAATGAGAGCTATGGTACCTGGGAGTTTGACCACTCCGTCTTTCCGGTCCCCGCGAAGGAATCCCTGTCTTTCTGTCCCAACAGCACGCTTGAGGACTTCTTCGAGGTCCTGTTCAAGATCGCCGCCAATGCGAAGATCATCGGCATCGTGGCGCTTATTGCCCTTGCTGTCCTCGCATGTGCCGTCATGGCTTGGTGGGAAATCAAGCGGTTCAACAGGCAGCTCCACAAGTCAGAGACACTCATCAACCGCGAGCCCATGGACATCGTCTACATTGCCGGCCGACCTCTGACGGCTGGCACGGGGGTCTGGCTATCGGAGAAGCTCTCGGTCGATCGTAAGCGCCAGTTCCTCATCCGGTGGGTCTTTGCGTATGCGACAACATACACTGCGCTCTTTGTGCTGGCTCTAGCCGTGGCAGGGGCTTTCTCGTGCCTCTGCCAATGGATCATCATGAGGGCCGTCCAACAGGAGATTCCAGCCCTCGCTGCCACGGTCGGGGACTTTGCTGGCGATGTCGTGACCTTCCTGGAGCAGGCTTCCATGAAGTGGGCCAACGACTCCAACGGCGTCATCCTCGAATTTCAAGGCGACATAAATGACAAAATGTTTGGCCATGTGAGGAACGCCACCCACGCGGCCAACGACACGATCGGCAAGTTCGACGACGCCATGCACGAAGGGCTCAACAAGGCCTTCGGGGGCGTCCCTCCACTGGAGAAATTCCTGAACGATATCATCGATTGTCTCATCGGAAACAAGCTCTATTCGGTCCAAAAAGGGCTGACGTGGGTGAACGAGCACGCTCAAGTCACTCTTCCGCTCTTCCCCGTGGACGTTTTCTCTGTCGGCGCCAACGACTCGACCAGTGGCAACTCCAACGCCACGAATTTCCTGTATACACCGAGCTCATCCGTCACTGACGAAATCATAGATGCAGTGGACAGCGTGGTCGACAAGCTTTGGAGCAATATCATCCAGGAGGTGGTGATCTCAATAGTTCTTTTCCTAATTTACCTGGCTTACGTCTTCTTCGGCGTCGCTCAGGCGGCGGTTCGCATGGCAATGGGCGACCGGTACGTAACGGCTTCCAGAGGCGAGATCCTGGCCGATGTAGAGTGCAGAAGCTAACGATAGATATGTGGATAGGGATCACGATGACGACGACCGGGCTCGGCAACAACCTCGCTTCGGTGACGGCTCCAAGCTGGAGTAACCAGATACACGATTTCTGGGATCGGCGGCTGCGGGCCAGTACCAGAGACTCCAGTCAGAACGCCGGCTGGGGCTTGAGACGAGAATCCATTCGCGGATCAAACCGCACAGCCGGTGAGCAGATGACGCAAGGAACAGGGCGCGCAGTCTGACAAAACAGGACAGATATGCAAAGCAGATTGAGCGTGGTCGCATACAAGGCCTGGGTAGATGAATCGGCCTAGACTGCCGCGCTGCCATATAGCGGCCCCGTCTATGTGGGCGATGAGTGGCATACGTGGCTGTTCTCGGCCGTGTTTCGGCTTCTATCGAAGTTTTATTTGTTTTGACGTTTCGTTCCTCTCGGTCAATTTCTTCCCTTCTCTCTAATTCTTTTTAAGTTTCTTTCTTTTCTTCTCTATTCTTGGCGTAGAAGCGCCGTACTAGAAAGACTATCATATCAAGGAACACAAGGGCAGCAATGCATTCTTCTCATACTCTGGGGTCCAGGAGTGTGTGGTGAACAGGAATGCAGATGCACTGCTTCGGGACAACACTGGAGGGGCCTTAGCCAAAACCGTAATGCTGAATGCTGCGTCAGCATTTGCCTCTTATTTCGGGCAATAATTGGTTATGTCCCTACTAGCACATTGAAGACAGCCATGTGCCGAGGGGCAGGTCAATAGAAAATCGAGACGATTATCTGATCAACAATAACTAGCCAATTAAACGCGTAGACCATTGTAAAGAGAAAAGGTACACTGGGCCGTGAGGTTCGCTCGCCACTCTGTTCCAGACCCCTGGTTCTGGAGTCGAGAAATGGCGCTGACTGCATCTATACTGTAGGAGGTTATGCTACAAGAGGTTGTACCGCAGGGGGTAGGATGTCATGCCACAGAAGATGGTCCTATACAAGGTTGTCCCAGAGCACGCTACCCAATAGGAGATTGGGCCACAAGAGTTTATCTTCTGGGAGGTCATGCTGAGGAGATTATCCCATAGGAAAGTGTGTATTGGTCAATCCATACATCTCGCAGGATAGGGCGCTCCAACGCATGTCGGAGGACATATAGTAGACTCTGGCCACGAGTCTGGCGGGCAAAATCATTGCAGTGCATTTCAGTAGGACCGCGTGTCCTTGAAGCGACGACGTGACGTTATCATTGGCCTCGAAAGTAAGCTCGTGCAGGGTACCGAGGTGACAACTTTTTGCGTGCCATAAGTTATGAACCGGGAGCCGCCCCCTGTCCTCAAGATCGGTGATCTCTAAGCAGGGTCACCGACCAGTTTGGAGCTGATGGCAGGAGGGGGGAAGTCGGCATTGAGGATCCACTTGAGCCGCGAAGGAATGTGAAAGGTTTGCCGCATCCTGTGCAAGTGAGGCAACCGCAATACCCTCAAACCAGCTGGCCACTCTCTCTGCCGCTCAATCAGTACATCTCAAACCGAGCAACCAAGCCTGGAACATGATGGAGGAACTGGACGCGGCTGTCCTTGGTGCAGGTGAGTCGACAGCACCCGGGACGGGCGACCCTGGTCGCACAAAGGCCGGTGCATCGGCGCAAGCATGAGAGGTGGAAGCTGATGTGTTGTCACACAAAGGGTGGGCGGGGCTGGCAGCGGCGAAGACGTTCTCCCAGCTCAGTCCGAACAAGTCCCTGGTCGTCTTCGAGTCCGCCCAAACCTTGGGAGGGGTCTGGGCGAGGGAACGGCTTTACCCAGGGCTAAAGACAAACAATATGCTGGGGACCTACGAGTATCCTGATTTCCCCATGAGCCCAGACATGTTCGGAGTCAAGCCCGGACAGCATATTCCCGGACGGGTCTGTCACGAGTACGTCAGAAAGTATGCCGAAAAGTACAGCATCGCGGACAAGATCCGATACACATCCCGGGTAGTCTCGGCGGAGCACAAGGAGTCTGGCGGCTGGTTGCTGAAAGTCTGCACAGTTGATGGGCATGACTCTCCGGAGGCTCACGACCCAGTCGAGTACCAGATCGCGGCCCGGAAGCTCGTGGTTGCGACCGGGTTGACCTCGGAGCCGTTCAGACCCAGATTCAACGGCGAGGGTACTTATTCTGGCAAGGTATTCCACATCAAGGACTTCCCCAAGTATGCAGAGACTTTAAACACAGCCAGGCGGGTCACCGTATTTGGCGGCACCAAGTCCGGGTGGGATGCCGTCTATGCCTACGCCACGCGAGGGATCCAGGTCGACTGGGTCATCAGGTCGTCTGGTCACGGCCCCTCGTGGATGGCCCCACCATATGTGACACCACCGAAGAAATGGCTGGAGAAGCTGGTCATGACTAGGCTGTTGACGTGGTTCAGCCCTTGCGTCTGGGGTCCTGCCGACGGCTATGGCAGCATTCGCAGCTTCTTGCACGGAACGAGAGCCGGTCGCTTCATTACGGACAGGTTCTGGTCTATCCTGGGAAACGACGTGCTCAACCCTCAACAGGTACGACTCTCACCCCGAGACGGCCAAGATCAAACCCTGGAGCCACCCCATGTTTGTGGCCTCGGGCTTCTCCATCCTGAACTACGATACGGATTTCTTCGAGCTCGTGCGCAGTGGTGCTGTCAAGGTGCACATCGCTGATGTCACCCGTCTCTCGGCCCGCAGTGTGCACCTGTCAGATGGCACGGAGCTCGAGTCTGAGGCTATGTGCTGCGTCACGGGCTGGAAGTGGACACCGCCGCTCAAGTTCCTCCCCGAGGGCATCGACGAGGAGCTCGGTATCCCGCACGCCCACACGCCCAGCCGCCTGAGCCAGCTCGTGGACAAGGCCGACAGGGAGATCATCGATGAGTTCCCGCGCTTGAAGTACCCGCCCGTCCAGAACAGCAAACACGTCCCGCTCACCGAGCAGGAGGGTGTGTCAGCTAATGGCGGTGCCGTCAACTCGCCCGAGTCAAACTCTCTGACCCCCTGGACGCTCTACCACTTCATGGTGCCGCCATCGCAGGACATGTTGAAGCACCGCGACGTTGCCTTCGCAGGTGCTCTGATGAACTTCAACGTCCCGCTCACGATGCACGTACAGGCACTCTGGATCAACGCGTATTTCCGGGGGGAGGGCCTTTCCCTGCCTGCAACCACCGAGGACATGCAGTACCAGGCTGTCTTGCACAGTCGATTCGGCAAGTGGAGATATCCTGGGGGCCATGGCAGCCAGTATCCCGACTTTGTCTTCGACGCTCAGCCGTATACAGACTTGCTGATGCGTGACCTGGGCCTTCAGGTCCACCGCAAGAAAGGATTCATGGCCGAGGTTCTAGAGCCTTATGGTCCTGAGGATTACAAAGATGTCGTTCAAGAATGGCTGACGAGGCGTCGCATTTTGGGCTTGCAGTAGAGGGTGACATGTATCAGTGATGGTGGAGGACTGTGGTACGCACCGAGTCCAGACCTCTTTTCCAAGCGTCAGGCGACACATCCGGGCATTTGATCAGCAGCTGCGTGGTCGAACATGTCGAAGGCGCCATGTCGACATGGCCGCTTCTCAATTCGTACAGTCTTTTTCTGCAGGGGCGCGAAGTGTGGCATGCAGGTGCAGGGTGCAGGGGTGCAGGACCCCGGTGCCAATTCGGAGTCGGAGTCTGAATAATAAGTCTTACGCCTGTTGCTGCACAGCGGGGGACTACACTACGTACGCTTCGCAGTCTAAGATTGATTCTGGTGACTCAATCACCCTCCATCTACCTTCTGGCCCTCACCTTCCCCTTCAGCCTCGCCTCCAGAATTCCCTGTTCCTCCCCTTCCTCACCAATTGAACCCGCACGCTCTGTCCAGTCGTCAACAGGTGAAGCAAACACGCTATGGAGGCCATCAAGCAGACCTTTCAACGGTGCAAGGCCGAGAAACGGGTAAGACGAGCCCCACCTTGACAATTGGTCTTGGACTTGTCCCTGTTCACCACCATACAACCCGGCTGACAATGCTCGTGACTCCCAACAGAGTGCACTGGTCACCTACGTGACAGCAGGCTACCCCAAGCCCGAGGACACCGCCGATATCTGCCTCTCTATGGAGAGGGGAGGTGCAGGTACGCCACGTCAAGCTACCCTTGTCGCCACCCTCCTGGCCTGGTTACTGACGCAGACTCGCTTCTCAAGACATCATTGAGCTCGGAATACCCTTCACAGACCCCATAGCAGACGGCCCGACCATCCAGACCTCCAATACGGTCAGTGGATCGACTCTTACTACACACGAGTCGTTGCAGTCCCGCCGTCCTCTGCCTGGCCTTCGCTGACGTGACCAGGTCGCCCTTGAGAATGGTGTCACCCTCGCAAGCACCCTCCAGATGGTCCGCGATGCCCGGAAAAGAGGCCTGAAGACGCCTGTTCTGCTTATGGGCTACTACAACCCTCTGCGCGCCTACGGCGAGGAGGCCCTGCTGGATGACTGCAAGGACGCCGGCATCAACGGCTTCATCATCTGCGACTTGCCTCCCGAGGAGGCCGTCTCCTTCCGCAAGCTATGTTCCAAGGGCGGGTGAGTCACCGCATCCCACGCGTGGCACATGCTGCCCTCTCCTGCTGACCTCAACTACTGACACCGGTCTGCAGCCTCTCCTACATCCCTCTGATCGCCCCTGCCACCTCGGACAAGCGCATGCGTCTCCTCTGCCAGCTCGCCGATTCCTTCATCTACGTCGTCTCGCGCCAGGGCGTCACAGGTGCTCTCGGCACGATGAACGCTCACCTTCCCGAGCTCCTGGAGCGTGTGAAGAAGTACTCCGGTAACAAGCCTGCTGCGGTCGGCTTTGGCATCTCCACCCGTGACCACTTCACCAGCGTGGCACAGGTTGCCGACGGCGTTGTCGTGGGTAGCATGATCGTCACCACACTGCAGAAGGCGCCCGAGGACCAGCGCTACAAGGCCGTCCAGGAGTACTGCTCGTACCTCTGTGGGAGGACGCCCGAAGAGGGCCTAACGAGGGAGGTCGGCGTTGTCGAGGCAATCTCCCAGGCCAAGGAACCCAACGCCCAGCCCACCGTGAGCGCCGTCATTTCAGACAACCATGTCAACGGCGAGGATGCCGGGCTGGTGTCCCAGCTGGCCGCGCTGCATGGCAAGATCCCGGAGCGGTTCGGAGAGTTTGGAGGGCAGTACGTGCCCGAGTCGCTGATGGACTGCCTCTCCGAGCTCGAGGAGGGCTTCAACCAGATCAAGGACGACCCGGCCTTCTGGGAGGAGTTCCGCTCATATTACCCGTACATGGGCCGGCCAGGCCAGCTCCATCTTGCCGACAGGCTGACAAAGTACGCTGGCGGCGCCAACATCTGGCTCAAGAGGGAGGACCTCAACCACACCGGTAGCCACAAGATCAACAACGCCGTTGGTCAGATCCTGCTTGCGCGGAGGTTAGGAAAGACAAAGATCATTGCTGAGACCGGAGCGGGTCAGCATGGTGTCGCGACTGCCACCGTGTGTGCCAAGTTTGGCATGGAATGCACAGTGTACATGGGTGCCGTAAGTTTTGTTCCCGGCCCTTGTGTGACGCTGCCCTCGTACTGACCACAGCCACAGGAGGACGTGAGACGGCAAGCACTGAACGTCTTCCGCATGAAGCTTCTCGGCGCCAAAGTGGTCGCCGTCGAGGCGGGCAGCAAGACGCTTCGAGACGCTGTCAACGAGGCTATGCGGGCCTGGGTTGTCCAGCTCGAGGACACCCACTACATCATCGGCTCTGCTATCGGCCCACACCCCTTCCCGACGATAGTGAGGACCTTCCAGTCCGTCATCGGCAACGAGACCAAGCAGCAGATGCTGGAAAAGCGGGGCAAGCTGCCAGACGCCGTCGTGGCGTGCGTCGGCGGTGGTAGCAACGCCACCGGCATGTTCTTCCCCTTCTCTAACGACCCCTCGGTCAAGCTCCTCGGGGTCGAGGCCGGCGGTGATGGTATCGACACCCCGCGCCACTCGGCGACGCTGGCAGCGGGCTCCAAGGGCGTGCTGCACGGTGTCAAGACCTACGTGCTGCAGAATGAGCACGGGCAGATCCAGGACACGCACTCGGTGTCTGCAGGTCTCGACTACCCCGCCGTTGGGCCCGAGCTGGCCTCGTGGAAGGACAGCGAGCGCGCCAAGTTCGTCGCCGCCACGGACGAGCAGGCATTCCTCGGCTTCAAGCTCATCAGCCAGCTGGAGGGCATCATCCCTGCGCTGGAGTCGGCGCATGGTGTCTACGGGGCCATCGAGCTGGCCAAGACCATGAAGCCTGGCGAGGACGTGGTCATATGTCTGAGCGGCCGCGGCGACAAGGATGTACAGAGCGTGGCCGACGAGCTACCTGTAATAGGACCCAAGATCGGTTGGGACCTGCGGTTCTAGAGGTGTAAGTCTGTGGAACGGTCCAGCTTGATAACGATCGACTCGACTTGATGCTGAAAAGAGGCGAAAAGAATAGAAAATAGAGCCAAGTGATGAGGCCTGGTGTGTTGTGTACTCAATTTGTAGATATAATGACCTCGGCCACCATGGTCCCCGAGGTCTCAACAGAAATACACACAGCATGTATCAAATGGGACACGGTGTGGTCTTGATGAATTCTGTACTTTTACATTTGTGTATGTGGACGTGACATCATGGCGTCTGCTCCTTCATGAAGCCTTCATCCTTGCCAATGACGAAGTCCTTATCTCCGTCTATCATCTGCTGGGTCTCGGCCATCAGCTGCTGATTTTGATGTGCAGGTGCGCCAACGGGTACTATGCCCATGAGGGCCGCCTCGCGCAGGGCCTCCTCTTGCAGGGCGCTGTCGGACTTGGGCCCAAGCCCCAGCGCCGCCCTCTCGGCGGCGAACCTCCGCTTGACGGTCTCGCTCTGCATGATCCTCCACCTCAGCTTCCACCCCCACGGACCCAGGTCCTTGATGCGCTGGCTCTTGCCGCCCAGGAGGTAGTTGTCCAGGCCGCCGGCCTTGTCGATGGTGCGCAGCACGCGCGTGGTCACCCTGGTCTGGACGAAGCAGCGCAGCGAGTCGCTCCACAGGCGCCTGCGCTGGAGGTTGGGGCGCCACTTGCGAGGGGTCTTGACGTCGTGCTTCTCGGAGACGTTGTTGCCGAACTGGATGCGCGAGGAGCCGTAGAGGCCGCCGTTGGACTGCTTGTAGACCTGGCGCGGCCCGTACGGGTAGGGCGGGATCTCGGGGGACTTGGAGCTGGGCTTGGGGATGGGTATGGAGAGCCCGTGGTTGTCACGCGGCACGCCCTGGTAAGGGTAGCCGGTGGCGAGGAGGGCGGACGACGTGCCAAAGGTCCTCGCAGCGCGTTGGCATATGGGTTGCGCGGGGCTGAGCGTCGCCGTCGGTCGGGCCAGGGCCGCCCGCAGAGGCGTCAGAGTCGAGGACATGGTTGGAGTGATGTCGTTATACTGCTGCCATGGGGATGCAACGCGGTCCTCGGCCCCACCACACGTGTTGTGGTGATGTTCGTGGTCGCGAAAGGGCGGCTGAATGGCTTGTTTGCTTGCCCGAGGACGTGGTTGGGAAATGTTGCTAGTAAGGTGCCCTTCTCTCTCTCCGCTATCCTACATGGTCAAATGCCTGGCCAAGCAGATCAGATGCCGAGCTCCCAAAATTTTGGGACTGGTCCAGACAGGTGGTTATGTAAGCCAGCAAACGCTCTAGTATTGGCTCCGACATGCATAGACTACCTAGGTAGGTACCTAAACTGCTAGGAAAACTACGAGTGCTACCCGGCTAGGTACTTAGACAAGCAGACTAAATTGTACGCTTGACGAAGTATCCCGTCGCGTCGCCGGCACGCGTTAAGCCCGTCAACGATCTCTCGGTCAGACATACTGTTGTATCATCATCAGTGAATTCCTTTCCTGGACTCACTGCACCCTTCAGCTCTTCACACAATGCTGCCTCCAGTTGAAGAGGCCGTGCTGCAGAACAACCCCGAGTTTGCAGCCCTGTACAGCACTCTTACCACCGCGATACTGAATCCTGACGGCACGACAAAGGATGACAAGAGTCACGTCGCAAAGGAAAGGGGTGCCGTTCGCGAGGTGCATTCCAACCGAACCCGACTGTCAAGTCTTGCATGTGCTGATGTTAACTCGGGCTGGTGCTCAGGAACTTGACACTCATCGCCTGGTGTCCGCCAAACACCATCTGCTAGCCCAGACCGTCTCCTCCGCCGTGGCCCCTGAGCCTGCCCGGTCAACTGCAAAGTCCGCGACCAAGGCGGTGCCGCGGCCATCGGAACTACCAGAGCCTCTTTTGGACCTGTTGCTGCTCCTCCCCCCGCTGCTCACGTGTCCGGAGGAGCCCGCAGCCGAGACCCTTCAACTGTTGCTGGCCAATCCCCCCCTTTCCTCCCTGGATGAGCTTGTGCCGGACCTTGCAAGTCTCGTCTCCTCCAACCTCCAGTCTTCGGCTGTCCAGATCTCCCGGGCAGCTTTCCCGGCCACGAATCCCTCCTTCATCCATCGGCAAGTCCCGTCGCTTGCGCGTCGCATTGCCGAGCTGTCTTCAGACCTCCAACGGCAGTCCGACTCGTTGGCCGACGCCCGCCTGTCTGCGACTGGTGCCGTCAATCAGCTGCTCCAGAAGCAGACAGAGATTCTGGTGCTGCTGATCCGCTCGCTCGAGGCCAAACACGGCGGCATTGCGCGCTCCCTCGAGCACCGAGCCGCCGATGTCTCCCTCGAGGCTCAGCTCGGCCAGGCCAACGCGGAGACTGCCTTGTGGAACGTCAGAAAGAATGTCTACAGCCCTGAGGTCCGCGAGGCTCTCGAGAATTATTCGGTTCACTTGCGAGACGGCCAGTTGAGGCTCCGGGAAGCGATGAGGACTGCCCAGGTTGAGCTTCAAGACTACGGCGTTGCTGTCGATGGCCGTGCCGGCGATCCAAGGAGGGAGCGCGCCCTGAGGGAGGCCGCGAGAGTCCATAGAGAAACGCGGAGGCAGATAGAGGATGCGCAGAATGATCTGAGCCGCTTGCGTTAAACGATCCTCTGCGGGTTAGGACATGGAACATGAGGCAACAAAGCAACGGAAAACCATCCAGACTCTGGTATTGCTCTACCTGCTCTTGACGCATGCGAAGCCCAAGCGCCCAAGCAAGGGGCTATGGACCGCAGCTTGAATCCCCCACCGAGTTCAAGTTGCTAGGCTGCCAACACCCACACCCAACACCCATACACCCAACACCCATACACCCAACTCACATACACCCAACTCACATACCCAGTTTGTATGTATAGTTTGACTTGGGTGTGTAGGTGTTGGGTATAGGTGGGCGAATCAGGCCTGGTCGATGTGCTTTGATTGGCTACAGCTATGGTGTGAGTTGATGTACCGGTGTACCCTCTGCTGTTACAGGTGCGAATCTCTGTCTTCACAAAAAGCGTCCCTTCCTGATCAGGGGGTCCACTCTCCCGGGCCACAGGCCATCCCGACACAGCAACTGACTCCGGATTGACAAGCGCCCCAGCTATTGGCAGAGTGATCGTTGGGGAACGTGTATGCTTGTCCCTGGCAGGGCTGGAAAAACGGTGACGCCGTATTAGTCACGTCGTCGCCACGCTCGGGGTTGATACAGGCGTTTTGATCATCCATTTTCTTTGGAATAGGGATTGCTGTTAGCACTCAATGCTTCACACCGACGTGGCAATGCTTTTGGGAGCCGCCTATGTGCCGGGTTTTGGACTTACAGGGCAATCTCCCAGGCTGAAGAGGTCTTTCATACAACCAGTTACCTGCGTTCCATTGCAGTAGCAGACGATGGGCAGCGTGAAGCCGTTCCTGGGGCAGCGTTCTTTCAGCACAAAGTGGAGCTCGGGTACAAACAAGTATGCCGTGGAGAGTGCCACTCACACGTAGCTGATGTCAACGTCTATTACCGCAATCTGTGAGTCCCAGGTCTGCACGTAATTCCCCTCGATCAAAGACACGTCCCCGGTGAGGGAGTATGCTGCATCAATCACTGCCACATTGCCGGTCCAGTTTACCGGGACAGCGAAGGATGATGATGCATTCGGCGCCTGAAGCATTAGGAGTCAACTATCAAACTACCGAGGAGCGAACTTCATCCGAATATCCCCGGGGGGGTGGGTAGGGGGGGGGGGTAAATCAGGCCACAGGTGGGAGATGTTTGTTCTTAAGAGGGTTTGAACTGTGTCCGGAAGCTGCTTACCATGGTTCCTGCACCGACAGGTCCCGACACCGCAGTTGGCGCACCCTCGCCGACCACGTGAGTGGTGCTGATGTTCGCAGTGTGCTTGTTGACCACGGTGAAGGTCATAAACTCGGGGCCGAGGGGGATGTCTTCAACGTTGTAGTCGATTCCGCCACCAGTCTTCTCCGGGGCGATGGTCAACTCGGTAAGGGTGCCCTCGACGCCGGAGTTGACGACACCGCTGGTAATAGTCGTGAAGACCTTGCCAGGGTTAGTAGGAATGGCGAGGGTCATGTTAGCCACCAAGGCCAGGAAGGTCAGGAAGAGAAGAACAGGTGTATTCATGGTGGGCTGTGTGGTCCTGATGGTGCCAGTGGGTATATGTTGTTTTGTTGAGTGGTAGATATGTCTGTATGAGCAATCAATTGGTGGTCGAGACCTTGGAAAGGAAGTTGTTGAGTGAAAAAAAAAAAAAAAAAAAAGGGAAAGACTTGGTTGAAGTCCTGGAAGTTCTTAAATATATGTTTACTGGGCCCAGAGCCGTGGCTCACTCGACCTACTCATCTGACAATGTTTGTCTTCTTGTCATTACTCACTTTACAAACGAGTGTGCGTGAGGTTGCGATGGTGGGTCACTGTTGTACAGGAACGGTATGTTACCCAGAGCAAGAACCGCTGATTGTCTCGAGAGCTTCATCACCCTGTAGTTCGCAAAGCTCCAGCCTGCAATCACAGTCGTCTTAAGAACGTAGATGTGTCCTATTGGATAACCGCCGGCAGGATAACCCCATATTATATACCCTCTCACAGGGCATCCTCTCCCGGGTTAATCTACTATGGGATCACCTGCAATGGAATAACCTTCAATGGGATAAAGTCCAGTAGGATAACGTCCTGTGGGATAGCCTCCAGTAGGATAACCTGCTATAGGATAACCTGCTATAGGACAACCTGCCATGGGGTAATCCGCTGTGGGATAATCCACCATGGGATAGTCCACTTTAGGATAATCTGCTATGGGATAATTTGTTATGCCCGATTTGGGTTGCCAATGTGGTCACGTACACTCGGCGTACGAGGTGGGACAAGTGGCTAGCTGCTTATGCATGCACTTATCAGTGCCAAGTGAGGGCGACAGGCTCGGGCTAGAAGCAGCCCGTCCTACTCTTCAGCTTCATCATCTCACCCGCTGCAGATACTTTAAAACACATCTTGCTGCCAACCAGTTGACTGGCCATCCCCTTAAGGAAGCACACAATTGTGACCATGATTGACCAAGGCGAATTCTACAAGCAACTCACCCGGACCCTCACCCCCCTCGCATTCCGAGAGAGTGCTGAGAAGGGGAACGGCAGTCCAGATGGTGACATATCGACTTGGGTATGTGACTTTCTCGCATTATGACACCTTCGAATGTTATGATTCCATCTGATTTCATTTTGAGAGTATCCACCGTAACCCCTCTTGAAGATACAACAGGACACAGTCAGCAATGTTCTGTGGATGTGCCAGACAGAGAAGAGTGTTCCACAACAGAAGCCTCAGGAACATGCACTACTGACATCCTGGGGCGATACTGCCTGAGCTAAATGCTGACATTAAAGTCCTGAGCAGTATAATACCCCCGGCGCCACTGTTGCGGCAGCGCGCTCAACCGCAACCTATGGCTCCGATTCGGCTGCCCAGGCATCCCCGGACATCCGCCATGCCGGATGGGGGGGTAAGGAGGCTGCCCGGAGAGCCCTGCCCTGACGAGAACACGCTCTTTCAAGCCTGCTCCGTTTCCAAGGCCTTCCAGAGCCTGGCCATCCTACATTTTTACAGCGAAGGGTCCGTATCTCTCTCGCACACTCCTCCGCCCTAGCCCAGTGTACTGCTGTTGGCCTGAAGCACCTCGAGCCGACACGCGAGCCGGGTTGTCACACGAGACTCGATCCACGATGTAGTCGTGCAGTATTCGCTGCATCTCCAAAGCAAAGAGTTACGACGTGGGTTGGGCAGCGGCTTGGCCATGTCTTGCTAACATGATGGGCAGGATTATCAAGTCGTTGGATGAACCTGTCAAGACAAACCTCGGCAAAGCGGCGTATGACATAATCCTGCAAAATTCCGTGCGCAGAGGCGTGCCTGAGGATGTTTCTGCCCAGTTGCTAGACAGGGTGACCATCACCCAGCTTCTATCCCACACTGCTGGAACAACGGCGTCCGGCTTCATGGGCTACTCGCCCCAGGGCGACCACATCAAGACGTCGGCCGAGGTTCTCCAGGGAGGGCTAGGCAGCGCCAACAGCCCGCCGGTGTATGTGCACGGCATTTGCGGTGTGCAGCGCGAGTATTCTGGCGGGGGCTCGACAGTTCTGCAGGCCATGCTGGAGAATATCGCTCGTGACCAGGGCTTTGCCTCGTACGCGTTGCTGATGAAAGAAAAGGTCCTCGATCCGCTTGGAATGACAAGGTCCTTCTACTGCGACGCGGTGGCCCTTCAGCAGTCCGAAGAGAACTACGCGACGGCCTACCAGAATGGCACCTACCCTCTTGAGGACGGGCAGAGCTTCCACGTATACCCGGAGCAGGGCGCAGCTGGCCTGTGGACGACATCGCTCGACCTTAAAGGGTCTCTTGGGGGTGGCGCGCACAGCCCTGGGCACAGCGTCCGCAGTGAAGCTGCACGGGAACACGTTGGATCAGACCGGACGTGGCCCAGCAAATCTTCAAGAAGCGGCCGGAGCTGGCCCACGAAGGCGACGCTTACTACTGTGGGTTCCAGGTTGAGTTCTTGGACGGCGAGGATGGGTTTCCCGGGGACGAGAGGCTCGTGCGCATCTCGCACTCGGGCGGCAACGAGGGATACCGGTACGTATAAGCCCACCACCTCTGGCCCCAGGACTGAAATCAGGCAAAGGCGAGTCACCGGGTTGAGAAGGTTGCCGACTTGTCGCGCGTAGATGCTGGCATGCTGCGTCGTTTCCTTTGCCCAGCAGGGTGGAGGCCGGGGACGAGATTGTCATCCATGCGATGGCGTGCATGACCAACTCAAACTATGGCGGTGACCTCTGCGGGCCCATGATCTGCGCCATCTCGGAAATGCTCGACAGTCCCCTGGGGGGAGGGCCTCCGGGTGGTCCATTCAGCAGCAACGCGCCCTTTGCGGCCCTGGGCCCGACCCCGTCGGCGCCGTCTGCGGGATGGGGCGGCGTACGAGGGCGAGTGGAAGATCAAGGACCGGGCTCAGACGCTCGAGATCACAACGGGGCCTGGGCCGTCAGCCGGAGTCGAGTTCAGCCAGCTGAAGGGGGTGGTGCCGCTGGTGGGCTGCGCAGCGAGGAAGAGCGCCGAGATGTTGAGGCTGCGGGTGAGCTCGCTCAATGCGACGCTGGATTTTGCAAACAAGGGGGGCGAGGCGTCGCTGAGCCTCTGCACGGGCGGCGCGAGGCTCGAGTGCAGCCGGTGACGGGTGGTTCCGCGTGTCGTGCTTCGGCGTTTGACGGGGACTGGCCGTTGACGCCGAAGGACGAGGTCAGAGAACACCAAGGTTGAGGGCTGCGATGGGCTCCTTGCCGCCATCGCAGACTCTCGGCTTCGTCCTTGGCCGGGCCAGCCAGGGCTCCTTCAAACCTGCAAAAGGGCCCACTAATGACGTCTCGACAGAGGACGAGACTAGGCCTCGTCTTGCACCGGGCTGGCTCCCATCCCCAGCAATCCCCGCGACTCCTGCCCACGATACCGGAGTCCCCTTCAAACAATGGGGTTTGCCAGATGAGATTTTTTTCTCTCTTCCCTTCCCTTCCGTTCTCTCTTCCACCCCCTTCGAGAACGTCATCGGCATTGCACGGTGACTGGCTAGTTCTCTAGTCATGGCCGTAGCGCCCCGCGGGAGGCATGGACATGGCACGCTGGGCTGTGGAGATACACATATAAAGGGAGCCCGGTGTTCTCGTTCCTGAGGATCCCCCTGGAAGGCGTGGTTGTGTAGAGAATCTTCACTTGAGTACAAAGACTATACTTGCTTGGTCCGTTCTAGACTCGTTAGAACCCGCCCCCCTCCCCTCCCCAACCCAATAGCATCTCAATACGGTACCATCTCAACGTAATACCCATACACCCGCAGTCATGCCTACCTTCACTGTGTTCAAGGGCATGGCAATGCTTGCCAGCGGCATCACGGTCCAGGGCTCCGTTGTGGCCGCGAGGCAGATGCACAAGGACAGTAAGTGGAACTCACCTGTCGTAGGACCCAAAGCTTGACGCGTCTTGATCTGCCCGCTGACATGATACCTTCTTCCAATAGTGCTCGAGTTTGCGGCCCTGCATCGCATCAAGCCCGTCGTCCAGACTTATCCCATGACCGAGGAGGGCATCACAGAGGCCATGAACAAGTTGGACCGCGGCGAGGTTCATTTCAGAGCAGTTCTTGTGCCGCAGTAGAGACCCACTCCCCCACCCCCCCCCTCTCTCTGTGTCTCCTTTCCCCTCCTGTTGAGCAAGGCGTTTGGTGGTTGTAGTATAGACGAACACAGCAGTTAGAGCCGAAAAGAGCTGGCATGTTAAGGCGTCGGCGATATAGCAGATTTGAATAAGATTGAGAACAGATCTTCGCACAGAAGAAAACGGATGATACACAGGTACCTCTTTAATAATATTCCCTTACCAAATCAGAGCATAGCACCCACACCCACACCCACACCTAATTTACACACTCATACTTGTATACAATATATAAATCAAGTACGAGTACAACATACTGAGTGTGTAAATTATATATGTGAATTGGGCTTGTGTATGTTAATAGGGCGTGGGCGTGTGGGGTGTGGGCGTGTTGGTTGTGGGTGTAGTAGGGGGTGTAATAACGTATCTGTGTACCATCCGTTTCTTCCCGTGAGAATATCCGTTGTCATAATTCTTGATACAGTTGCAGTCTTCTCCCAGCGTGCCGTGACAGACAGGCATCTCTCGAACGTGCGGAGCACAGCCGGCCCCCAAACGCCCGAGGTGCGCATGTTCCAGGCCGGTGAGAGGTTGGTCGGACAATGAGGAGGAGTTGTTGGATGATTTTGGCAGGCCGTCCACTGCCTGCGTCGAGGGGTGGGCCAGGCTTGCGGGCACGGCATCCAGTCAGTGGGGCGTAGAGTTGGGAAGTTGAGACCACAAACGTCTGTTGACCTGTCGGACCATCGCACCGGACAGGCACTGACACACCGCCCACTTTTACCTGCTCTTCTGACCAGCAGCAGAGTGAGAGCAGCCCGTCTGGTATGTTTTGTTTCATCTATGAATAGCACCGTTGGTGTTGAATGGCTCGCCGGGGTTGCTCACCCCCCCCCCCCCCCCCCCCCCCCGACGGGGCTGCATCGACACCTGCCACGCACGAGGGTGTGCGTGATGTTGAGATGGCGACGGCACCCAGCTCGGCTATCACGTCTTAAGGACGATATGATGGCCCGGTATAGGCGGGAATGCCAGGGTAGAACGAGACGTCGACAGGCGCATTGAGATACTTACTTCAGGAGCTCAAGTGCGTGTTCTAGAAGCTGTCGAGTACCAAAGGCGAATAGCCCGTTGCAGCCGTGTGGAACCAAACATATGGAACGAGGGAGTGCGTATGCATACGTAAGCGCCATCGACGCCATCCTCAATGTGGACTAGGTGAGCTAGCCGTCCGGGCCTGCAGATGCCAGGGAGGCACAGCCGTGGCCAATTGGCGCAAGAAGACCACGGGCGGACATGCAGCATTCCTGTCCACAGTCCGCTGCGGCTCAGCTTGTCTGGCTTGTCTAGTCTAGGCGGCCTCCCAGACCATCCCGTTGCAGCACCACGCATCTCTTCTTCAACAACAACCGGGGGCTAGACGAATAACTTTGGATGCCAGCGCAGGCTCGACTGCACTGCCTACACGGACTTCGGCCATCCTGTTGGACTTCTTCCCCACCCGATCGAGCGGTTGTTTTGCCGATGCTGCTGGCTATGCTGGCAAGTCTTGCAGGGCCGGTCAGTCGGTCGGTCGGCCAGCCGGTCAGCATCGGAACTTTCGGGGAGTCTCGAGTTATCCCGCACCAGCTGAAAACGCTGGGGGCCTTGGGGCCGAAGCCACAGCATTTGGGCGATCCCACCCTTCTGCTCTGCTGGGCTGGAGGCGTACCGAGGTCTTCACACATGTAATTCAACAGCTCGTATACCACCAAAAGAAGGTTCGCTGAGCCACGGGATGATGTCACTGTCACTCCTGCCGTCCCCGTGGCTGGTCAAGACTTCGGTAATGTGGTGCTAGGGCTTAGTAGGCAAGGCTCGTGTGACCGTCTCTTGGACGTTCGGGCCCAGGTTCGGGCCCAGAGTAGACACCGGGACTTTGTGGACGCCCGGGCCGAATCCCAGATGGTGTCGCGCTGTCTGGGTGCGTGACTGTCGCCCGCTGCGAACAAGCCCGGAGCTCGCAGGCGACATCCCCCCACACAGCATGAGGTGTGTCTGCATATACTGCAAGGCGAAATGATTCTGCCGGCCGTTATCCTGATCGAGCATGTTCCGCCGTGAAGTGGGCGACACATGTTCCTTGGAGCATTGGGGTCCAGGAAAAAACCAGAGAGTAAAGAGAAGGAAAAACAAGAAAAGGAGGTTTTCCGAACTGAGAGACTGGTCAGGAAACTGTCAGGCTGTGGTGAGTAAAAATAAAACCTCGCCCATCCGTGGTTGTCTCCGCCCACAACCCGACGCTTGAGCTATGGTAGCTCAACGATCGTCCCAAAACTCTGGACCGAGCTCGAACTTGTCCTGCTCCACCCGAGCGGAATGCAGGAGAACCCACTCTGCTCCTCGGGATGGCCACATGGGCAGATCTGATGAGATCGACGGCGCACCATGCTCACCACCCGACCACGGGCAGTTGTTTCTTGGTCAAAATGGCACAGCTACTATCTATTTGGCTCAATCAAGTCACATTTGTTGCGCAATTCGAAGCGAACACATGCAAGCACGCCCGTCAGATACGCCTTCCCTATGCAGACACGAGCACCCGCCGGACGCCGTCGTCATGACACAGACCGACCTGGCGCCTGAGATAGTTGATTTGACCGGCATGAGAAGCAACGGTCACTAAAGGACACGGTCCGTGGCAAAGGCTCGAATCCTGGCTGGCCGATGAGAATATTGCGGAACCCCAGTGTGTAGACGTTGAACCGGTAGTGCTATGTGGGACCGAGGATTGACGGAGGCAATGGTACCCTGGACTCACTGGGTATACAGCACGCTGCCTCGCATGATGCGCATATACAGCAAGGTGGCCCTCGTCAGAAGCACCATGCTATGGTTCTCGAAGTCTGGGGGGTTGCAACCGAGCATACTGTGTACCCGGTAGACGAGGGAAAGAAGAAGAAAGGACAAAAAAAAAAGGGGCTGAAACTCATGAGTTTCCTGTCCGGGCAGGTAGCCGCTCTCGCCTTGTGGGGATTTGTTTCCGAGGGCGGCATGGCCATGCCATGCACAAGAATTACCGCGGTGCTGTGGTAGGGTGCCGTGGTGAAATGTTTCGAGGGGAGCTCGTGAGGCTGAGAGGGCGCAGAGACCTAGAGCCAGCCCCCTGTCCAGCTGCATTGCCCGAGGGGCTCCGCTTTCAACCTCCGAAGGCTCGGAGATGGACCCGCGGCTGGTTATGCTGAGTGCCGGGCCCAGTTCTTTCGCCTCCTGAGGCCTGAGGCCGGCGTCTGAGGTTTCCTGTCCAGTTTCTCCTGCTGTCGCATGTATCATTGTGGTTCTCCCGTCCTCCCTCCAGTGGCAGTCAGCAGCAGAGCAGCAGCAGCAGGCCGAGGCTGGTCCGTTCGCTGCCAAGGAAACAAGCACAAGGTCCGATGTGTTCTGATGCTGGATGAATGGAACCTAGCATGAGCTGCCGCCTGGTGGAGTGTCTGGTGGCTGATGCACGCTGGACGAGAGCATTGAAGATATCGCGCATGGATCGTGTGGCATGTTCAGATGGACTCGAGGCAGGTCTCCGCCAGCAAAAGAAGGGGCGAAAAGCTTGGCCAGAGTGAGTGATGGGGAAGACATCTGCCGGGGGACCAGGGGAAGGGACGGAATAGCGTGACATTCCACATAGTGCTCTGTACACGGATACTGGACAGGCTGGAGCACACAGCAACGGGCTGTGGAGGCTGTGCCTGGCAGCTCACCAGAACAAACGGGACTGCCGCCCACAAGCGGTGCCAGTGATCCTGCTGTCTGGCTGTGCGGGAGAAGAACTGCAGTGCCGGGACTGGGCATTCCCTGGAGAGGTAGCAGGATGGGTGACCCATGGACTCAGTCGGAGGTACGATGGAGCTGGATTGGGGGGGGGGGATGGGAGAGCGATTGACCAGCATATACACTACACTCTGACACTGCGGAAGCGTACTGACTGACTGGAAGAATTCCTGTCAGCCTTGTTGTGGATACGGCCGATGGCGCCGGAGATTGCGCAATAGAAGATGGGCTCAGGCCTCTGCGATCCCGCCCTGTTGCTATCACACCGCAGCGTCTTCCTGGATGGCGGATGCTTGAATGTTGTGGGCACGGCACAGCTCGACTCAGCGACAATTTCTATGTGTGTTGTACCACAGTACACAGTCCAGAGTGTAGTAATCATGCAGGATCCTCTCTGGTGTGTGTATGTATTGTGTGTGTGTGTGTGTGTGTGTGTTGTGTGTGTGTTATATCCGTGTGTATACTTACACGGTAGCGTCGTCGTCATCATGCCGGTGAAACGACAAAAGCTGCTAGCCTGCTCCTCACTCGGCCAGGAGACAGCAAGCAGCCTTGCGCCTCAGGCCTACAGCTTGTTTCGCTGTCTTCAATGTCCGTCCTACCTTGGATGTAATCTGGCTGGAATGGGAACGGACGGTTAGTTCTTGTGCTGTAATGGGACCTGATTCAACCTGTGCTGTCCTGTTCTTTTGAGAAAGACTCTGACACGGACAGACAGACCGACCGCAGGCCTTCAGGACAGTCGACAGTCGAGGAGGCGAGCTGGTGGGGCGCAGGCTGATTGGTCCGTCGGGCATCAAAGTGGGTGACCAAGGGTACGAAGGACGCGCGTCCTCTCCCTGGACCGGGACCAGATTCCCTGTCGCTTTTGGCATTGGGCCCTCCTGGCCTCCCGCCCTCCCGAGGTGCTCCCCTTCCCAGTCGCTGCTTGCCAGTTGCCTGACCCCTGCCCCTCCCCCCGAATCCACATCCCATCCCGCTGCGCCCACCTTCCACCGACGCCCTTCCTGGCACCTCCGCATCCTGGCATCCTGGCTCGTCGGCAGCACAGGCACCCACTCAAAGATAACCCCCCAATCTCCCACTCCGCGCCCGTCCCTTCCTCTCCTCCTCCTCCTCTGGCCTGCGAACCCGTTTCATATCTGACTCTATCCTCCCAGCTCCATCGACATCAACCACTGCCTGTCCTATTTCATCCAACATCCTCCATCACCAGTTCAGAGCCCATCAACTACCCTCTCTTACACACACTCAACCCGCTCACTCACCACTCACGTACCCGATCCACCCAACCAAACAACCCGATCGATCGCCCGTGCCTCCACACGCTGCGACGTCGCATCTCCAGCCTGACCCGACGCGTCTAGTCACCACATCGCCAAATCTCCGATAGGAAGACGAGATCGTCCGCGTGGGTTGGCATCAGGGGGTCAGAAAAGAGACATAAGAGAGCATGTCCACACAACACATCAAATCACAGAGCCCAGCTGCCTCGCAGCCTGGCGCCGTTGATCCGCTCGTCGACTCCATGCTGGACCTGTCTGGCTACGACGACACCGTCGCCCAGTACCACTCGCACTCACACTCGCACTCGCCCTCGCTGTCGCCCGCCGCCTCCAAGAACCTCACCCCCTTCGCCAGGCCCGTTCCGGCCACCGTCCAGACCACACAGGGCTCGCTGCTCTCCGCCTCATCGGCCCAGCCTCTCACCGGCCCAAGCCACCAGTACGACCTCTACAAGCAGCAGACCGGCATCGTCCCCGGCGCCCTGGCCAACACCCTGCAGGTCAACCAGAACAACGCCCAGATCGCCTCCGGCTACCAGCAGTTCGACATCGACGCTTACTTCGCAAATATGAACGACGGCTTCGACTTCAACGCCTCCCCGGCCCAGGCAACCATGGACGTGGACTTTGATTCGCCCTCTGCCGCCGACCAGAGCCTCTTCTTCGGCGAGTCGACAGTCAACCCCAACGCCATCGGCGGACACGAGGACCACGGCCTGCCTTCGCCTCCGGGAGTGCCCAACCAGAGCAACGTCGGTCGCGTCTGGCCCGGCATGCACCAGCAAGCCGCCCTGGCCAAGGCCCAGGCCCAGCAGAGGCAGCAGCAGCAAATCATCGCACAACAGCAACAGCAGCGTGCTACCCAGCAGTCCAGGGCAACAGCGCCCCAAGGGTGGTGCCCAGCCCACCGACCCCATCGTCGAGCAGAAGATCACCCAGCTCCTCAACTCCATGCGCGCCAAGTCCTCAGGCCCTGACTCCCAAAGCAACGCGCCACTGATGAACCTCCCCCGCGCCAGGAAGGACGAGGACGACATGGACGAGGATGAGAGGCTGGCAAGCGAGGAGGGCAAGAAGCTGAGTAGCAAGGAGCGACGCCAGCTGCGCAACAAGGTCTCCGCCCGCGCCTTCAGGTCCAGGAGAAAGGGTAAGCCTCATTCTTGTCGCCCACCATGTCCGCATGGTTTCTACTCCATTGCTAACATGCTTCAGAATACATCACCCAGCTTGAAAGCGAGATAGCAGGCAAGGTAACTGAGAACGGTGACCTGCGAGCTCAGAACCGGGCCCTGATCGACGAGAATAAGCGCCTGTCAGATCTGACCCGCATGCTTCTCTCGTCACCCTCCTTCTCGGACTTTCTTGAGCGACTCAGCACAAACCCCGCCCCTGCGTCCCAGCCGGCCCCTCAGGTTGACCAGAGGCAAGACGCCCGCCAAGCCCCAAAGGATGTGAACCCTTACGCTGCCCACCAGCAGGTCCAGCGCCAACAAATCGGCCTTGCCATGCTCCCGGAGCAGAACATGGACTTTGCCATGGTCGGAGTTGACGCCGATGCCTACAGCTACCAGCCCCAGGTTTACGCTGTTCTCGAGACCCCTGAGCCGCTCATTGACGCATCTGTTCTTGCCGGCAAGTCGACCAACTTTGTCGGCGAGACGTTTGAGTCCGAGCACGACGAGAAGGTTGAGATGCCCGTCATCGAGCGCCCAATGGCAGTCGAGGAGAAACTTAGCGCACCAAAGGCTCCCGAGTCGCCGGTCGTCGTGGACGAGCAATTCGAAAATGACCCTGATTTCGCGCTCTACCATGGCTCTTCGGCCACAGTGAGCTCCGAGGAGAAGACGGTGGCCGAGCTCGACTTGGGCGGCCTCGTGCAACATGACCTCTTCGGCGGCGTCGAGTCTGAGAAGATGCTCGCCCGCTATGAGCTTGTTGACGCGACCGAGGAGGAGGAGGCTGCTGCTCGCGCCATGGCTCGTTTCCAGAGGCTGTCAGACAGCATGGAACACGTTTGCGCGAGGCTTGAACTGCTCACAGCCGACACATGATCGGAGGTCAGCTCAACTCGCCCTCATTTCCGTCGTCACATTTCACCTTTCAATCATAGCCACTCCAATTTTTCTCTTCTTCTTTTTCATCATTCACTGTACATGGACAAGGTCATGAGGGTCTACAAGTTTTATTCAATGGCGCTGGGGGTTCTCTGGGTACTTGGTTGGTCATGGGTAAAAGGTTTGGCATCGGCTCGGGATAACGCTCATCGTCCATCTCGTGTCAGTGGTCGAGTCCCAGTGGCCGTTGTCAGGTAGACGCGGTGCCGGTGTATCTGAATATAAAGCTATAGGAACCGCGAGGACTGGCTTTCGGGCGCGCTGGAAGATACAATGCAATATGCTGGTCTGCCGCAAAAATGAAATTATGATAATCAATGAATGCCTCGCCTGCTTCCCTGCTGCCCCGTTTGTATGTAGTGGTTCGTCCGCTAACGCCGTAATGCCTGGCATCCTCACGCCTGCCTCGCCTTGGAAAGCTTTATCTGTATTCAGCCTAATTGTACGCGAACTGTTCTGTCTTCTGGCTCAGTACTGGTTTGAGGCATGCGTGTCTCGCGTTCCTCCAGCTACCGTTGGCAGCACCACCTTGTGGGCGTCAGGGTTACGCGTCATACGATGGCCAGGGTGTGTGGCAAGGCCTATTCTGCATGTGGCTCGAGGTTGCTCTGGGTCTACTGAGCGCTACCAGGTTTTCACATCATCCTCGCGGCGATACTTACCCCGAGGGTAAGGCAGCCCACGACCCTACCCCCTGCCTCAACCCCAGATTTTCCCCGCATGAACGCCTGCGCTTAAGTCTCGTCGCTTCCTACGGGCCGCAACGGACCGAGGACCAAAGGATACATGTATATATCGAGGATGAATGCACAACTTTCGTCCCGCGGTGCGTGGCTCAAGACAATCCAGCAGGGCCGCTCGTCTGAAGTACCGAGCGTCGCAGAACCGGACAGAGTGTGAATGAGGGCTTGGCGAAGGCAGACGGCCCCAACATCAACACCCGCAATGGGTCTATCCTCACTCTTGATCCTGGCCGGCGCCGGGTCTGCTATGGCTCATACGAGCAGTGTCGAGGTGCCCGCGAACCTATCCACGCGGGCTCTCGGTCGTGTGAGTGACTCGGCAGCCAACTCCCCCCTCCCCTTCCCGTGCCTCGTTGTCTCGTTGTCCGTGGCAGATCCCATGGTCGGATGGCCTTTTGGTGACAGGACCGTCAGGGACCACCGCCTTCGAGAGCCTTACCCGGGTTTAATCTTCGTGAAGCTGAAAGCAGAACCAGTAACTAACATGCTATAAGGATGCTCTCGCGTACTCGGTTGAGCCCGTCTGGTTGGATTCATTCACCAACAGCAGTCTGATGGCCACCCTACTTCATGGCATCTCGAACTTGACAGGCAAGGCCACACCTATTCGGATCGGAGGCACGACGAGCGATCAGACATACATTGTGGACAGCCTGCCCGGAAATGTTACCTCTCTCGAGAGGACCAAGCCCAGCACGCAATTTAATATCACAGCCTCCTGGTTCTCAACATTTGCCGATTATTTCCCAGAGGGCACGGAGGTGATTTACTGCCTCAATCTCGCGGACAACTCCAGCAGCTGGGCCAACACCCAAGAACAGGCCAGCGCCGTGTGGGATGCCCTGGGGGAAAAGCTGGTGATGTTCGAGCTCGGCAACGAGATAGACCATTACATCGACAAGGGCTGGCGATCTGAGAGCTGGGGAGTAGCCGAGTACATAACGCAGTTCAACAACCTCACCGCGAGCATAATGGACGCTTCGTGGTACGCCGAGGCCGGCGGTTCCGCACCTAAGTTCCAAGCCGCGGTGTTTGCGGACCCGCCGTGGGTGCCAGACCAGCAGGACGAGATCGACGATTTCGACATCGTCAACCTGACCCGAGGAGGGCTGGTCGACACGGAGCACAAGGTTGTGGAGTCCTACTCGGTCCACCTCTACCCGCAGTCGACGTGCGACACGGAGCGCTGGCTGAGGATGCGCCTGGACCTGTTGAGCAACCATACCACGCTGTGGCTCAACGTGTCGCAATTTGTGCCCCAGGTCGCTGCAGCAGATGCGGGCAACACGTCACTCGTCTTTGGCGAGACCAACAGTGTCAGCTGCGGCGGGCGAAGTGGGATCAGTGACACTTTTGGAGCCGCGCTCTGGGCTGTGGACTACGTGCTCATGGCCGCTAGCATTGGGATGCCCAAGGTCTACTTCCACCTTGGCGCCCAGTCGCAGTACTCGGCGTTCACGCCTTGGTCGTACGAGCTGAACAACGAGACCTTGTCGTCTGGGATCCGTGCCCCCTTCTACGGTCACTATTTTGTCGCCAAGGTGGTGGAGGGGTTGGCAGAGGATGAGTCGTATGGAATTGCGGCACTGCCGGGTGCAAACTCGAGTGACCTTAGTGGCGTAAGCAACGACCCCATTATTGTGACTGACCGCCCGCAGATTATCTTGTTGGCGACAGGTGCTCTGCAGAGAAAGCCCTCAAGCGAGTGATCTACAGAGCCCGGAGCGAACAGGACATCCGGCCTACAGGCACAGCCTTTGTCTCCAACTATACTACACTATGCGATAGCTAACGTCAGGGTGTCCTTAGTATGCTGTCTACCGGGGCGAGGATCTCGCGAAGCTCGTGTTCCTCGACATGGGCGTATGGAACGGCACAGAAGGCCTGTCGAACCCGTCGACGCTGAGCACCACGGACGGGACCGACTTCAGCAACGGGACGAGGCCGAGTTACAACATGACCGTGACGTCGTCCTGGACGGCGGGCCAGAACATCAGCATCACCAGGCTGCAGGGCCCCGGCACGAATGCCAAGAGCTCGGTGAGCGTGTCGGGCGTGACGTTCGACCCGGCGACGGGAGGTCGAGTGGAAGGCGATGCCGACGAGGAAGTTATTCAGGTGGGCGAGGGAGGCGCGGTCAGCTTTCACCTGACCGCGGCGGAGGGTGTTCTTCTCCAGCTTGTGGCCGACGCGACGGCTTCGCCAGGGAGTGGTGAGACCTCAGGAGCCTCTGTCACGGTGGGCCGCTCCTGGAGTATGCTCGTAGTGGTTGCCATAGCAATGGCCATAGCTGTGTGAGCCCGCCATGACTAAATGACCTATTTACCGTTAATGAACAGCCTGGCGACACTGCCGCAGTTGCACTGCATCCTTTGCTGCTCTTGTTGACACTTGTCTCTTTTCGTTTTTAAGAAAAGAGAGGAAGACATGTGGTCAAGGGCCAACGCAGGTCGAGCCCCGCCACTGCAGTGCTGATCATGTGGGTGGGTTGGGACAAGGTACTCGAGTGTACACTACCTAGGTAGTAATGGATCCCGATGTTGAAAACTTCCGGAGTGCACGAGATGAGATGCGATGAGACGACAAGGAGCGCCATGACAAGCCCAGTGAAGCTTGAGCCTCGGCCAACATGAGGCTCGTGAAGGGACCCGGCCCTGCATTGCCACGAGATTGGTCCTTTCCGTCAGCGGCGATCAGTGTTCAAAGGCGACACGACGACACTGCTGCTCCTGGAGACTACCTAGGTATCTTGTGGTGTAATAACAGAGGGAGTCTAAAGTAAGGGCAGTAGAGATAGTCTCTATCTACTGTGGGCTAGACGGACCGTGTTCAGCGTCGGGCTACTCCACATCGGCCCCGACAGGCAATTTGGGCTGTGGCCACTAAGTTCAATGGTCCTGGCCCTCTGCCCCAAGTGGCGTCAAAGAAAGAAAAAGGAACGACGTTCCAAAAAAAGAAGAAGCCAAAAAAAAAAAAAGAAGAAGAAGAAGAAGAGAAAAGAAAGAGGCTGGTGGACTGCCCAGTCTGTCTGGCCTACAAGTCCGCTAGAGTGAATTGCCCAGGTACCGTGTAATGAGTGGCGTGCAGGCCCGGGGTGGTGACAGCCGTGAGCACAGCAAAGCACAGGCGCAAAAACACGCGAGGACACAAGGGTGTGTGGGTTGCTAGGTTGGGAGCGGAACGTGAATGGTGGACGTTGGGCTAGCCGTTTAGTCCTAGTTCCAGGGGTAAAACGGCCTGGATGGGCGAGGTGGGGGCGGTTGGATTGAGGGCGCGCACGGATCATGCCTCTTGGTCCTCCAATGGCTCTGCTACTCTATGTGGTGCACTGTCACCGCGTAGCAGCAGTCGTGCAGAGTCGTCTACCTAGGTAAAGATCAATCGATGAAGATTTGGAGAGCCAAGGCCCGTATTGTCTCCTCCCTGCCCGCAGGACCTTGGCCTATGCAGTAGCAGTAGGTGGTCTACCAGCTTCGCTGCAGAGCTTCGCCGCCGCGACCACCTCCTCCTAGCGCAACAGCGTGCCCAGATCAACCACGTCCACGTCCACGTCGCCGTCGCCGTCGCCAACGCCAATAACGCCTCCGCGTCTCTGCTGTGTACCTATCTGCACAATCGCATCCTTGCATATTCGGCCTGGCGATACCCTGGATCTCCACCTGCCCGTTCGGCCATGCCGTTTGCTCGTCCTCAGACAGGACTCGAGGAAACCGAACTTCACGAACCGTCCGAAATCCTGCTCCGAGACCCTTGTTCTTTTCCGGCCGCTGCCATCGTCGACGCCTGAGCAGAGTGGAGACGCCTGTCAAAGACACGCACCGCACCGCACCGCACCGCACCCGTACGTGAGCCGGCTGCGCACACGGCAACACAGTCCAGTCCACCTGGCAATCCCTCCCGCATCCACCTCCAGTAGCCACTTCGACTGGCTTATCGCGCCCTCACCTCCCAGCCAGTGCCACCCACCGGGGCCCATCCTCGAGCTTGTGCCAGCCACACCCACAGCGGAGCTGCCCTCACGACGTCTGGTCCGCCCAAGCAGCCTTCCTCCTCCTCTGACCCGCGAGCCTCGAGCGGCTGTGGCCGCCTCGGCCTGCACAGGCTTGCCCCGACAGTCGCCCCCGTCCTCTCCAGCTTCATGTGCTCCAGACCAAAATGCCCTGGCAACCCCTGCCTCGCATCGCCTTCGCCATCGCGACCTTCCCCTTCGCCCCCCAGGAGCCCGAGGACCTACCACTCGAGATTGGCGACGAGCTCTACATCATCGAGGAAACCCCTGACGGGAGCTGGCTGCGCGGGTACCTGGTCGCACAACCCTCGCTGGTCGCTGGCTTGACCTCGGTCAAGGGACAGACCCTCGAGGCCAGGATCTACAATGGCATCTTCCCCAGGAGCTGCGTCGAGATCCGTGAGGTCCTCGGCGAGACAGACGACCCGGAAGGCAACCCCGACGCCGACAGCTTCGTGCAAGCTGGCGACCCGGGCGCCGACTCTGCAAAAAGTGGCGTCACGGGCGACGTAAACAAGCGCCACAGAAACGATGGCGAGCTGGCCCCGGCCCTCAGCCCCGTCAGTGACGGCGGCCGGCCAAAGAAATGGGCAAAAGACTTGCCAAATGGCACACACGGCACCCTGTCCGTCCCCGTGCAAAGGGATCCCGACGCCCCCCGCCCACAGGCTCCGGTGCCAATGTTGAAGATCGGCGACGAGACGCCTACCTCTGTCTCGGAGCCTTTGATCGACGAGATCGCTTCCTGTCTCCGCGAGTGGCATTCTACAAACTTGCACGAGCTTCTGCTGTCGCGCCAGTATCCCAAGCTCGAGAACCTCGGCCAGCTCGTTACCGCCCTCTACTTTGCGCGAGAGCAGTTTCTGCACAACGTCCTTACGGCGTGGGAGTACAGACGTCTGCGCGAGAGGACCGTTTGGGACCTCGTGCGCGTCAACAAGCTTTGCGGCGGGGAGGTCATTGTGCGCGATCCCAAGGAAAAGGGCCGGGTGCTGACCGCCGACGACTCCGTGGTCGAGGTGACCAAGCTGCAGTCCGTCATGAGCTTGCTCGATGAGCCGCCCCGCCCTGTGGTGGAGTCCACGTCTCTGCACCACCTGCTGGTCGACGTGCGAAGCGTCGCCGGCTCCCTCAACGAGTCGATGACTCTCGTGCTTCATCTCGTTAGACGGCCCCTCGGCGGTCTGCCCGCCCAGCTCTCGGAGCCCTACATCATCGAGATTCCCGCCGGTGGCGCCATGGGCAGCCTGGGCAAGAACGCACACGCACGCATGCGGACGCTTTTCGCCGATCTATCACCCCAGGACACGGGCACGGCGCCCTCGGTGGAGTCAGAGACATATCTGGTGGTGACGGTCCGCGTTGCAGAGCAGATCGTGACCGGAAAGCCGAGCTCGAGGTCTGGCTCGTTCTCGAGAGAGGCCGGGTCACTGTCAAAGGATGGCACCCGGCCGCCACTTTCTAGCGGCAACAAGTCCGTGCGGAGGAGTCTGATGTGGGCTGGGAAGAGCACGAGGTCGGCCCTTTCCAGGGGCTCGCCTATGGCCAAAGTCGACGAGAGGGCTGAGGAGAGGCCGTTCTCTGGCGGTGCAGAGAGCAGAGAAGGATCGCAACCCCCGGGGACTGCCAGCTCAAAAGCCTCACACTCGTCTGGCGATGGGACATCAACCATGACAGCAGACCGACTCGCGGGCGTGGGGTGTCTAAGACTTAATGCCATCCTGAGGCAAGACGAGGAGGTTGAGCAGGTGCTTGACATCTGGTCTCCGTCGGCGAGGTTCGTTTCTGACAGAGAGAATGGAGACGAATGGGACCCCTTGATCAGGGAGATCGTCGACAGCAAGTCCGGGCAATACGAGAAGTCGAAAACTGCAGAGCGACTCCAGCTGCACCTGAAGGCCTTTAACCACCCAGACTCCGATGTCCTCATAAAGGCCACGCCGACGCTGCTGTCCGGAACCACCAAGACCAGAAAAATGGGTTTCTCTGGGGCTCCCACAAAACCCAGGTCGGACATCTATATCACCATCGACGAGGCGATCCTCTCCAAGCAGACGCTGCTGTCACGGTACGGCGGCAGTGCAAGCTCCATGCCCGCCAACCTGCCAGGGAATAACGTCCAAGTAACCCTGGAGGTGCGAAACTCAAGCGGTGAGCAGATTGGTGGGTGCATATATCCCTCATCAAACTCCGACGGCCTCGACACTTGGAAGTCGCTTGCCGCAGAGCCAGGTGAGCCTTGGAGGCAGACTTTACGCTTGGTGTTGAAGGACGAAGATGTCCCGGTCGCTCACCTGGTAATGTTTCTGGCCAACATGCCCAACGCCCCTTTCGCTGTGGCCTACTTGCCTCTGTGGGACCAGCACGCCTTCATCAGGGACGGAATACACGGCTTGCTCCTGTACAAGCTCGACGAATTTACCTCGTCGGCACAGCCTGGCCCAGTGGGCAAGGGTGGCTACCTGTCGCTGCCACCGACCGCAAAAGGGCACTCGGCAGACGTCACGGGCCCGATCGCGATCCTGCGGCTGGAGTCGTATCTCTGTAGTACGCGGTACTCTCAGGATCGTGTGGTGCTGGCCCTGCTAAAGTGGAGAGAACGGCCACGGGCCGAGATCCCCGGCCTGTTGAAAGAACTCATCTTCGTCGATGAGATCGAGATTGTCAAACTCCTAGACGACATCCTTGACTCGCTGTTCGGTATCCTTGTCGAATGGGCAGGCAATGACGAATTCGAGGATCTTGTTTTCAGTGCTCTGGTTCGGGTGCTGGACATCACTCACGACAGACGTTTCAATATTGCGCCTCTGGTTGACCAATATGCGGAAACAAAGTTCAACTATCCGTTCGCTACACCTTGCCTGGTTAGGTCATTCACGAGGCTACTGCAGAAGCCCACCGAACCAGAAACGGCAAGGAAGTTGAGGGCCACTTTCAAGGTTGTCCGCCACATACTCAAATTCATCACTCATGGCCGTGGCCAACAAAAGGAGAAGGAAGCGGGGATCGGTATCACCAGCAACAACCCGGGATTCACTCGCCACCTGCGCAGCATCTTCAAGGCCCTCGACTCGATGATGCGCAGCTCTGCGCCCGTGCTTGTTGGCAGCCAGACGTTGGCAGTCCAACACTTCCACACGTGGCTACCAGAGCTCTCGGGGCTGCTGACAAACGAGGAGATCCTGCACATAGCCATCGATTTCATGGACTCCTGCTCGTTCGTCAAAGGCAAGCTGGTCCTCTACAAGCTGGTTTTGATCATCAACTACGCGAAATTAGACATATTCTCGCATCCTGAGCAGAGGTCTGCTCTGAGCGCCAACACCGTCAGATGGATCTCCCCTCACTGGGGTCACACCGAAGAAGTGACCGATGTGTGGAAAGACCAAGTCCGTCTTTGCTGCTCTATCCTAGCCAGCCAAGTTGATCACCTCGGCCCAGAGATCCCAGATTATATACCCAAGCTCATTGATTCATATCTTTGCATCCAGGCGGTGCCTCAGCGTCCCAAGGTCGGGCTGTCGCTGTTGTTCCCGACATCATACCCGTTCCCCTCGAAGCCTACCAAGGACAAGATGGTAGTCGAAGAAGCTCTCATCGAGCTGTCGGCCGTTCTCTCGGCCCTGGCGAGCTCACCGAGCGGGATGCAGCTGGAGCTGACCGACGATGATTTGAGCGTGGTGCTGGAAAACACCCTTCACGTCCACATGAGCATCTTACAAGGCGAGGCTTTCCCGCCCGATTGGCTTAGCGTCCACATTTACCACCACAAGTCGGCCATGCGAACCCTACAATACCTCTCGAGCATCTTGCTGGATACCTTCCTGCCGCACCCGGACGAGGCAGAGTCCTTCAACACGGAATTATGGAAGGTCTTCTTCACAACCCTGTTGAAGTTGGTTGGGAGCCCGTCACTCGCTCTCGAGACTTTCCCAGAGCAGAAGAGACGTGCCGTCTGGAAGATCGCGGGAGACGTCCGCGAGCATGGGTCAGATCTCTTGAGAAGGACGTGGGAGGCTATCGGCTGGGACACGAGCCCTGATGAGAAGCAGCGTTACGGCTTAAGTAGAATGGGCGGCTACCAAGTCCAATACGTGCCAACACTCGTCGCTCCAATCGTGGAGCTTTGCCTAAGTGTGCACGAAGGTCTTAGGAAAATGGCGGTTGAGGTCCTGCAGACGATGATTGTGAGTGAGTGGACGCTGAGTGAGGATCTGTCCGTCATTCAGACCGAAATAATCGACAGCCTGGACGCATATTTCAAGTCAAAGCCCCTCACCGAGAGCATACTCCAGAAACTCTTCGTTGGCGAGGTTCTCGATCGATTTGAGCCCCTGGCCGAGGTCCCCGACGAACCCCTATACGCGGGGATCCGCGATCTCATGGCAACCGTCGACGAGTTCTTGGACCTACTTGTTGCAGTACACAGTGGGGATGGTTCTGGCGAGGCTTCAAACCTCATCAACCGCCTGCGCCTGATGGAGTTCCTGCGGGACATGCAGAAAGAAGAGATTTTTGTGCGCTACGTCCACCAGCTGGCAGAGCTGCAGGCTGGGGCGAGGAACTTCACAGAAGCAGGCCTGGCTCTGCGCCTGCACGCTGATCTGTATGACTGGGATCCAGTCAAGTCCATTCCCGCCACGACCCAGAATACCCTGCTCAAACACAATTCGAACGAAAAGAGCGCATCTACTTCGATATGATCAAGTATTTCGAGGACGGGGAAGCATGGAGCAGTGCGCTCGCCGCCTACAAGGAACTCGAGGCCCAGTACGAGTCGAACGTGTTCGATTTTGCTAAACTGGCGAGGACGCAGCGGGCCGTCGCCACGATCTACGAGACGATTGCTAACAGCGAAAAGCTTGTACCGAAGTACTACAAGGTGGTCTTGAGGGGCCTCGGTTTCCCTGCAAGCGTGCGCGACAAGGAGTACATCTATGAGGGCTGGCCGAACGAGCGGGCATCTGGCTTTACAGATCGCATACAAGAGCAGTATCCTTCGGCGCAGATAGTGACCAGCGAGAACATTGACGATGTGGAAGGGCAATTCCTGGTCATTTCGTCCGTCAGTCCCCACCGCGACCTTGCCCACCACGTTTTCCAGCGGGCTAGGGTCCCGCAGATCACTCGGGACTACATTATCTCTGCACATCCTCAGCGGTTCTCCATCTCGATAAAGAGAAGCACCAGCGGCGCGGTCGAGGAGCATTTTGCCGAAAAGGTCGTGTATACGACAGCCGAGCCTTTCCCCACCATACTGCGCCGCAGCGAGATCGTTGGCGCTGAGGAGATCCGCCTCGGAGCCAAGGAGGCGGCGCTGGAACGCATTGTGCGCAAGACGCAAGAGATGACGGCGGTTGAGAAGAAGATTGTCGATGGCGACAGGAGCGACGACGTCGCGCAGCTACTCGTGGATGCAATCAGCATCAGCGTCAACCCAGACTCGGAGAACAGCGTCGTGTGTTACCGTCGACTGGTGCCCGGGGCGCAGCCGACTGGGGACACAGCCTCACAGGCCGATGACGCAGAAGACTTGGAGGCATTGGAGGACCAGATGCTGGATCAGCCACCCGAGTTGGATGCACAGGAGAATGCGATCAAGATGGCCCTGATCGACCACGCGATCATGATCAAAAGATGCCTCGCCACATTCGCCAAGAGCTCCAACCAAATCCTCTTGAACCACCATGGGGATTTGCAGAGATGTGAGTCGGCTCGGTGTCTCCCCGGGCCGGTATTTGAAGTAGGCTAACACGATTCTAGGCTTCGAAGCGACCTTTGCGGCGGAGATTGCGGCGTTCACACCTCAGCAACCAGCCCGGGACAACCCACTGCCCTCCCCGTCCATGGCAACACCGACGACACCAAAGCACCAGCACCAGTTCAGCACCGTGTCAGCCAACGGGGCAGCTGAAGTGTCTACAGTGCAGCCGGTATCCCTGCGCCAGGGCCGTGGCGCGCGGCTGAGCTTCCTCGGCGGCCGCAAAAGGGAGCCGCCTCAGCAGCCACGGACGCCAGTAAACGGCGAGCAGGCCGACAGGAGCGAGGCGGGGAGCAGTCGGGGCGAAAGCAAAGGTGCCGACAGCCACAGGAGGAGCTTCTTCCGCGCGCCGTCGTACGAAAACCAGCGACCTGGCGTCGGCATCCCAGGCAGCGCGACCAACGGGAGCCAGCAATCCAACGGGCCGGTGTCACGGTCAGGAACAGAGGCCGGCGATTGGGTGACGGACTCTGGCAGTCACGGGAGCTATGACACGCGCATCCTCGCGAGCACGCCAGTGGACTCTCTTGATAAGGAACGGGAGAGGCTCGATGGTGCTGGAACGCCTAAGCTAGGGGGCATGAAGAAGAGGCTCAGCCTGCTCAGGCTTGGCAAGAAGACGGGCAGAAGTAACGGGGCCATGGGTGCCCTTGACGAGGAGTGAGCCGGGGGAGCAACAACTCAGAGACGGCCGGCAGTGTCGCACTGGCGAAGAACCTGAATTGTGCAAGCAGTTGGCCCGGTCTCAAGACACCGTCCAACGCTCCTCTCCAGCGCACCAGCTTCTTTGGCACACTTGGCCCGTCATGGCTCTGGGCTCAAGCGGTAGACCGTTACTGCTATGCTTGCCCCAACCAAATTACCAGGGCGCAAAGTCTGTTGACTCCTTTGGTACTTTTCCTTCCTTACTTTTTTCTTCTGTCTAAATTTTTTTTTTTTTTTTTTTTAAAAAAAAAAAAAACAACAGCCTAATACTGTTCGAGGGCGACTTGTCATCTCGGCAGCTTGCCCTTTTTGATTGCGCGCGGTTGGGACGAGGCGTTCAGGAAAGTCGGGGACGAAGCTGGATAGACAGAAGCGCAAGGTACCTACATACCACAGACCCGGCAGGAGCTGCCAGGCGGGAAGGAGGGGCACGGGATGTATAATTTATGCTGTATATAATCGTCGTCGTCGATTTTCACCAAGATACCACCAACACGCTTTTGTTTTCTCCTGCCTTGCTTGGCCGGGGCCTTATGCCGCTGACAGGACTGGCTCGAGTGGGAGGCACCTGCATGCTCTCACCTGCCGATTCATAAACGCAGTTATATGCCCAGGTGTCAAAGAGTGCGCGTCTGTACGTCGGAAATTCATAGGAAGATGCTGGCAGATGGGGGAGATGCGATACTCGCCCGCAAGCGACGGCACCTGTCTGCTTAGTCAGCCCATGGTCACAAGTCAGTTGCATTGCAAACGCGCCGGACTGGGGCACGTCACTTCGCAACCAGCAGACGACCCGTCTGCAAAGAAGAGAGAGGGCAGAGGCGACACGATGCCCAAGTCCAACAGTCGGCGTCTCGACAAGGACGAGAAAAACGTCCTGCTTCACCTCCTGCAGGCGCCCAAGCTGACCAACTGCGATATTGCCCGGTAGGTCCTGTCTCTTTCAAGGCTTTCGAGGCACTCTCATCTCAGTTTCCAGCATGCATCAGCAGCGCCCACCAACAATTAATTGTTTGGAAAGGCCGTACGGGTGGCTGACTGTCCACCAGCATTTTGAAGGTCGACGAACGCACCATCAGCCGTCGGAGGAAGCAGCTCAGGACCCTTGGCCACCTGAGCCCCGAGAGGAATGTCAAAGGCGCAGAGAAGCTCCACGAGTGGCAGCTCGAGGTTGGTCTCGCATCCGCCACCGGCTCGCCGTCGTGGTCGCCGCGGTCAGCCGTGGTGACCGTCGTGACGGTGTGATGGTGGTGGTGGTGGGGTTTAGCAACCATCTACCGCCTGCTAACCTGAGCCGGTTCGGTCCAGAGAGTCATCGCCCTCCTCGACGAGAACCCCGACCTCCAGCTGAAGGACATCAAGGACTTCCTGCAGACCGAGTACGATCTCAGCGTCACCGTGTCCACCATCAGCCGCCAGCTTTCCAGAGCAAATCACGCCCGGGCCAGGAGGCCAGGCTACAAAGGCAAACGGCCCGACCTGCAGCTCCCGGAACCACCGCTCTCCGCCCAGGACCAGCCTCAGTATGCCTTCGCCGACGCAGCAGTCGGCGAGCAGCCGCGCCAGAGCCAGCCTCAAGCCGCCACTGACTTGCAGCCCACGGAGGCTCTGCAGCAGGAACGCCCGCTCATGCTGAAATGTCCCTACTTCGCGGCCAACCCTCAGCGATACATGAGCCACCCCTACTGCCAGAGCGCCTGGCCCACAGCTCGTGATGCAAGGTGCGTAGACCGCGGCAGCGGCCACCCCCTTCCCATCCCCCCTCCCCACCTTTGCCCCCCCCCCCCCCCCGCCGGGGAAAAGTAGAAAGAACGAGGGAGAGAAAGAAAGAAAACATCATACCCACCTCAACTTCCACCCCTATCTGACTGCCGCCCTGGGACAGAGACCATGTCGTGCGGCAGCATTCCGTCCCCACGTTTAGGTGTAACCGCTGTATGGATCACTTCGACGACAACACGGCGCTTGTCTTGCACCACAGGGCGCAAGAGCCTTGCCCGCTGCGCGAGTGGGTGGTGCCCGAGGGCGTCGATGAAGAACAGAAGGAGAAGCTACGGAGGATAGGCCAGGTACGGGTCAGAGAGCGAGCCCTCCGCTGTGACGCGCCCAACCTGCGCTGCCAACACGGCCCATGCTGACTCTTTGCTTACACACAGGGCGACGAGGTCGAAAAGTGGAAGAGGATATTCCGCATTGTCTTTCCAGAGCTTGAGGACATGCCCAATCACCTGTTTTATGAGCCTGCATATTTTACAGCTATTGACCCTACCTTGGGGGATCTCCCTCAGCCAGGCCAGGCAGGCCAAGCGGTAGGGTCGGCGGCAGTAGCTACCACTGAATAATATGGAGTCTCAGGCCACATCGTGCCGCCGGGCTGCTCCAATCGAGCTCGCCCATCGTCTGCCTGACTCCCTAACCATATTCAACTCTGAACGCCTGAGCCCATGCAAATCCAACCGTATCTTGATCACAATACGCCAAAGTATATCCGTATCCTGATGCCGTCTATAAACAATCAAACCCCAAACAGGGGAACAAGTTGGGGCAGTGAAGGGGAAAAGGGCCGGTTGGCACACTGCAGCCTTTCACCAGTACGGTCCATCGCTGCCAGAGCCCTCCGACATGGGGTCCCAGTCCCTCTCTATTCTCCATGCGTCCTCGGCTTTGATCCCCATGAAGGCAATGTCGCATCCGCGGTGGCCGTACTTCTCGGAGAAGACGCGCCTGCCCGTCTCGATCATCATGTCCAGGCCGACCTGGAAGCCTTCGGGATCCCTGTAGAACGGCTCGCCCTCGCCGCCGCCCTGCCGGAGCTGCCACATGTTGCGCCACCAGCCGCCGTCGATGTACTTGATGGCTTGCATCCGGTAGGCTATATCGACCAGCTGCTCGATGGTCTCGCCCTGCTCGTCGACCAGCCTCTTGCGCTCGATCTCCTTGGCATCCGCCTCCCGCGCCTCGGGTGTCGACTGGTCCTTGGCCTTTTCCTCCTCGTTTTCCTGTGCGTCAGCGGGGCCCGGGTCGCCGGCGAACGTTGCGTGCATGCCGGGTATCCGGAAGAAGGCGGCTACATTATCGAGCGTCGTCGAGGTGTCGATGATGATGCCGATCTGTGTCGAGCCTTGGAAGTAGCCTGCCCACTGGAGGCGATCGTACCTGGGGGTGGCCCGGTTAGTCGCGCGCATCCACGGCGTTGTGGTTTTGGGGAGAGGGGCGCAGCTCCGAGAAAGGGGGGTTGCTTGCTTACATGTCACAGTCGGTGGCGTAAAACGGGATGTGAGTATCCCAGCCGCCGACATCCAGGATGGCGTCCCGATGGACCAGCGTCAGGTGGTCGTAGGCAAAGAAGTGGTGGGCCCACTTGGGGATGCCCGGCTGGTGCAGATAGCGCATGATGGCGACAGCCCTCGAGTAAAGGGAGTAGTTGGCCACGTCCTTGGGGCTATCGGAGTGAGGGCGGAACTCCTTCTCGAACGAGAAGGCCACGACGTCCTGGTACCAGAAGAAGTCGGTCCAGTTGCGCTCGAGGGCTGTCCAGGCGTAGAAGTTCTGGAGCTGGGCAAAGGTGAACAGGGTCGGGGTGACGATGACATTGACGCCCAGCATGGCGAGCTGGGTGTGGTTCAGGTAGAAGGGGTTCTGGAGCGAGAGGAGGTTGTCGCGGTTCGCGTACATGACGCCCGTGTTCTCGACGACGTAGATGTCCTCGGGGGGCCAGCCGGCGGTGATGTAGCTCGAGACACACTGCAGCAGCTGCGGCCAGTTGCGCGTGAAGCCGATGAGGAGCGGCGTGTCCTCGGGGACATGGGGCCGCGGCGGGCGGTTGATGGCGGGCACCCTGGCCTGCAGCTCGCGGACGACGTCGGCGGGCGGGTTCTGCGACAGCAAGGGGAACGGGTCCGGGATCGGCGCGGCGGACTGGCGCGGCGGCTTGGGCGGCGGCTTCTTCTTCATCTCGTACTCGTCGTTCCTCCACGAGAAGAACTCGCGCTCGAGGGGGTCCATGGGCTTCTGGTGCGGGCTCGGCTCGTCCAGGAAAAAGGCGGCCTCGCCGGCGCGGGAGGGCGGCTCCAGGGCCTCGGCCGTGGGCTGCGAGTCCTTGGCATCGGAGCCGGTTGCTGCGGTGGGCGCGGCGGCAGAGGCTGCCCGGCGCTTGACGTCCTGCTGGGTGGGCAGCAGGATCTCATAGCCGCCGTCCTTCATCCAGTTGATGATGGACGGGAAGTCGGACTGCGCGGCACGGCCATGGTGGTGCGAGGTCAGGTAGAAGATGCTGACGAAGAAGACAACCAGCACGAGGACGCCACGGAAACGATAGAGAGCAGAGCGGCGGTAAGACATTGCACTCAGAAGCTGGAGAGCACAAATGTTCCCATTACGCTCGCTTCCGGATCACGTCGCCTCTGTTGGGGGAGGCGAGGTCTTGTTTAATCGGTTTTGTCAGACAGGCCAGGCTGTCTGCGTGTCTGTCTGTCTGTCTGTCTGTCTGGCTGGCTGGCTGGCTGGCTGGCTGGCTGGCTGGATGGCAGGCAAGCAGGCAAGCAGGCAGGGCAGGCCAGGGCAGGGCAGGCCAGGGCCAGGGCAGGGCACGGCTCAGGCGAGCGACTGTCGATCGCCCCAAGCAGACAGTCGAGCTAAATTACTGCAACCCGGCCAGGGGCGCCTCAGGCAGGTGGATGATGACGATATTCAGGAGCGCGGGGCGCAGGCGCGGGCGGATCAGGCGCTCAGATGCACGTTCTTTGGACGGGGCCGAGGACTCACGAAGCAAGAAAAAAGGAAACAAGGGGGAAATGATGCTAATGAAACAGTAAAGAGAGTCGCCGGTGGCGGGGGCGTTGATGAGCGAAGGACGGAGAAGAGAGGAGAAAAGACCGACGCGCAAGAGATACGGGGAGAGGTGGCAGGATAAAGTCGAAACATGCGTGTCTTCTCCGGACCCTCGATTCATTCACTCGACCAGCCTCGCCCACCCATCCCCATCCAACCCATTCGCCTATTCACCCGTCCGTCCGTCCAGCCTTCCAGCGACAGCAGTGGCCGGTGGTTGGGCGGACCAGTTGATGCCGTATGCGGCAAGGGAACTTGGGAGTGTTGTACCTACCGTCTGCAGTTCTCAGAGCACGGGGGTACGTATACGTGCATCATTATGGAGCCTGCGAGTGCCGATGACTTGTTGCAATCAAGGAATCAATGGGATCATGTTGGCCGGAACCCACTATTCAGCCTGGGTCGGGACCTGGGACTGGGGGGGGGGCCTCGGCCGACCCATGCTGACTACGGTAGCACGGTACTTCTGACACGAGCCATTGCGGCGCCGCCCCCAGGGAAAAAAAAAAAGGAGCGAGCAGGGGCTGGCAGGTGCCCGGAGTGTGGGATGCGACAGAAACCGACCTCCCTCCCCAGCAGCGGGAAAGGTGGCCGCGCAACTCCATGCATCCCTCTTGTTTCACCCACCAATCATGACAACGGCGCCTGAGGGCCCGGCCGTACCTCCCAACGACCGCCTAGTCGCCCCTACTCTCATATGCAATCAATCGTACCATTTTGGCGCTAGTGACTCGCACATGATATACCTCATTAAAAATCGTATATACTTATTATGCCATTAATTAATATCCTTAATATTATTAATTTATATATTTATTAAAATTATTATTTATTATTATTATTAAAAGCTTATAAATTACTTATTATATATAATAATTATCTTTAAATATAATATTTTACCTTTTAATTTATTATTATAATTTATAAAAATTATTAATATTTTATTAAGGCTTTAAAGAAATATAATTAATATTAAATATTTTTTATTTATATATAATAATTATTAATAACGTAGTTTACCACTAAGTAGTTTATATTAGCAAGTAATTTAATTTTATAATATTTATTAACTTATATCAACCCCAGCACCCACTTAATATAAAACATTTAATAAAATTTAATATTAATTAATATTAATTACTTTTAATTGCTTATTTTTAATTAATTTTATTAATTTAAAGGGGTTAGCGTGGTTATAATGCTAATTTAAATAAGCTAACTTTTAATAAAAAACACGCACTTTATATTAAATAATATTAACTTTATCATTAAAAATACAGTTTGCTGCAAATTATTAATATATATATATTTGCATTAATTAATGCCAACTATGCTAAATTTACTATAATATAATTAAAATTTAATTTAGCAAACCCTTTTTCTTCTTTTTTATATATTTTTACAGTATGCCTAGTTTTGCTGTAAGTCTTATAGCATTGTTTATTTAATTCGCCGCGAATTGCCTTTTCCATCCCATTGCTTATTTTACTAGCTAGCCGCTTTCCCTTTTATTTCTCTTAAATAAAAACTTAAAATTCCTTAATTATAAATACTCTTTTAAGCTATACTTAGGTTTTTTTAATCCGTTAGCATTTAATAAATATTATATTAATTTCTTAAAGTATATAAATTTATTTACTTATAAGAGTAATTAAATATATTATAGCTTATACCCTTTTTATTATTTAATTAATAGCCTTTATAATTAATATAAGGGAGCTTTCTTAATAAGTAAAGATTTTACCCTTAATAAAACTTAATTATTAAATAATTTATTAAGCATTTAATAATATTTAAGACTTTTATTTTTAAAGAGAAATAAGGAGAGATTATATTAAAGTTTATAAGCGGACATTAAGCTTAAAAATTATAAAATTAAGGTTTTAAAGAGATATTTTAGCTTTTTTAAATGCAAACTTAATATTTTTTATTATAAAAGTCTTATTATAAGCTGCCTTAAATATAAGAAAGAACTTAAATTTAATAATATAATTAATAAAGGCTTAGATAAAAAGGTTAATTTTATTGCTATATATATACTTTAAAGGCAAATATAATGCAATATTTAATAGCTAAAGTAAGTAAAATAAATGCAGCAATATATTAATAGTAATAATCTTATTATCCTTATAATATTAATTAAATTTAATTAATATATAGCTTTTATAGCTATTTATAATTAATATTTAATAATTAACATTTCTCTTTAGCTTAATATATTTATTAAAATGCTAAATTTATTTTAAATTAATTTTATTATTTATTTATTTATTAAAAGTAAGCTTAATAACTTAATTATTTAAAAAACATTAATTTTATTACTTAGCTAGCAAGATAGTAAGCACCTTAAATAATTATAAATAATGGAATTTATAACTTACTTGCATTAATATATTTAATAATAATTACCCATTCTTAATTATTAAGCTAAATTAATTTAGCCTTTTTATATTTATTAATGCATATAATAATTATTAATAAAGTAATTATGCTTATTATAAAGCTGGTTTTATTAAAGTTATAAAGGTTATTATTAATAATTTAATATTTAGCTATTATATTATAAAGAAGCTTAAATTAATTCTTAATAATTTTTAAATCTTTATAAAAGGCCTTTTAATAATTATAAAGATAATTAAACTTAATTTTAAGGCTTAATTATGCATTTATAAAGCATTAAGCTTAATGCTTATTAATAAGTTTAGCATTATATAATGCTAATAAAAAATTAGCTATATTTTTTATATTAAAAAGTTATAAGGGGAATCCTTAAGTATTTTAATTAATAATATATTAAATAAATATTTACTCTTTAATTTAATTAAGTTTATATTAATTAATGCATATATCTTTATGAAATTATTATTAATTTATTTTATAAAGTAAAGTGGTTTTAAGGATATTAAAGATTTATGTAGCTTAAGCTGTATTAAGAAGTTTTATATAATTCTTTTTAAATTTCTTAATAGCTTAAATAGCTAAAAGGATTTTATTATCTTTTAATAAAAGATATATATTATATTTATTAATTTTTAATGCGTTAAATATTTAAATAAGTAGATTAAAGCAAGATTAATATAAAAAACTAGGGCGCAATTAGCATTAAAAAGAGGCCCTTATATTAAAACCTTAATAATTCTTAGTTATATTATAATTATGCCAACCCCTTTAAATTAATAAAATTAATTGAAAATAAGCAATTAAAAGCAATTAATATTAATTAATGCTAAATTTTATTAAATATTTTGCATTAAAAAGGTGCTAGGGTTAATATAAGTTAATAAATATTATAAATTAAACTACTTGCTAATATAAATTACTTAATGATAAACTACGTTAAAAGTTTTATATATATTATAAAGCTTTTAAATAAAGTTATTATTATTTATATTTTAAAGTTAATTTTATATAATAATTATAAGCTTTTAAATTATAATTTTAATTATTAATTATAACTTTAATTTAAGTTTTAAATAATTTTTAATAATAAGTTTTTAAAGTTAATAAATATAATATTATTTAAAAAAAATAATATTTATAATATTTAATATTTTTTTTATAAAAAACTTTAAATTATTATTAAGTTAAAAATAAAGCTTTTTTAAAAATTAAAAAAAAAATTATTATTATTAAAGAAAATATTTTTAAAGTTATTATAATTAATATTATTATTATTAAAAAATTAATTATATAAAAAAAAATTTATTTTATAATAATAAAAACCATTTTAATAACCTTTTTATTAATTTCTTTATTATTAAAAATAATAATATTTACGAAACTTTTTAAAAAATTATTATTATTAATTTTCCTTATAATAATATTAAATTTAAGTTATAAATAAATATAAAAATAATTTTTTTTAATTAATTTAATTAATTTAAATATATTTTTTATTTATTTTTTAATTAATTTAATTAATTTAAATATATTTTTTATTTATTTTTTAATGAATTTTTTTTTAAAACAAATTATAATAAATTTAATTAGTAAAAAGGTAATGAAATAATAAATGCATGTAATTTTTGGTGTGGTATGTTATATGCAGACCATTAGCGCCAAAATGGTATGATTGATTGCATATGAGAGTAAACAACGTCGCTTACTAGTACCATACATATTGCAGTGGCGCCAGATAATAGCGTCTACGTAGGCACGCACGGCATGTTAGTCTGCTGTTGGTGCGGCTTATTGCTGCATTCAACGTCCATCCGTCCACTGTCGCAGCAACCAATCTGTCCACCTTAGTCTATTACATAGATGGTTGATACCGGCCGAGTCCGAATCCCATGCCACTGGAGAGGCATGGGGCCGAATAGGCCAGCCAGCCTCAGCAGGGCAGTCTACTCCTCCTGCTGGTCGCGGAACAGAACATAGCGGTACTTGTCACGATGGAGGCGTATCGAGTCTTCCTCTACAGCCCAAGCTAGAGTGTAATCCTTGGCTGGCTTGACTCGTTCAATGTGTATGCCACGTAGTGAGAGGCTGGCCAGCCGGTAAACCAGACTATAGATCCATTGCGACTACTGCACAGAAATGTACGGTATGAACCAGGCGTTGCCCATCTCGTCGACCCTCTACGGCGGCGCGACAACACGCTTCCAGCAGTGGCGCATGCCAGTCCCCATGGTCTCCTCTTCCACGCCTGTTGCGTCTGCCCATCGCGTCCTGTCATCAGCCACCACCACATCGCCGGGGCCGTCCTCGACCTGAAAGCTGTGCACGTGCATCGTCAGCTTCAGGTGCGAGAAGACCCACGGGACACTGCCCAAATCACCCAGGTACTTGATGTTGGCCTTCCCACGGCCATCTTTGGGGCCAAGGAGCCCAGCCACAAACTCTCTTGCAACCCGCCTCCGGCTCGCCGCCGTGGAGCCACCCTCAGACTCGGGCAGTATCTGGCTTGGGAGTTCCCACAGCCCGGCGAGAAGCCCTACACAATGTCAAGTCAGCTGGTGCCTCGATCTTTTTTCTTTTCCTTCATGGCCGGCTCACCCTTGTCTGGACGTTTCTGGATCAGATAGCAGCCATCACTGGTACGCCTCACGGCACAGACGACGGTCTCTTCCTCGCGGACCGTCTTCTTCGAAACCTTGACCGGGAACCTTCTGGCATGAGAGACGGCAACCCCGGCGGCCTCGGGTGAAAGTGCATGCCCGTGGTCGTGTTGACATGTACGCCCCGGAAGGCCTGCGGACCGGCATGAGATCGACGACGGTACCTGAGCCGGCTCGGACCTCTTGGCTGGACGCCTGGAAGGGCCCCTGGGTCGGTCCCCGCCCTCTATCGTATCAGCCGCCCCCGTGGCATCGTCAGAGGTCTCCATGGTCCAGTCGGAACAGATGCCGCAGATATCCTCCATGTCCACCAGCCCAGGTGCATCACGGGGCTCATCGTGGACGAGGCCTTTCATCGCGGCTATAGCCCTCCCCTCCTCGAAAGCCCGGCACGTGAAGCTGATCGGGCAAGAAACACACTGTGACCATGTCCACATCAGCAAACGACACCTGTCGTGGCGAAGGGGAGCTCCCAACAGGGGGCTCGTTCCAGGATGGGCGGAGGACATCTCCTGGGGCAGCTTACATTCGGCTGGGGGGTGCAGAGGGTACTGCCCAGTTCCATCAAAGCCTGACCCCATCTCCCCGGCCCATCACTGGGTAAAGCCTTGCCAGTCTCCTTGTCCACGTCGGAATGCTCCGGTGCGATGGCCTCGACGAGGGCTTGCGCAGCAGCCCATAGCAGCTCTACGACTGCTTTGTCTGACTTCACATTCCCGAGGACCCCCAGCTGGCGGCTCAGCACGCGCAAGACATTGCCGTCGACCATGCAGTCTGCGTTTCCGAAGGCAATGGCAGATATTGCGCCCGCAGTGTAGCGGCCCACGCCGGGAATCTCGCCCTCGAGCTCCTTGGCCGTCTGCGGCAGTAGTCCGCGCCGCGCCGGATCTTGGACCACCATCCTCGCCGCGTCGAGGATCCTCCTCGCACGGCTATAATCTGCTCGACCACAGGAGTTAGTGCCTGGCGAACCTGAAAGACCAAGTGTTGAGTCGCAAGTGCTTTCCTCTTGTTCCCGCTTCTGGCGAGGCACCAAGGAAGGCATCTAGTAGAGTGCGCCCGAGTTTCACTTACACCCGAGACCTCGCCACGCGCCCATCACTTCGTCCTCGTGGGCCGCGGCCAAGTGCGCCATTGTCGGCCATTTATTCATCCACCGGGTCCAGTAGTCCTTGACCACCGCCACCCTGGTCTGCTGCAGCATTATCTCTGAGATCCAAACCTCATATGCACGCACGGCAAGCGCCTCTCGCGACCCGGCAGCAGCGCCGTAATGCTCGGGGTTGAAGGGCTTTCGCCATGGCATCAGTCGCTGCTCGCTAACGCCGTCGTACCATTCCAACAGGCTGCGTCGGCCTCGCTGGCCTGTCTCTCCCAGAAGCAGCAATGGCCGGTGGTAGAGGGTTGAGTGCAAACGCGTGGTGGACGGACGGCTGGCGGGGAATTCGCAACCGTAAGCCTGCAACTCACGCGGGGTACTAAAGATGCGTTCATGTAGGCTGGACGTGTGCTTGAGCCCCGTTGTGGGCTTTTTGACAGTTCTTGGTCGTTTGTCGACGTGCGTCGATGAGCGGGACGCGGGCTCTTGTTGTCGGTCGGGCGACGCGTTTCTACCGTTGCTCAAAGCGCGTCTCTTCAAAGAGGTCCGTCCCGGAATGGCTACTTGAGCTTTGCGCGTCGCCACACGGTCCATGCTCTCCTCATCTGACGCCAACTGGGACCGAATGCGATCAGCAGCGAGTACCGAGCTTTGTCGTCGGCTACTCATTGCGCAGTCTTTGGTAGCGTTGGTGATGTATGTGCACAGGGAGGACATGGTACTTAAAACTATGGTTCTTTTAAGAATGAGACGCCACTTGCGCTTCACAGCGCAGAGGCTTGAAACATGCACTAAATTAAATGAATTTTAAAAATAAGATTTAAAAAAAAATATTTTAAAAGAAAAGGTATATACTTAAGTTATGTTAATAATATAATATAAAATTATATTAATTATAAAAAATAATATATATTTTTAAAATAAAATAATTACCTTAAATAAATTTATATAAATTATAAAAATAAGTTATATATATTAAAATAAATAAATATACATAAATAACTTGTTGGCTGGGTCACGTATTGCAATATAATGTTTAATTAGTATAGTGGTTAATTATTGTTAACTATGAAAGGAAGGAAGGCAAAAGGCCTGGTTGCATTAATTAATTTATATATAGCGATAGGGCTGCTGCCTATTAGGCATCCCATTAGGCCAAGGCTACTTAAGGTTAAACAACTTTCTAAATAAATAATACTTATTATTTTTATATTAATAGTTTTTATTTTATAAATACGTGCTTATTTAAAAAGTATAAAAGAAAAAAAGGCATTAAGTTAAATTAAACTTAAGATTAAAAGGCAATTAATTAATTATATATATAAGTTAAATTATAAGTATGTTATTATTTCGCTGCATTATATAATTATAAAAGGTAAGTATATAAAAAGGCTTGGGTTATTATTAAAGAGTTAAAGGTTAGTTAATTTATTAAAGTATATAATTAATAAGTAAAAGTTAATTAAATATATATATATATTAAAATATCTTAATTATATAAAGTTAAAAAGCTTAAAAAGTTATAATTATTATATAAATATTTTATTTATAATGTATTTTATAAATTTATGCTTTTATTACTTATAATACTTAAGTTAAATAAGGATTAAATTAAACTTTTAAATTGCTAATATAATTATTTAATCTTTAAATAATTAAAATTTCTTAATTTAGCTTAGCTTAAGCTTTGCTATGCTTAATGCTATGTATTAAATAAAGAAATTAAAAAGTATAATTAAAGAATAAGTTATTAAAATAAAAGTTAAGTAAATAAGATTAATAAGTTATAAGAATTAATAAATAAGGTATTTAAATAAAGGAAAAAATAAGGTATAAAATAAAGATTATTAATTAAGTTAATAAATAATAATACTTTTAATTTTAATATATAAATATTAAATTATAAAATTTAATTAAGGATGCTTATTAAATATAAGCTAATAACTTAAGTACTTATAAAATAATAATAACTTTTATTATTTAAACTTTTAATGCATAAGTATTATTATAAAAATCTTAAATATAAGATTTACCTTTAAAAGAAATAAATTTAAAGTTAGCTAATTATATTGCATTATAAGGTAATTTATAAATAATTAATAAATATAAATTAAACTTTTATACTTTTGCTATATATTGCCTTTTATTAAAGAAGTTATTATTTTTTATTAAAAACCTTTAATAATCTTTTATTTTTATAATTATATAATATGCATACTTAAGTTAATTATGTTAATATTAATATAATAACTTTATAATATATAATATAATGATAATATTTAAGGTTATATTAACGTAATTTATTAATAAATTATTAAATTATACTTTAATAATTTAAGTTTAAACCTTAATATATTATAATTTTCTTACTTTTTTACTATATTTAAATAATTACTTTATTTTCTTAATTTTAATTTATATAGCCTTATATCTTAATTATAATATTATTTATATTTATAAAGTATTAAAAATGTTATTAAAAGTATTTTTTATAAAGGTATTAGCTAAATTATAGTTTTTAGCAATTTAATAAATCTTAAAGAGTTTATGCTTTTTATATAATTATTAAAGAGCTATAATATTAATTATAAGGTGCTTTTCTTTTATTATATTAAGCTTAATTAAGTATTTACATAAGGAATATAAATTAATGTATATTATAAAAAGAATTATTATAATATTTAAATATATAGTAATTTAACGTAAAGTAGCCGCTAATATTATAATTATATTAAAGCTATTAATTATGCTATAAATCTTTAAAGTTAAAATGCTTTAAATTACTTTTTAATACTTTATTAAAAATTAATAAATAATATTGCTTTTAATGTTTTATTTAAAAGCTTATTAAGTTTATATTTTATTTATAAGTATAATAATAAAGTTAATTTATAAGTTAAGGTTTTTATTATTAATAAATAAGTTATTAATAAAAATTATTAATTTAACTTAAGATAAATTTAAGGGTATATATTAAAATTTATGCTTTAAATTATTAATTTATTATTATAATTAATAATTTAGCTTATTATAATCTTTATAAAAAAGCTTTTAAATTTAAGCTGCCATTAATAAGTTAAACGCTGCCTTAAGTTAATAAATAAAAGTAAGGTATGCTTTTTATATATATTGCTTTATATATTATTAAGTATAATTATTAGCTTTATTATTAATAAGTATAATCTTTTTACTTTCTCTTTTTTAATAAAGATATAAAGTGCCTTTATTAAAAATGCTTATTATTATATTATTAAAAATAAATAATTTATTTATAATAAATATATCCTTTAACTTATATTAAATATTTGCTTTATTAATTTTTTGCTTTTTTAACCGTAAAAATATTAAAATATTAAGGGATAATATATTATTAATTTACATAATAATAATAATAAATGCATTTTTTCCTTAATGTATAATTAAGAAATATAGGTTATATATTAAGATAATTATGCTTAAATTATTATAATAAAATTTATAATAAGCTGCTTATTAATATATATTAAATTTAATAATATTATATAGTAATTTAATAATTTGCATAATAATCTTAAAAGGGTCTTTATTTAAAATTTTAAAGGGTAAGTAATATAAAATAAGTTGCTTAAGCTTAAACTTTAATTAAAAATACGCTTAAGTAATATTTTAAAGCTTTAATTAAAAGCTTTATATTAAAGGAAATAGGGTTAAAGTAATTAAAAGCCTTTAACTAGCTCTTTAAATAATTAAAGATTATATAAGGATATTATGCTTATTTTTATTATTATATTTAATAATAATAAGCTGTAATTTTTTATATAGCTTTTTAATCTTGCTCTTAATTTTATAAATAATATATAACTTAAAAAGTTAAATGTCTTTATATATCTTAAAATTAAAGCGTTTAAAGTAAAAAATATTATTATTAATTAACTTTATAACCTTTTTATAATTAAACTTTTTAAATAAATTACTTAAGGTATTAATTATATTATTATATTAAAGCTTTAAAGAAAAATTATAATTTTTAACTTCTTATTAAGTAAGATATATTTCTTTTAGCTTATTCTTTAATTCCTTAAGTTATTTATATTATTAAGGTTATGGTAATTTTAATATTATTAGGATTAAATTTAACTTAAATTAAATAAGCTTATTAAGAGCATTATTAAAGTTAAAGATTAATTACATATTATTTTTATTATTTTTATTTTAATAATATAGCTAAATTAATATTAATTAAAAGATTATTAGGCCGTTTAAAAGATTTAATGTAAGATTATAATTATTAATGCTAAGCAACTTGTATAATTTTTATTAACTGTTTTTTTCCTGCTATACTTATATATTACTTTATAATAAAAGATTTAATGCTTTTATAATATTTAAACTATTATAAGTATTTAAAGTTATGTTAACTTATTATTTAATATAAACCTTATATAAGTTTTTTATAGCTTTTTAAATAGCTATTATTTTCTTAAAAGTTAAGGGAGTTAATATAAAGTTTTTTATAAGTCTTAAATATGCATTAAAAATAAGGAATATTAAAATAATGCCGTTAAGGCTAACTATATTATTTATTATCTTAATAGCTATTTATAAAATGGCTTTTTTAATATAAGTCCCTAAGAATTTAGCATAAAGAATATTAAAAGCTTATTAAAATAAAGTATAATACCTCTTAACCTTGCTAATAAACTAATATACCTTTATTAACATTTGCTTATAAGTAATGCTTATAATTTATATAATGCTTTAAAATTTTATTAAAGCAAAGTTAATTTTAACGTTATAAATAATACAATTAAGAAATCTTAAATAAATATTTATTTAACATTGCTAAATAGCCTTTCATATATCTTTTATAAAAAAAGAGGCAAGAAAACACTTAATTTAAAAAAAGGTTGTTAAATTAATAACTTATAAAATAAATAAATTAAGTAAATATATAATATTTATAATAATTTTATAGTTAAAGTTAATATTATTTTAATGGTTAAACTTAAAATATTATAATATTATAAAATAAAGTTAATAATAATAAAACTTAAAAATTGCTTTTAAAATAAAAGGATTAATATTATTATAATTAGCATCTTTAAAAAGATGCAAAAGTTAATTAATAAAAGGGTATTTAAACTTATAATAAAGTTATTAAAGCTTTATTTTAATAAGAAATATTATTAATATATTATTATTTTTTATATTAAGAAAGATTTATAAGTATTATTATTTTTAGGTAATAAGAAATATTTTCTTTAGGTATTTATTATTTTGCTAAACTATTTCATTAATAATATTTTAAAGAAAGAGAAAGCTTTTATTTATATCTTAAATATATAAAAAAAAGGAATATGCTTATTTATAATATAAAATATTAATAGTTTTGCTAAAGTATTAACTTATATTACTT